GAACGAGGAATTTACCAAAGACAGTCATGTTTCTACGGCTGCCAGACCAACCTCGCCTGGAAACCTGCTTCTTCCCGGTCAGGCAGCCAATCGCAGTCGCAGTCGCCCAAAGGCGCAGCTCCATCACTTTGCCGCCCCGGCTACAACAAGCGAGTGCGTCCCGGCGACGGATGTGAACGATAATAATCGTACTGACCCTCAGGAAGAAACCCCCTTGAGAGATACAAGAAAACCTACCTACCAACCCCAGACGCCTCCAAGGTGCAGCTCTCGACTCGCGCGTAATCCTCAATACACTCCTCAAAAGACAAGCGACGATCATCCTTCCGGCGACAAGCAACCACACAAGAATTACCTCACGAAGCCCCATGTCCTGTCGGATGAGCCGTTTCCTGATGGAGAGGCGAACCATCCTCTCGCGAACAGCAAGATCATTCAGGTGTCTTCGAGTGTAGAGCATGCGAGGGAGCAAAGTGACACCGAGGCTGTGCCTACTTTGGACAACTTGCCAAAAACGAAAGTGTGCCATGGACTTATCCCGCAGGATATTGTTAAGAGCATGGATCCCAAAGACATCAAGAAGGCGATCAGCGCAACCGTGATTGCGAGTCGCATCTACAACATCATGAGCCCTGAGCAGCTAGATACTCTCAAAAAGGTATTCAATGTGACATTAAGAACATGGCTCTAGTTCATTGTGCGTCATTCAAAGCGTCGTGCTGACACGATATCTGTACTGTTTAACAGGAAAGGGACGAGCTGGAACAGTTTGTCGAGTCCATGAACGTCTCCTTGCTTATCGAAATTCGTATGCGCGATGCCTCTGTTTTGCTAATCCGACAGCATGAGAATGGTCCCAATTTGGATGCCCTCAAGGCAGCAACCATTCAGTTCCAGGCGACGGCGCAGAAAATGGATAGTTTAAACCAAGCGATTCAGGAGACAATGTGGCGCTTGATGACGATCCAGCGACTGTTGCTCCAGCATGAGGGCGGCATTTTGAACGCAGGTCTTCGACAGCTGGACAGCGAGAACCGCGAGCTTACAAGAGCTGTCTTACAGCTAGACAATGCCAAGGATCAAGAAAAGGAGGAGAAGATCAAGTGGAAAAGGGAACACAACCGCCTCAAGTTCCAAAGCATTCTCTTCCCGAGCACGCCTACCTATGAAGAGTTTACGATCAAAGCACCTCCAAGTCCAGGTCTTCAAAAGACTCAACAGGAACATCAGACACAGTTAACATCGATGGAACAATACGTCAAAGAGCTCAGCGACGAGATTTTGCAAAAGGATGAGACGTTGACAGAGTTGAAGAGCCAACTTGAGGTAGTGCGTGGTTGGGCAGGTGACTTTCAGCATCTCATCCTGGGCCGAAGGTCCAAGCACACGGGGGCCGATTCTGCCGCATCAGACTTGGTGCTCCAAAGGCAGCTCTATCAGCTGCAATCGTCTGTCGAAGGCGAACTCAAGGATATGGATATCTTGTTGCAAGAGCAAAGAGCCAAGGTCGAGGCGCTAGTGGAGGAGAACGCAGATCTGGTTGTCAGGTCGAACTCTGGCCTACCTTCAGGGACATTCTTGGCCAGCGACGAGGAGTTTCTACTAGATTCAGAATTGACTCGAGCTCGTCGTGCTCAGCGATCAGCTCGCACCAAGACCCACTCTAGACAAGGACCTGGTCTTCATATGATTCTCCACGAGAGCCTGCAGGAGCTGGACCGTCAGATCCAGAGTGCCTCCTCTAATCGATCTTCTTCGGCCTCCACTTCTTTGACATCGTTCTCAACTGATTCGTGCGAGACCGAGGGTACAGCCCTGAGTTGGGATCCTTCCAATCACTTCGTCGGTGGATACTTGAGTCGTACTCATAGCAACTGCAGCAGCCAGTCAAATTCAAGCCTCGGTCTACGCGAGCAGGTCCCGAGACGCGACTTTATCGTCGAAGACGCGTAATACGAGATGTTGTCTAACAGCTGCAGTTCTGACGAGGATACCACAGTGGTGACTTCAAGTAAAGAAGGTTATCGGTTGAACGCGATGGTAGAGGAACTCTAATCAGTAGAACTATATTGACACCTAATGAATATATACACTTTGCGAACATGCATGCTGGCATGGAATTTTGTATAGACCTGTGGTAAGCCACGGCATCTGGTGCGCTGCAGTTTGAGAAAGAAACTTGTTCTGCCACCTTTTTTTTTTCGTTCCTTCGTTGAACACGCATCGCAATGGAACCTCCGCCACCACCGAGCTCATCACCACCACCAACGCAGACACCGTTGCCAAGTCAGTTCCGAGTACCAGAGGGCCCGGCGCGACCAAGGACTGCGCCTGTGGGCTCCACTACTGATTCGATCGCGCCCACGACATCGACTGCGTCCCCATTGGTGTCAACCACAGAGGCGATCGCTGGACCTTCATCGACCCCTTTGTCAGCAGCAGCTCCCGCTACCGTTGAGAGCACTAGTACGACAACTGAAACAACTACGACTATTACGACGACTACTTTAGCAGTATCAACGGCTCTCTCACAGTCTTCGCAAGACCCCAACGAAGGCGGCGTGGTTTTCTACAAAAAGCCCATCTTCTCAGCGTCCCAAATTGCACCAACGCAGCCAACGCAGATAGTGGAGGGCTTCTGCGACCTGGATCTGGAGGATGAAAAAGTGCCCTGTGTATGTCTGCATGGCTATGGAACCACCATGCATGCAGAGCTGTCGACGGAAAAGCCCGTGCACGTCTTTGGGACGTCTCCAGAATGCGATGTCATCATCTCCCATGTGCATTGGGGAATGATCCTTGAGGGCAAACCGGTGGACAAGGAGCCCTGGTTCAAGATCTATCTGGTAAGCGTCAATGGAATGTCATGGCGCACAATCGCTCGTGTTAACTTGAATTTGTCTTAATTGTATGTCTAACCTGGTCTTCACATAACTTGGTTTGTAGAATTTCAGCAACGGACAAATCACTGCGAGCATCGAGGACGTCAGGTACGTGCTACATGCAGCTGTCAATACACCGTATTTAATTGGCAGATGAATTGATTCTCAAAAGTTTTTTGATCTGATCCCATACTTCATCAACCTATAGTTCGATGGGGGTGCTCTTGAACGGAAACTTATTACCCAAATCGCAGCATAAACGCAAATTGGGCTGGGGCGATTTCATCAGAGCAGGAATGGAAGGTCGTGAGCTGTTCAAATACTCGTTCAAGGGCATTACTAACCAGGAGAGTAATAACCCCGAGACGGTTGTTGAAGGTGATATATCGACTTATACACTAGGGGATGAAATTGGAGGCGGGACGTATGCTAAGGTCTACAGGGCTGTGGAGCGAAACAGCAACGCGATTTACGCTTGCAAGGCTATTGATCGATCCCGCGAGATGAACAAGCAGGAGAAGGACAGTATTCCATTTGAGATCGAACTGCTGAGAACCCAGAGTCATGTAAGTGGCCTAGAATATGAAATAGCTCATTAGATCTACCCATTGTCGCGATGCTTGAACGGAGCCCCTGCCTATGGCGTCATACAGCTTCTTGTGCTAACTCGTTGCCTTCTGACCATAGAAACACATTGTCAAGTTCAAGGATTCATGCCATTGGGGGAGTATGACTTACATTTTCACAGAGTACATCAATGGTGTTACTCTACATGTATATTGTCAGCACCAAAACAACTACCTGACGGAGACCGAGGCCCGCCACATATTTCGACAAACATGTGAGGCGATCAACTATCTACACGCAAGGAGCATCGTGCACCGCGACATTAAATCAGAGGTAATTAAGCACTCAGAGGGCAAAGGCAAATGCTATGTGAGGTCCTATTGCTGTGGTGATCATGGGACTGAGGCTCATGCCTTTTTTATCATCATTCTATCTTGATTTAGAATATCATGATCACTCGTGAGGACGATGTGGTCAAACTCATTGATTTTGGTAAGCGTGCGACTTCAATCCACATTTTATCCTCCATAATAGGATAATGAAAGGTATTAAAGATATAATCTTTTCTATCTCTGTGATTTAGGACTCGCCCGCGATTCCTCCAGTCGGGAAGTTTTGAACACACACTGTGGGACGCGGCCATATATGGCACCTGAAGCCGCATTGAGCGACGAAAGCAATGGCTACGGAAAGTGGGTCGATATCTGGGCTCTTGGGGTCCTGCTGTTTAGAATGTAAGTCTGTCTCGCTTAGAAAACAAATAAGGCAGCGCAGGTTTTTTTTTTTTTTTTTAGAAGCCTACAAATGTTAACACAATTACCTGTAACTACCATGATAGGCTGACTGGTATTTATCCGTTCGATGAAGAAAACTACGAGAGTGCAGATCTTAAACATCTCAATGACACCAAAGAGGCAAAACAGGAAATAAAGACTTTGTCTGGCCAGAAGCGGAGGGACTCCGAGATCAATTACAGTGCGGGATTGCGCCAACGATATCAACTAGATTGGCGTTCACACGTTGACAAACTGTCACCAAGAAGTCCTGAAGGTACAGTACGTCTTGCGTCTTGCGTCTTTCGGTAACGAATGCGACCGATATAGCTAAAGGGCTAACGTTTGCCATTCATTTGTCATAAAGTCAAACAACTGCTAGAGAAGTTGCTGTGCATTGATCCGACGAGGCGCATCCGCGCAGACCAGATTTTTTGGGAAGACTGGATCAAATTGTCGAAGGCTGGCCTAGCAAAATACGATGTAAAGCTCATACGAGAAAGGCCTGCCGTATGGAAGATCCGTTTAGTTACTAATATGTTTAAATGCTCTCACTGTGTTTAGGTGGTGTCGCGTCAAGGATCTACTGCGATCCTGAGGGGTGAGCTGAGCGCTGACGATGATTCATCATCGACGACGACTGCAGTAGATGGTATACCTTGGGGCAAGCTTGAAAAAATTCCTGGCAGCATTGCTGATGCACCTCGGTGCATTGAACTTACTCGGTCAAAAACTTGGCTGGGACGGAACTCCATCAGTGGTAAGCGTTGAAGAATCTGTCTGTGTTAGATATGATCATGGACAAAAGCCAGAATGCCTTACATTGGGTCTATTATCTCTATTATTTTTTTCTGCAGGTAGTAAATCAACGGTCATACACCTTGTGAATGATCGCTTTTTGAGTACCAAGCATTGCTTGATCCACCGCGGCAAAGATGGCATCGTCATGGTCTCAGACACAGGGTATGTAATCTCTCTTCGCGTGATCCCTACATATGCGATATATTCTTTGCGTTGAACCTCGCAGTCGCTGTATTGACACCAAGCAGGTCTGAGCAATTTCGTAGGTTCAACCGAGCACATATCAACAACCTCCCGATCGACAGCAAAAGGGCTTGCCAGCTTTTAGACGGTGACGAGTTAGGCCTCATAGTTCCCGAGGATCGACCTGAGCTCTGCGATGGGGGTAAGGCACAAGAGTACCGGATTTGCGGCAATTTCGAACTGAAATGTCTTGTTGGTCTATATCGTTGATACAAATCTGTTGATATTCTTTAGAGCCTGTTCGGCGCTTTTTAAAGTATAAGGTGACGATATTCCAAAAGACAGACGAAGATGGAGATCCTACTCGCAGACGATACCGTGACCATGATATCAAACTACGACATGCCCGAGAAAGGTCTCCAAGGCCACAGACAGGTGAGCCATGGGGGGTAATAACTCCCTTTGGTAAAGCTTTTGAAGGATCTAGAAAATTGACCGAACTGGTAACCGTTATTGGACGTGACGCAGGTGAGGCGGTCTTTTATTTTGATTTTACTCTTCTTGGCCTCACTCACTACTAGATACCTGACTAATGTTATCCCCTTGTACGCTTTTAGAGTGCGATGTTGTCTGCAACCATTCTATTGTGAGCCGTAAACGTATGGCCTAACATTCATCTAAATGAACAAATGCCAAGCTCGCTAAGTCTTAGCTGTGTCAGTACATCACTCTAACTGTATTTCCTGACTTGTATCCACGATACATAGAGGCCATCATCGAATGGGATGCGGAAGAGCAAAAGGCTTACTTGAGAAACTGTAGTCAGAATGGCACCAAAGTCAATGGTGCTACACTCGAAGGTCGCCTGCAGCTTCGTTCTGGGGACAAAATCACCTTGGCCAATTATGTTAGACCTCAAAGTACGTTTCTTGTGTGCACATCTGTGTCAGCTTTGAGGTAACCAGGGTATTTCAGCATGTCCACTGACTCGTTTTTCATCCTTTTTCCAGATCCTGAAGACTACACACGCGGGTTCGAGATTGAACTATTGCCCATAGAAACGATGCCGCGCATCAAGCGTTCTAAGGAGAATCCATAATTCCACAAGGACAAACCGTTTTAATAGAACATTATTGCCACGAGTAATACCAAAAACCACGCGATATTATTATTACGAGTAGGAAGAAGCAGAGAAAGATATGTTGATAAATTAGTTGGTGTTAAAGAACGAGAGCAAAACTATGCAAATAAACGGTAAATAAACAAGCAAACTACAAGAAAATAATCAAAATAAAGAGCGGAGAATAGAAGGATAGATGTGAATGGGTTGGGTCACAAGTTAGATGACTGAGGGCATCCCCAGGCCGAGTCCCGCGTGGCTCTGTCGCTGACTTGGGCGTTTTCGAGCACGATTGCTCTTTGGACTGGGGTGACCGGTGGAGGTATTAATGATGTTCGTCACGATGCTGGTATTGGCTGAGAGGGCATAGTCGATATTATGTCCAGCTGCGATGCCGTTGACACTACCGATCCCATTGATATTGCTACCGCTATTGCAGTTATTGTCTGACTCGTGGTGTGTCGACGAGGACGACGATGATATGGGTTGATGGATGAACTGATTCTGCACAAATCCGGACGACCCCATAGTAGGTGAAGGTTGCTGGAAGTGAGATAGCGTACTATGCTGACAATGGCTACCAATGCCACCGCTCATTGCCATCGCGCCGGCAGGGCTTTCAACCTTGCTCAGCTTCTCAACCAAGCTGTCTCGGATTTTGAACAGACCGCTGGATTTCATCGCTGTGCGGATCGCCGAGTTGTTGTAGCACGCCAGGTTATTGATACAGTTAGCAAAGTGCTCATAGAGAGCCAGAGGTGGCCATAAAATCCCTCCGCCTCCGAGTTCATGGCTGGAGAATAAGATCGTGCCAGTTGAATCGGGAACGACCGACGGTGTTGACGAGCTTGGGAGTGACATATTCCCAGTCCTTGACTGCACTGGACGATAGCGGCGACTCTGCTGTTGATGGTATCGGTGGGACGGCTGAGAAGTATAGTGGGTCTGATGAAGGTGAGACGAAGGCGACCTCGAGAGTGCCTGCGACTCAAAGGAATCCAGTGCGGGCTGCTGGCCAGAACCTGCTTGTGCAACATTGATCGGTAGCGTCGAGAGCGGCAGCGATAGCGTCGAGGTGCTGGGAGATGTTGGCGAGGCTGATCCTGACGCCAAGCCTGAGTGTTTGTCCATTGTGCCCTCCGCTCCCCCGTCACTGGCTGGGGACCCACCAGCGTGTTCAATCGTCAGTTCTTCCGCATCCATATCACCCTCATCAGCCTTCAAGAGTATCGATTTCGAGTCAGACTCGTCGCTCTGTCCAGAGTCGTCCAAGCAGTCCAGAACCCCGTTCAGCGCCGACGAGACCGCCTCCAGAGCAAGTCGTTCGCGCTCCTCTTCCTGCGCCCGTATCTGAGCCTGTAACGCCACCTCCTTCTTAAAAGCTTCTTGACGTGCCTTTTCCGCTTGCCTCTGATTTTCCTCAAACTTGCGCGAAAGCTCCTCAAGTCGACGGAACAAGATGACCAGACCCTTGCAGATCACGTTAGCGGCTTCCGTATCCAAGTTAGGGTTCTTGTCAAACCATGCAAGGGCAGCTTCAGTTAATCGGAGCTGCACACCTACGTCCTCGTCCTGACTGACCAAGCACCCCTTATTTCGCACAGTTACAGATCCTTTTCGGGATAGGTCAAAGATCATCATCTTTTGCATCATCCCATCCAGGACGCCCATCGCCCGGTTATAGCTCAGGTTTTCGGCTGCAGAGGTCACACGTACCCTGATTTTGTCGTGCATAAACGCTCCAACCCAGTTCACCCAGCCTGCCTCCCATAGGATCCGCATATTCTCCGATGTCATCAATCGCTTCAGGTCCGTCAGTGTGTGGGTGACAAGGTCCGTATGCGACAACGAGCCGGTGAGCTCCAAGATCAGTCTAATCATGCTGGCGTACGTGAGTTCATCCGTGATCTTGGCGCCACCTCTACTGGTCCGGAGGGCACTTGCGTCATCGGATGTTGCTGAGTTAAGGACATGGCTGATAATCAGTGGCTCTGTCGGCAAAGAACTCATCTTGACAAAAGGTGCATTCGCGTTGTTCGAGTGCACATGTTTTCTGAGGCCAGCTGAGCTCTGCGAAGAACCTTGCAGATCTGTTTTTGCGTTGTTGGGGTCGTCCACTGATATCTGCTTCCCTGAATGCGTACTGGGGGGCTGAACGTTCAGCATGGTGCCACTGTTCTGCTCAAGTGGGGCACCAAGATAGGAGGCCTCTTTCACAGGTGTTGGCAATAGAGGCGCGATAACAATGGAAGAATGCTGGTGATGATGTTGCTGCTGATGTGTAGACGCCTTCTCCACTGACTTCCTTGCGATCATGGCTCCACCCTTCTCCGCTGATCGAAAGTTTGGGTCGCAACGGTAGCTGTTCTGGGCAAGACCCAGTAGGACCTGGATGACATCCATGGAAAGTGGATACTTCTCTAGGGTCGAACGAATCAGTCCAATGCCGATGTTTGGTTTATCCAGCGCAGCTTTGCCAGACTTTGTGTTGTCGCTCAAAAGAATACCTATCATCTTGAGGATAAGGATCCTGAAGTGCTCATTTGGCGAGTCCAATAAGCCGATCAGTACCGTGACGCCCTCCAGTCCAGAGCCCAGTAGGTCAACGAGTCCATGGTCAGCTGTCATGCGCTTGAAGAGCATTTCGATGATATCCCGGCGAACTTCAAACAGGTCAGCTTCCTCATGTCCAATGAATCCGATGAGTAACCCAAGTTCCTGAACAGTCATACCATCCATCATGGATTCGAGTGTCCACATCAAAAATGGTCGGAGATGTGCCGATAGGCTCCTGAATAGCTCGAAGAGTGTCGTCATCCCGAACGAGGCCCGCCAGAAGCGCATGTTCTCTGGCGATTCCACGATCAGATCCACCAGAGTGCGCAAGATATAGCTCTGAACAGAGTCCATGGTGCTCGGTAACAACCGCAAAATTAGCTGGACACAGGGCATACTGGAAAGTATCAGGTGTTCGTCCTTGATCATGCCGTTAATCGCAATATCGAACAGGACGCCAAAGTGATCGACCGACAGTTCAGATGCTGTGTTTGACAGCAGCTCGTACATGATATCGTATCCATCGAGCTCATTCTGGAACTGCGCGATATTCTCGGGTGACTTGTAAAGCAAGTTGGAGATAACTCGAAGGCCGACCAGCTGCAGATGCGAGGGATTCATTTCCAGAAATCGGAAGCAGAGTTGGATCCCCCCAACTTGTCCGATTAAGTTCCGCATCGCTCTTGTCATATGGATCGTGCAGCCCCCCTGAAGAACCCCGTGCGGCAGCACCTTCTTTTGATCTCTCGCTGCCGGTTGACCCAGAGACTGCGCGCTGTCCGTCTCTTCTACATTTGTGCTCTCCATATCGTGTAAAAAGTCTTCTGGATCCAGAACAGCAATCACAGGGCTTTTTACATCATGAGACCTCCATGACTCCGTAGAGGCTGGCCCCAAGTTAAATACCCTCTCCGCCATGGCTTGATCCCACTCTCCCTGTAGGAAATGGACCTTGCCTGCTTGACCGCAGAAATGACCTAATGACGGCTCCTGGGCACCTCCTGGCACTTGTGACGAGTACTGAACAGACGATGACACGGACAATGTCGAGGAGGAGAATTGCTGATGGACATCCTGAGGCGCTGACGAGAGTGACAAGTTGGTGAAGCTGGTGCCGTCGTTGAATGTTGACGTCTTTGGAACCAATCCGGACATGCAGTTTCTACCTTTTCTACCAAGAACACCAACTATTCCACCCTCTTTCTCCTGCCGGCGCTGGTTGAATGTTCCGTATGACTGGATAACACAACCGTCGACCATCAGCTTCATGGTCTTGTGGTGAACAAAGACGATGTGGTGCCAGATACCTGTCTCCGCAAAGTCAAAGCGATCAAAGACAAAGTCCTCCGGCGGCGAAGGATAGTGCTGTGTACGGACGCAGAGGCAGTACCGGTTCGACTGATCCAGGGATTTGAAGTACAGCTCAAAGATAGTCCTGCTCCCATTCTCCTCCTCATAGCAGAACAACCCTGTCTCTTTCTCAAGAAAAGCCGTGACCTTGATCCAAACGCTGACGGTGTACCCGCCTTTCGCAGACATTGCCTTCTCCACAATGCCTGGGTATGTTGTCAAGCTCGCGTCCAGTCCATTAAAATTGAAATAAGCAGGAGGATCAACCCTTTCCGATACTTTCTCGATTGCGTACATCATCTGCTGTTCCATCTCACCGATAAAAAGCGGGTTGAATTGAAGGCCTGGGAAGACACCTTGGCCAGCATTTGGGTATCTAGATCCTGATCTCCTCCTAGAGTAGGGCGTGACGGCACTAGCAGACTCAGATCTTGGTCGTCCTGCAGAATTCCGTCTAGAATCCGGCTCCTTGTCAAATTTGGTAGGCAGCTCTGGCAGAGGTCCTAGAGAATCCTTAATGGTGCTTGTAGGGGTGGGTATTGTCTGAATTGGCTCTGCTACCAGATGGAAGAACATTTCCAAGGGATCGTACACCGCGTCGAACAACAGCCGAACATCTTCCACTGAGATATCGTATGCACCCATCGCCGGCACAAGGTCAACATACGGTGGATCCGACGCCCGGGGAAGAAACGGATAGCCCGGGGTGCTCATTCCTAGGCCATCGTGCTGTCGACCCCTTCTAAACAGGATCTCAAGCATGAAGCGCAAACCGCTGTTTTGACTCAATAGCTCCTTGTTTCTCGGGGTAACCTCCATGAGCAGCATCAACAGGTTAAAGTAATCGGTTGCCAACTTTGGATTATTGCAATCGATTATCCGTCCGAGCAGGCGAAGTGTCATTCTTGCAGCATCTGCGTCTCTGAATACGATTCCTGCAAGCTGCTTGAACGCTAGTCTCTCTGAGGGTACGACCGAATGGAGCCCAAGGTTGGTAGTGTTCAACCCAAACCCTCCGAGATTGCGAGAATTGCTGCGCTTCCTGTTGACAACGCCTCCATTTGTCTTCGGTGTCTGCAATAACCTATTAGATGACAAGGTCTTCGAAAGTCCAGGAGAGCTCTGTTCTTCAGGTTGAACATCGTGGCTTGGTGGTGCGGGTGTGGAACGTCCGCTTCGCTGCAGTTGCACACTACTGCGCCTTGATGAGCCTGTACCAGCGGGTTCACCGGGTTCCAGGATGGTGGGAATCTGGGAGGCATTTGAGACGTGCTCCTGGGCTAACGATATAGAGCTGGAGGCCGATGTAGCTGCTATACTCGACCACGGAGACATTCCGAAAATACTATAGCGGCTGTTACTACCAACGGTCACGCCCCCATTCCCAGAAATGACTGATGAGGTCGATGATGGTCCAGTGTGGAGCAAAATCTGAGAACCAGTTGAGCTCGGATTCGAGAGTTCCAGACTCTCATCTAAATAGACACTGCTAGGTCGCGAAGGCGTGCCTCTGCCATTCGTCTGGTACGCTGTGGATCCACCTGGCCAATCGAGTTTGGTATTTGCAGTTGGCACCTCAGGCGTCCGAAATGAATTCCGCTCGCCGATCTTCCTGGGGCTAGTGAACGGAAGAGCAGAGTGGAAGAGCGGACGTGGGTCCGAAAGATTGGCAATGAAGGGCCAGACCTCAGTACAATAAATAGAGCTCCCTGCCTCAACATGGGGCCGCGACTTGCTCGACATAACATTTCCGACCGTTGCCACTTCCAGAACAATTTCACAGCAAATCCTATATAAAAAGAGACAGGCGAAATGCGCGACAGTTAGTTATAAGACTCCATGTATCGCTTGCAATGAACATATGGTATACAAACACATACTTGTCCAAGGGACGACATGAATGTAGCACGATCTCCAAAAAGCCGTCATATCCAAAGTTATCGCCCAGCAGTGCTTTCGTTCCTTCATATCCTGCAAAGAAATCGCCTATCGCCACTAGGGCTGCTGTAGCAACGTCCGGATGCTGGGCGCTCTGTTTAGTATATGCAAGTAAAACTACTGCAGTTAGCGGGGATCAAACGAACGATCGCAAGATTCGAACGTAAATAGTAACTGAATATATATGAGTATCGATATCACTTACACTAAGTACACTCAACAGAAGTTGCATGCCACAAGCCTCACCAAAGGCGGGTTTCGCATTGCAGCTCTTCCGAAAGATGAGGGAGACAGTGCCGCAGATCTTGGTGTACAAGTATGCCAGTAACGCATGGGCCTGATCCTGCTGCCGCTCAGCTTGGACATGAAGGAAACCCTGACTATGCTTGCTCGAGATTTTGGTCGCCTCGCTCTGTCTCCGCAACTCTTCAATTCCTGCCAGCGCAGATTTTAGCATGACAATGATCCAAGCAACTACCGATCCATTGTCTGCTTCCTGAAGCGCAAGATCCCTAAAAAGCCAGAGAGCAAGATCAGAGACGACGATGTCGGAGCGATAGCAATCCTGGCAGAGCGTTGGTTCCGCGAGAGAGTCGGCGTAGGTTGCTGGTTGTTCATCCGCGCGTCCGGCATGATGGCACGACCGCCGCTCGAGAAGGATAGTGTTCGCCAGTGTTTCAAATCCCTGCAGTAACTCGAAAACATCAACGCTGCTTCCCATGCCTCTAAGTACCAAGCCAAGGATGTGCAGCGTCAGGAGCCGCTGCTCGGTGTGTACACAATCCCTGAGCTCCTGCTCATGTTCGTCGTCGATCTCTGCAGAGGTTTTACGTCTCTTATGCTGATTCTCGAGCATCCTGCGGACGATTTGCAGATAGATACTGGCGAATTTTTCCTCCACGGGAATGCCTCTGGCAATCATGTCCGCAACAATCCTTCCAACGCAGCGAAGCACAACATTGATAACAATCGACGAGTCGTCAGGAAAATCAACCTCCATCAGCAACCGAGAGAGTTCCTATTGATGAGGTGCAAAGGGAGGCATTTTGTGAATAAGAGTTCTGGGATACAAGCATAGACGACGTCCATTGGAGATATCATGCTTACATATAGAATGTAGACATTATCGTGAATGAGCATCACCGAGATGTATTCCAGTAATCTTGTAAGCCCGATGGTGTATTGGTAAACGGGAGAACCGTCTTCGATCATCTCTGCGAGCACAGCCGTGTCCTCTGAGACCACAAAGCTGTCAAAGTACGTCAGGCCACAGAAAACGACACTCCGTACATTTGGTGAGTTCGGATCAAGCCCCATCTGACGGCCAAGCGTCCACTGTGCGTCCCGCAGCGTGCCGCTCGTCGGACGGTAACTTAGATACTCTCTCAACCGCCCAATAATGTTGTCGATCTCGCCACATCTCCACGCCGCCACTGCGTTCAAGGGGTTCAGCGACACGAGGTCCTGAATCGCATACATTGCATACTGCCGGACATCCAGCTGTTTTGACTCCAGCAGCAGGCGGAAGAGGAAATGGAAGGCACCCGTGTTCTGAACCATGTCCCTTGTTGAACCATCCAAAGCCAGGTCGAAGAACACCGCCAGGAGCGATCCCAAAAGAAGAGATCTCTTAGTAGTCAGAGGTGCCGCCATGGACCGTCTGTGCTCCGATCCAGATATAAAGTCGTTGTCTCCTGACGGAGCTGCCGGATGAAGAATGCTCGATAATCGGTCCGCATTGGGCGATTCAGGTGACAATGAGTGTGAGTCCTGCTCGCACTGCTTTGCACTGCCCGTTGGTACTATGATCTCGTCAAAGACATTTAAAAGAGTGCTGAAGCCGTCCATGGCCTGGAATTCTAACTGGTTGGCGGAATTTTGGAATAGCACTTTGCAGACTGTCTCCATGATGTCAATCTTCGTAGCCAACCTCGTTCCCGTTGACAGATGATTCTTTTGAGTTGATTTCGAGAGGTCAAAACGTTGCTGCCCAGATATCTTGTCGCTCAAGATCGTCATAAGCGAACGCAGTGCACCTTGATTTCGCATAAACTCCTAATAAGTTATCAAATGTAGATAAATTATGCGTTAAAGTATTGTGCGAAGGAAATGAATCATCAGCGCCAGCGACTGGCTATTTCGCCATACCTTAAGAACATTGTCTGGATGACTCTTTCGCAAAAGCTCTTCTTCCTGCGCCAACTCGACAGCCGCTCCCCGTGTTGCCTTTGACACCTCGGACCAAGTCCTGTCCTCCGAATTCCTTCGTGCTCCAAGGACAGGCTTTGTTGTCGCACGTAAATCTGGTGTCGAGGCCATCTTTTTGAGAGAGCAGCTTCTCGCTAATTGAGCTGATCCTGGCACAATGCTGCTACTCAATTTGTCTGGTGGCAGAGCAGAATCTTTTTGGCAATGGGTTTCCGGCGGCTCGGGCAGTTCTGGCAACTCTGTAGGCGATTCCGGATCGTCTATGGGGGGGTTGTCCTGTCCAACCAGCTGGGAGTAATATGCGATTGTGAACTGAATTTGCTCCGCATTGGGTATATAGTGCTTTTCCGTGCTGGCGTCTCCTGCGTCATCGTTGCCCATTCCGAGGATGCCTAGACCGTCTTGGTCCTTCAGCTGAGGGAAGATCTTTCCCAGTTCCTGAACAAACATTCCTCTGACCTCGCTGATGGCCTGAGAAACACGATCGATGCCTGTCATGGCTTTCATTGATGATGTGCTATGTAGTCGCCGAGGCAAATCAAAGGGTGACGTCCCTCGTGACAAATGTCTGTCCATAATAAAAGACTTTGGTCTTGGCGGCAATGCTGAATCCTGTGTTTGTGGTCGGATCAACTGGACAGAGGAGCGAGAAAGTAGAGATTTTGGATTGAAGCCCATAATCACGCCTGGTCTAGATCGTGCAGATGACAGCGGGTTAGATATCGAGGATTTTAAACCGGGCGCCACTAACGCCAGGTCCGCGATCTCTGGATCGCCACTGAACTCCAACAAGTGGTTGACCGTCCTGACAACTTCTTGTGTGAGCTCCGGATTCTCCGTGATCAAAAGACGCAGAATCTTTTTGTAGCCCTCCAATTTGGCTATGAATAATAATGAAATATGAATGTCAGTATTTGATAAGCAGCGCTTCCCTAATTAGCAACTCGCAGTCATGTTGTTCTTACCAATCTCAATTTTATTACGATCGCTCTCTCCGATTGTCGCAATGATGCGAAGAATAAGAATCTTGGTCTCTGGCGATCCAGGCTTCTCCAAGAGTGACAACAATCGCGAGATAAAGTCCGGAGCTTCAGCGGCCTGCCTCCTGTACTTGTCCTCCTGAGATAGCGGTGCCAGGAAAAGAAAGAACGTTATTATTATCCATTCGATTGCTTCTTTTTTTTTTTGAGATCAAACAACCATAACTCAGTCAGGAATGAAATTCTACCTTCAATATCAGATTAATCAACGCCAGAGCCTTGTTCACCGGTTCCTGCATACACTTTGCCCGATCGTACTTTTTTAACGAGGATTCTCTAAAGTGTTTAGAAAATGAGAATTACAAAATGAACAAGTATATTTGAGAAATGAAATGCCGCCATATCTGCCTTCTCCTGGCTGTATCATTTTTTTCTTGTTCCTCACATACCGTTCAACGATGCTGAACAAAGCGGTCATGATTTCTGAACAATCCCCGTAAAGTCTCTCGATCGACATTTCGCCCTGTTCCTGTTCCACCTGCGGGATCATCTCATTATAGGCTTCGTCAAAAGTGTCCAGAAAGGCATTGAGTTTCTGCGCGACAGTCTGTACATCACTGTCAAGGTTAAGAGAGCAGTAAAGCAATGCTTGGTTAGCTGCTGTAAGCAGAGAACTGTGACTCGTGCCCATATCCCTCCTCCGGTTTCCCTCGTACACATGAGTATTACATAACATAGGTTCACACTTGATTAGGGATTCAAAGATGCTGCCAGAAGCAACGCTGATAAAAAGAGCCGCAACAATACATGCACGATTACTCGACACGATGTCTAACACGTTTTTCTGTCAAAAGCACTGGATCTCGATGCGAGAGCAGTTGTCGTCATCCTCTGATCGAGACTGGAAATAATCGATAGTCGGCGGTTCATCTCCAGAAATGACAAGCCAAGCGCCAACAAGACCGAGTGAGCGGTAAGTTAGGACTTGCCTTCTGTCCACGACGCCAGTGTACTCCTGCCATGCCCTTTGGATTCTTCGATATGTCTTGTGGGAGGCCCATTTCTGGCGGACACTCTTCATCCTGAGAAATCCTTATGCATGCGCTGCAGCTGAAGACAGGCTAAAAGAGACAAAAAATATATAACGATAATGATAATAAGATAAAATATCCAACGAAAAAAAACCTCATTTAAGTAAAACACGGTTTGGCAGGGTTATGCTTCTTTGCGAGCTCAGGTATGATCCCAAGAAAGTTGGCAAGTGTCATGGCTACCAAAGATGCTTTAAAAGTGACAGATGTACAACTGACTATTACACACCAATGACAATGACAAGGTGGTCGTTACCCCACAGCAGATGGAGCTTAAAGAGAATGCAAGGAGGAAGGGAGGGTGATGAGAATGGTCGAGACGATGAAGTGAAGGATGTGATGGAAGGATTGAGTGGGTGGGATGAGAGGAGTGCGACGAGAGCAACGAGACGAGTCGTACGTGGAAGAAGCAGACCCCCACCAACGTGCAAGAGATCATTAAATGGATAAGCCACATCAGGACTCACTTGTCTAATCTGATACTCACATCGAGATAGACTACGCGACTTGATGTGAGTTGTACTGGAGTTGATACTCGACACCTAGCGTAGCAGAGGTGGGCTTAGTCACTTGCAAGCAGAATTTGTCCTCAAGAAAAATCCCTTCTGAGATGATAGGGTCGACGCCAAGATACCAGGACGACTCTGGGAAAATCTCGGCCTGGCCTGTTCAGATCATGTACGATACTCCGTACCAGGATAAAATCCATTCACGCAGTGATCCATAGGAAGCTGGCGCACGCATCTGCATAGGATCCACCTAGCCGTGCTCTCAAGGCGGCTCGCGTTGCCATTTCCCAATTCAAACTTCCATAATGTCTGCTTCAGGTGGTCGGTCGTCTTCATCAATTCGGTCAAGTTATCGTCTTGCTAAAGCAGCCTCGATATATTAACTTCTTATATTTAGACGACATCAAAGCACCTTATATCGCATGCAATTGGAAGCAATAGATCGATGGATGCCGTCGCATCTTTCCTGTAGTCATCTGCAGACTCAAAACACTCGTGTTTTCTGGCTAAGTCGGGTGAACGGGGTTGCTCATATGGATCGGGACTATCAACCTAGTTCAAAAAGAACGAAGGCTACTGCCTCGTTTGTCGAGGTAGAGCAAAAGAAGGCCACAAATGAACGTGGGCCCAGCACCTTCATAAATCTTTGTAAGGGTGTGATGCCTATGAGAGCAGAGGGTCTCCAGTAGTTTTGGCCATCGTGCCTAGACTATGCTTGTGTAGATAACGAACGAGAGGGGCGGATGGCGGATTTTTCACACTGCTAAGGCTAAAACGAAGCAACACCTTACGGTGCGAATATATGCGGCCTACAGTGCGCAATTAGTTGCAAAAAGGGTCTTCCCTTAGCTTCAAGGTCAGTCCTATGTGAGCCATTCGAATCACGGTCATAGTTTTTAAGAAACCAGGCATACATTCACACTACTCAACTTGCGATCATGGCCACGACATTACAGAAGTGTAGTAGCCTGCTTTGGGGTAAATCAGCACAGGAATACATGACCGAGATTAACGCGAGTCAATTCTACGTCTGCGCGCCTGGACGAGATAGCGCAGTATTTATTCTCGCCTGCATGGAAGAACACCACAGTATCACGGTGCGCACTCAGCCTTTGAGAGTGGGCTCAGCAACACAAAAACTCAAGAACCCCGTATCATTTAAGAAAAGTTGAAGGACTGTCTCATGAACCACTTCCACATCCGCGTCCACGTCCAGAAACTGGACACATCTCGACATCGGAGGTCCATTTCTGGGCCTTCTGTGGCGTCTGCCGCTACGACGGAGAGGGTTCTACGAACTACCTGGGCCTAGCTGAGCAGTAGCTACCTTGGCCTTCTTTAGTTTTAGGCATGTCGTGTATCGTTCACAACGAAGTTCCTGGCGATGAAGGCAACGTTATGGGTACTATAAGAGCCCCAGTGGAGATCCTCTGTACACTTGGATTACAGTGAGGACACCTTTGTTATTAATTTTTAATGCTACGGCAAATGAGCAACAACGTCTTGACGGGAAATACACCCGCTATCGGATTTGGTAAAAGGTTAGGAAGAATGTTGTAAGTCTGAAGGACGGCATGCTTGACTAGAAGCTTGCTCTGTCACACCTCGATTCTCTCATTTCTTCCCATAGTAGCTATATCGACGACGGAGCAATAATTCCGGCCAATGAGACACCTGCGGTCGGGGGTATGATATCTCGAACCCTGCGCCATTGGCCACAACATGGGCGCACATCCCCTTTTATCTTGTCGTCGATGCTGGTGCCCTCTGCGCCGAGCAGACGCATAGAAAAAATGATTTGGTGTCCCATGGGCGTTCTCTGGCATATTCAGACGCTGTCGTGTATTAGGGCTGGCTTAAGTATGTACCAGCGTCAATGCATTCTAGCCCATACAGGAGGTGATACAAGGACGAGCCACGGCCGGTGGGAAAGTATGAGGGAGCCATGTTGAGCAAACCATCCGTTGCACTCATGTTAAATGATGATGTGTAACGAACAGGCTCAGCCTCGTTCAGCGCTATCAGTAAAGAAGAGAGAGGGAGAGGGTTGACATGGAATATAATTGAAGTTATTGAACTACACCTCGAGGTCTCATTACAAAGGGGTCACCAACACAAGGAACCAGTTACCAAACACGTACGACGTCTAATGGAAAAAAAGAAGGAGGGTGCATACGCCCGTTCCTACTTTTGCTCATCAACACAGCACGTGTTTGAACTAAGCTGTGGCGGAGCATACTGCGGCTGGGTACAGTGTGGATAGGAAAGGCGGTGAGCTCAGTTTAGAGGGTGCTACGACAATAAAAACTCATTAAGAAGGATATAGGGAGGCAATAGAGGATTGGGTAGACATACTTCCTATCACGTTGCATAAATGATTGTTCTCTTGCGCATGGAATCTCTTGAAGGGCCGGCATTCTGTTGACCAAGCAAAGATTGGCGCAGTATCAGCCGGAAGGAGATCCTTGCGACCGGAAATTCAGGGCACTTTACAGGAAAATCATTCGAGATCGGGATGACGCTGCGCAGTTGGGTTTTGTGCTGGATGATATCCAGCTGGCGCAAGGTACCTGAGCACGTTGTGGTTCTTCCTCAAGGAAACTCCTTGAACGTTCTAAGCGCGGCCCATGATGCTGACCTCCACTAGTGCAGCCATTTATTGCTCGCTCTGCCCCAGTTTCTGTAACACGGCACCTCTATCCTACAGGACGAACTGAACAGCCTAAGGATTTTCACTACTGGGCCGTGGAAGATAAAGTCCTTATCGCAAGACATGAGTAGCACATGCATCTGCTTCGCCATCGCAGCGACAGACACTTCGGTCCAAGCGTATGAGATCTTGCTGAAGCTATGTTTTGTCGGCGCCCAAGATATTTAGAACGATTTGGCTCCGGATGGGCTGGCTGCGCCACTAGCGGCGTCATAGCAGCTTTCAAGTATATCGTCACAACGCTATAAGCCGACTATACAAGTTCTGGCCCTTTCTGAGTGCTCGCCTTGCTTCTCACTGGAGAGTCTGCCATCGATATGAATCAGGGCCTTATCTCGGTCGAAGTCGTTTATGAGGCAAATGGAAGCAATGTAGATGGCGCTGTGGATTCGTGCCATAGCAACGGCGGCAACCTAACCATGTCGCCACAAAGCTGCATGGGTACGACCCGTACTTAAAAAGGTGCCCGTCATCATGAAAGCACCGCTGTTGCACTGTATAATCAGCCATAAGGCACCTTGAATGACGCTGGTCGGTGGAATGTAACAAGAGGCGGAGTCACTTTTTGTTTGTTACACAGCAACCTGCTAACCAAAAAAAAAAAAAAAAAAAAAAAAAAAAAAAAAAAGGCGTGTATATAGAAGGACGCGTTTGCTCTTGCCTCTAAAATTGTACTCACTGAGCCGAGAGAGATCGACAGAAACAATTGGTCCTGTACATTTTAATCACGCATGAGCATCTAAATGGCACAGCGCTCATCAATGCCGCCGACAGAGGAAGGAACGACTCGATAGAACTAAACAATCAGCATCGATATCACCAAGAATGGGCGCTATGTTTTCGCTATTAGTAAAGATCGCATTCAAGTCATCGATGTCCTGAATCTTGCTACTCAAGCACTTGGCATTGACCGCAGGTTTTCCATTGATGCCAAGATACACTGAAATGAGTTTTTTTGTCAGCCCTACTATACTATACATACTTTCTACTCGATTATCTTCCTTGCTTTCCGTTGCAGTTTAAGTCAGTCATTTAAAACTTAAGCCCGAGCACGTGGTTACTATGAGGAAGCCGATATCGCTCATTCTAGCATGGTTCAATGTAGGACTGAACGGGAAGACGATAATACCTGGTACAGAAATATGTGTTATCCCCTGGAACTTTAGGCACGCCAGGCTCGGGCACACTGATTATCAGGTCAAGGAACACGATAACACTGTGGTCATGGACGGCTTTAGATACGGCTAAAGTCGATCCATCATCGTTACACTTCCAAATAACAGTATGGATAATGGAATATCTGCGAGTACCTTGCCTTCTGCCTTTAGAAGCATGGACAACGAATGCGATTTCGACTATATCAATTTACTTTTTTTCCCTAGTACATCTGTAAAAAAACTAAGAACGTGGCCGAGCCATCTATTGCACTTACTGTAAGTATCTCTACTAAATCTTCGTCAACATTTATAAGGCATCATGAGTGGCCCACAGATTTATCACATCATCTGATATCTTAGCTTTATTGTAACGGCACATTAATATTTGATTCTGATGGTTGCCGACATCCAGCTCTCGTGCGGCCCATCGCTCAACGAGGAGCTTACTGAGAAGGGCTTTGGAGCGACAACAACGAAGGAATAGTCCCCCTCGGGTACTTTGCTAGTACCGCCTTCTTTATCGATTACTTGGCCAGACCAGCGCACCACAAAAAATTTCGCCCTGACAGAATCTGTGCGTCCAACATGCTCTCCATCCATGGGCGCCATGCCAACAATCTTTTTCCTAACTGCATCCATCACATAGATCTGAAGATTGCGCAACGGGTTCGAGATCTTAAGGACGAGTACGACACCTTTGCCGGCCATAGAGAATGTTTGTGGGGCCTGATCTTTCCTGCTCACGATCGGCACAAGTCGGCCATCGTTTATGGGGCCTAACAGAATCGGGAAGCCATCTTGCAGGTCCAGCATATCGACAGTGCCATAAGATCCGTGCATACCAACATAAGGAACTTGGAAAGCAGGGCGTGAACTGCTCGACGTTGGCTCCACCTTGACAAATCCGCTATAAATCCAATGGCTATCTAAATCGAGAGCTGCTGGTGGTTTGAAATGAATAGTCAATGAACGTGTTTCGCCGGGCTCGAGACGTATAGAGTTTCCGGTATCAAAGGCTAGTTCGGCTGCTGTCTCGTTGTAAACAATCTTGTCTGTAGGCTGGCCGGTGGGTGTGTAACCAAGGACGGACATGGCTGGCCAGTGCGTCAACGTGAACGTCTCTGCAGACTTGTACTGGTTCGTGAGCGTAAGGATATAGGTCCCTTTGGTATGAACGGTGTCGTTCAGTGCGAGATGTGTCGGCTGAACGAAAGCCTTGCCCTGTATGGCATCGAAAACGTTGACCATCCCTGCTCCTTGTCTGGCAACCGTGTTGGGCATTGTGGTTTTGCTATAAACCCCGGGCTTAGCGTACGTTTGCAGGCGTCCTAAGACTGTGCTTCTGTCGATGCTGGGCTCGGCCTCAAGTAGCAGCGCGGCAGAGCCAGCGACAAAAGGGGTAGCCATAGATGTGCCGGACATTATCGCGAAAGAGCCATTAGCGACCTGAATAGCAGCAATAAAAAAAAACGTTAGAGTGCAGGAAGAGGAGGAACATGAATACAGGCAATTTCTTCTCATTCCGTTCCCTCTGTGGGTACTTGCTGGAACAGTACTGTAGATGTATCCGCCTGGTGCGCTAATGTCAGGTTTCATTTCAAGCAATGGGCCAAGACCCCAACTCGAAAAGGTTGATATTTGGTTGGCCATCTCATTCTTGAATACGCCTTTTTCTTCTTTGTAGACAACATTGATAATGCTCTTGTTGGCGGTCTTGAACTGGTCAAGGATTAGCTGACCCTGCTGCAAAGAGATACCGTGGCCGAAAACATGGACACTCGGGTCGTCTGCCTTTGGATGAAGCCCTCCTTGAACGTTATTATAAAAGATACATCCAATGGCGCCAGCTTCCTGTGCAAGCCGGGCCTAGTACACACAGTTGGGTGTATTAGATTCGTATTGCTCTTGTGCATCAGGAAGATATATCATCGTATACAGTGGGGGGGCCCTCTATCGCACTAGCTCATGTATACCTTGAGAACAAAGGTACATGTTCCTCGCTTCAAGAATGCGATGCTTCCTTCGATAGACGATGGATATGGCTTGCATCCTTCAGGGTCGTGCTCTGGGAAAACGAGCGGGAACGTCGCGCCTCCAAGGCTCTTCTGCTGCGAATCGGAATAATCTATGAGTAGCGCGAAACTATGCTCAGTATCTTCCACCCACTTCCTCCGATAACAAAAGCACAGCGACATTTATTGTGTTCATGCCCCTCTTACCAATGCGAGAATCTGGAACTCCCTCGAGCTCAAAGTAGTTGGCAAGATACCCGAGCCCCTCAAAACTTGCAACGGAGATGACCCTGGGGTTAATAGACGGGGATGAGACTTCGCTAAGTCCTTGTTCCCCATCGTTTCCGACCGCCGCCACTACAACTACTCCTAGCTCAACAAGTTTCGCGGCGGCTTTTGACAGAGGTGTGTTTGCCCAGGATGATCCTCCACCGAGGGAAAGGTTTACAATGTCCATGCTATCCTCATACGCCTGCTCTAATGCTGCAATGATGGTGTCATCCTTAGAGTTGCCTGCGCAAGGAAAAACTCTGTATGCGCCAAGGGTTGCTATTAAACATCATCGAGAGACAATGTAAGCACAGAAAGTAACCTGCTTCATGACAAGTATCTGTAATCTCGATAAACTCTCACCTTGAGGAGCAACGCCGAAAAAAGCGGAAGCAGTGCTGTTCCCAGCAATAATACCCGCCACATGCGTTCCATGCTACAGTATTGCATTAGACAAGCGACTCTCAAGTAATAAATGCACTTGAGGTATTAATAACGACGATATGATTAGGCTCTTACCCCGACGCAGTCAAAGCCTCCAGGCGTATTTGATGTTAGCGGATCCACAAAATCACGTCCGTACTGAACCTTGCATCCGGGGCCTAAAGTTGCAGTGACGTATCAATTAGTATTGCCACCCTTTGTAACCGCATGTACACGCTTTCAAACACCCAACGAACCGTAGCATGAACCAAGCGCCTCATGGGTATAGTCAACACCAGTATCTGTGTAAGTTAACATATAAGTTATTACTGTCAAGTCTTTCTTCCCTGTTAACATAAATGCCACTCTTCAGCAAAATTCATACCAATAATCCCAATTTTAATGCCTTTTCCTGAAAGCTTGAGATCGTTGCGCGCATTCAGGACACCTGTTTGTTCATGCGCTGTGCTGATTTGAGGAGTGGTAGCAAGGGTAGTCAAATGGTTCCCATGCATGATTGCTTTGGGCTGATCCATGGAGACCTATGGGTATAGGCCGAAAGGAAAGACTCTCAGCACCTAAATTTCATCTTGCAGGACATACTTCGGATAGCATGCCACTTCACGTACCAAGGGCGAGACCTTGATGACCCCTGGAGTTGATTGGATCATGTCCAGAATCCCAGAAACCTTGCTGGAGGGCACACCCTGGAGATCGATGCTCATTCCATTTATAAGGGAGAAAAATTCATGTCGCAGAGCATAGCTCACATGAAGTTCATCACTCAGGAAGGATCGAAAATCTTTATGCTGCTCAGCGACGCTGGCATGGCGGTTTGCGGCGAGCTTCTGAAGTCCTCCCTGCTTTTCCAACTTATTTCTTAAGCATCGGCTTAAGCCTGCGGCAGGTAGATCAAATTCAATCAAGAAGCTTGAGGGAAGAGGAGCCGATAGTGCCTGGATTGAATCAACCCCAGCGTCTCTTAAGGGAAGAGGCAACTGAAGCTCGATATCACTGGGTTCCGGAGTAGACTCAATGGGTACACCTGCGATGGTTATTATAGATAGCGAGAGAGTGAGAAGGAGGCATCTTGACTTCATGAGTGATTAATCAGGAATAAAATGGGTGAATAGTGGTTGCTAGGGGTATATGTTGACAATGGCGAACATATCTCAAAATGAAGCAACACAGGGAATATCCTGCCTTTTAAGTGGGATAGATTATCGCGCCAGCCCCGTCATATCAGCAGGATGGATAGAGAAAAGTATGCATCGAAATGCAAGTGGTCTTGGAGTTGAGTGACGCACGGTGTATTGCCTGCCTTAAGTATGGAATCCCAAGACTGTCCTGAACCTCAGATTTGAATGGAACGCGCGGTCCGAGAACGACCTTGCGCCCGCGGGGATGATCGTCACCTCTTGCCTTGTAAGAAAATAACCCCCTCGTTAAACCATTACATACTAGAATGAGCAGTAAAACACTACTAAGCTTGCATCGTGCCAAAAAGAAGCGTGCGTTTTTTTTTTTTTTTTTTTGAGCCAGGAACTTTATAAAATAGTCTAGGCGGTGAATAATACTGAAAACCCACGTATGACATGTATATGGAGTCTATGTAAGGTGTATGGTTTTTTTTTTATCTGAGTTGGTGCTGTGCCACTATCCGAAGCGCGTTGGTGCGCATAGATCGCGCCACACCAGCACTGTTGATAGGGCTGTCATTCAACACAAAAGCATAATGCATATCCCACACGGCTCTGACCCCGCATGCCACCAACTGAGGTTAATGAAGCGGTAGAACTCTTGCTGGATGGTGATGCGTGGTAGAGACAGCTCAGGTAGTGAACAGAGGCCCTCGTCGGTCCAAGTGGACTGCCTAGTGAAGGTTGACAGGTACGATGTCCATGCGACGCGTTTCGGCGGGCAAAGGAAGACCATATGGCGCTTGTCTTCGACTATTCCTCCATATATACGGCAGTCTAGATATGGGTCATTGTGCCATTGACGGAAGCGGATCTCGTTGGTAGCCAGTTTGTCGTGGATGTACCGCCACCAGATGGTCCTGGCATTATGGGGAATGTCCGCCTGCCAGGACCGTTTCCAGGCGGCGCGCGTTTTGTGTGAGGCTCATTTTAAGTGTGTAAATGTGGGTCCGTGCGCATCATTAAAGGTTGTGGATCAACTTCGTTCTCACGATATATTTATCGCGACAGCATTTTCTGTCCAGGCTAAATCTTGCAAGCGTGCCATGGCAAATGAATCGAGGATCAGGAATCTGAATGCAAGAACCATTGACTTGAATGGCGAATGGCACCTCAGCAGCCAAGACCAGTCGGTCCGAGTCAAGGCCACTGTCCCAGGTACTTCTTGTTTTTTATACCCAATCCCTCCAAGCAATAGACAATCACCAATACTTTCTTTCTTTTCTTTCTTTTTTTTTTTTCTTAGGGCAGGCCCACCTTGATTTGATACAAGCGAATGTTCTGAAAGAAGATCCTTACTATGGCATAAATTACGTGAAGTAGGGAACAGCATGAAGTAGTTCCGGAGTTTGTTTTCCATCAAATTAACTATACACCTAACAGCCTCAATCTTGTCTTCGATCAATCCAAAGGGACTCAATGAGAAAACTGATTGAGACCACATGGGTGTATGAAAAGGACTTTTTCTTGGATGATAGCATGGTCTATGCGATCGCTATTCTAGACTGCGAGGGACTCGACACAATCGCCACTATCACTTTGAACGGCGAGCGAGTCGGATGCACTCAGAACCAGTTCCGGCGCTACTTGTTTGATGTAGGCGCCTTTTTGAAACCAGGACCCAACATTCTCCGGATCCAGTTCGAGGATGCGGTGAAGCATGCAAAGAAGAAGGCCGCTGCTTATCCGTATTACGTATGTTGCTGCATATTCTTCTGCTTTTACGCCTTTCGGAGGTCAAGTTTAGGCGTGCCTAAAGTACGATCGATGAGAAGTACTGCTGATTTTACCTGCTCATACCTAGGTTCCTGATATGTTTAATATGAGCACGGCTCAACATGGGTTCCCACACCGCAACTTTATTCGAAAGGAGCAGGTACTTTATACCCTCACAAACTGCTCTGGAGTCGCACCCTCGTACATCAAGATCAGATGTCTGATAAACACTCTCATTATTAGTGCTCTTTCTCCTGGGACTGGGGTCCGGCGTTCGCGCCCTGCGGTGAGGGGATCATCCGCGATGGTGCGTTCGATCTATTAGTGAGGCATGAGTATCTAAATCCGCTGTTGCATTACACTAGGGATTTGGCGGCCCATTTCATTGAAACTGGACGAGCAGGGGATTTTGGTGAAAAGCTGGTATCTCAAGACCTCCTATAAAGCAATTCGAGACGCTTGGGAAGTTCAGGTAATGAATGTTTGTCACCATGCGCGCGTTAATTAAATGAATGATCACCATGTTGAGTGAAGGCGTCTCTGGTCACAGATTCATCTAGAGCTCGTATGCGATCGAGACCAGAACTTAGTAGCAAAGCTACGCTTCGATAAAGGGCTCCCTGCGACGGAGCACCAGTTAATGGTGACCGCTGGGCAATGTACAACTGAGCATTCTTTTTTCGTGGAACTTTCGCCAGTTAACCGTTGGTGGCCGAGGGGATATGGAGAGCCAACGCTTTATTCTGTGGAAGTGACTCTGCTGAACGATAACGCATCCACGGTTGCGTCGCATATTTTCCAATGTGGATTTGTCGAGTCTGAGCTCATACAGGATCCACTGACCGAGGGGCGGGATGGAGAGTCGTTCAACTTTCGCATCAATGGCGTGGATATGTTTGCGAAAGGCACAAATTGGATCCCAGGTCATGTCTTTGATCGTATGATGACGATGGAGCAGAAAAGGTACGCCGCTTTGCTGTTCCCCTCTGTTGTATTATGCTTCCATTTGAATAGTGATTCGCTCATACTTCTGTCCCGCAGGTCTCTTCTTCAGAGCTGTGTCGCCGCCAACATGAACATGATTCGCATCTGGGGAGGCGGCCGATATGAATCAAATGGTAAGACTTTCATGTGGGTTGAGATGGCACCGATTAACTCTTGATCTTCCTAACAATTTTCGTAAAATTTATAGAATTCTATAGGATATGCAACGAGCTCGGAATCATGGTGTGGCAGGAATTCATGTAAGTGAGTCCAGCTGGACTATAGCAAATCAACTACAGCTCATTCGAACATCAGTATGATACTAAGTAAATCCGTTATATGTCAGGTTCGCGTGTGCTCTATACCCCACAAATGACGAATTTCTGGAAAACATCAGGCAGGAGGTATCGGATCAGACTAAAAGACTGATGGTGCACCCATGTATTGTTCTCTGGTCAGGGAACAACGAAAATCAGGAGTTTATAGTGAAAGGGTAGGTGACCGCGGCTGTATTTAATTGGAAAGACACCTCGAAGGGATCCATTCTTAATACTCCATTCTTCATTGTAACGCAATTAGATGGGATAAAGCCACCGTCCGCAATCCATATTTATTCACGGTATAGGCAGCATCAGTGGAGGCCAGGCGCCTTTGATAGGGCATCTCTGTGCATCCCTTCCTAAGTCTTGACTGAATGTTTTTTAGGTTGATTATCACAAGTTATACGTGGAAACCATAATGTCGTCGTTGAACAAATTGGACACGTCCCGTCCATTCATATCCACGTAAGTCAGCGCATCAGGAGAAGATCGTCAAGACACTGGACTTTGCTTGCTTACATTGCCAACTGTATGACTAGATCGCCTTCCGCCGGCGTGATATGTAAGACACCATACACTGAACGGTATGTTCTCCAGGATTCTGAGCGCGGCCTGTATGGGGATGTCCATTTCTATGACTACAAGCACAATGGGCTGCATGTAGAGCATTACCCGAATGCACGCTTTGTCTCAGGTAAGGCATTTTTTCGAGGAAACGTATTTGCTCATGCACTGTGCTTGTCATAAAGGCTGATGGCACCCATTGTGCTCTAGAATACGGGGCGCAGTCTATGCCGTCGTTCAGAGCATGGCGAAAAATCTCGTCTCCAGATGATTGGCACCCCCTTTCAACCCTCTCTGTACATCGCAATCACCATAAAAGTGGACAGCTCGAGATGCTTGAGCAGATTGAGGTAGGAGTGGTCAAATAATTGCTGTGATGTATTCGTCACATAGCCCTGTATTGCTAACAACACCTTCTTTTTCTAGCACCAGTTTCAGCTGCCTGCAGCCTTGTCGAAATATTATCACGCGAACTTCAAAGACGTATCTGAGATACTCATAGACATCAGCGAGAATCTCTTTGATTTGTTCTGTTACTTGACGCAATGTGTTCAAGCCCGTTCAATCGTCAATCAAACTGAGCACTACATACGAGGTCGCAGCGAAGATAGACGCACCATGGGCGCACTTTATTGGCAGCTGAATGATATCTGGCCGGCGCCTACATGTAAACATAAGCGAGCACGAACTACGCCAAAAGTGTCGGTCCGTACCTACGTGAATGCTGATTTTCCTTCTTTTTTTTATCACTTATTCTCATTGCACCGCTAGGGTCGAGTATTGAACACGGAGGTGGGGATTTTTTTTTCCTCCTATTGTTGGTGATGAACCATATTAGGCCTGCAATAACAGCGAATCATAAATGATATAGGTCGTTGGAAACCTCTTCACTACTACATTAAGCATTCCTTTGCTGATGTCCTCGTCTCAGGATACCAGCCTGCTAAAACACGCTCGCTCCGAATTCATATTTCCAATGACAGATCCACGCCCATTGAAGGTGGGAGTGACCAGATATTAGCTGCAGTAGTAGTATCAATTGCATGGTTTTTTGGGTTCTTTGGCAATTGCTGATCCAGAGACGATCGACTTTTATTCTCATAGGTCAACTATTCGTGCGATCGTACGACATCACATCTGGCCAGGCTACAACGAGCACTTCTGTCTCCTTCACCGTGAATAGCCATTCCAGCGAACTGGTAATGCAAGTTACATCTGATCTCCTGGGTGACGATGGAGCCCTTGCGCCACGTTTGCTATTGGCCACTGCGAAGATTACCAGCAAAGTATGCAACAAGACTTACGAGATGCTGCCTCAAATTTTTCCTGTGCGGGATCCGTTCCTCCTGGCTTGCCTCAAGAAAGACCCTGGAATATCAGTCGTGGAACTCGTCGTGAGGGAAGGAGCCCTGAGGAGCGAGTACCAAATTCATATCACGCTCCAATCGTTATCAATCGCTGGGTTTGTCTGTCTTGAATGGGACAGAGATGGGGTGGAGGGGTATTTTGACGAGAATGCGTTCTGGCTTTTGCCGGAGGAACCAAAAGCAATTATTTTTTACGGCAAGGGAGACATGAGTGCAGTGGATACGCAGAAGAGCGATCTGCAGATCAGATCCCTCTCTGACGCTTTGCATTGCGCGAGTACTCTTGAGACGCTTCTCTTTTAGCGAGCATAAATCGCAGATTGCATAGGAAAAATGATATGGCACCCCTGGGCACTCTTTGGCATATTCAAACGTGGTTTTTATCGCATTTTTCCTATGTGAATCGGTAGTAAAACTCTCTTTGAGTGGGTTATTCACATATTCAGCTACATGTCGCGCTGAGTCTCGTTCAGAGAGGTTCAATTCAATCCCCAATTAAAGTTTTATTGCAGGTTTGCGCGCGAAAAATGCGATAAAAACCAGTTTCGACTGTTAGTTAAGTTTTATTTCCATTTATGTGTGTTAGCAAGCACACTTTTAGTTTAGAGGTGGCGCGTCTTCGCGGGAAGAACGTCTTCGGTGACGTATTTTCGGCAAGAAACGAGCTACTCTCCCTTCATCACCCTACTTCAGGCACTATTCTTCACTATCATCAATCGACAACAATAAACATAGCAAGCACAGATCAGCAAAGGACTATTCAACTTCATGTCCAACGTGAACGATCAGCCTGTTACGGACACTCAGTCCGCGCAGGCAATTGCCCCTGTAGCTACTACAAAATCACCGCTCCTAGCGTCATCCACGGGAGCGTCAACCCCAGCCTCGACGTTGAGCGCTGCGCCTGCCTCGGCATCCCTTCCAGCAAAGCCTGTTCCCGTCTCGAAAGCGCCCAAGATCCCTACGAGCGAGTATGACTACTATATCGTTCTCGACTTTGAGGCGACATGCGACGATAACAAGCCTGCCTCGGAGCTTCTGGTCACTTCGGTACGTGTTCTTAATCTGTCATGGATCATGAGTGGGTCGATCATGAGCAGTTCGCTCATTCATATATGTTTATGGGCACAATAGGCAACTTCGGAAATCATCGAGTTTTCATGGCTCTGCGTCGCAAAGAACAATTTCGCAGTTCTTCACGAGGAGCAAACATACGTTAAGCCTGTCTCAACACCTCTCACGCCCTTCTGCCAGCACCTGACCAAGATCACGTCCGAGACTCTTGAAAACGCCGGCACGCTTCTCGATGCCATTAATATCCTTGATTCCTATATCACCACGGAAATCCTGGACAAGGGCAAGACGTTCTGCTTTGTTACTCATGGCGCCTGGGACCTGCGCATCCAATTACCACGAGAAGCCAAGGAAAAGGGCATCACCTTGCCTGCGTACCTCAAGGAGCCCATACTTTTCGATCTCAAGGAGGAGGCCACAAAGTGGATTGCGCATCACTCAGAGGTCGTCCTCAAGTCTTTCTCCCTCGAGAAGATGTGCGAGGCCTTTGCAGTCTCGCTCGCGGGTCAGCTGCATTCAGGACTCGACGACGCCAAGACCATTGTTAACATCATGAAGTATCTTGTGGCATTTGCCCATACGGACGTGTTTACACAGGCAACGGACCCAGCCCAGACGCTCAAGATGTTCAAGATGGAGGAATCCAAGATCGTGCGCATCTCGTCCTTGTCCTTTGACATTACCCAGCCAGAGTTGGAAGCATTCTTTGCCGCCAAAAATCTCAAGCCCAAGGAACTAGTCATGCAGTCTAACAACTCCAACAGACCCAGCGGTGGTGGATTTGTTGTCTTCGAGAAGCACTCTGATGCTCTGGCGGCTCTGGAGCTGAACGGAGCTCTCCTCGGACAGCGCACTATCGAGATTTCTCCTTCAAGTAAAGCAAGCATGGAGGTTCTCAAAGGAAGGCTTTCTTCCTTTCAGGTACGTCTTGATTTTGATCTCTTATTTTTTGTTCAGTTACTATTCAGGTTGTCCTGTTACATGGTCATGTTACGGCATAGCTTATCAAAACGGCTTTTTTCTCTGCCTTATGTAAGTAGAACACTTCTACCAAGAACACTCATTCAACAGGATCAAGACCCGGCGACTGGACATGCAACATGTGCCAGTTCGTCAATTATGCTTCAAGAAGAGCCTGCCTGAAGTGCCAGTCCCCTTCGCCTGAAGGCGCTGTACCTTCCCAGCCATCGAATTTTACCTCTGGAGACTGGATGTGCCCTAGCCCCCAATGCTGCTTCCACAACTACGCCTCACGCACACAATGCTTCAAATGCCAGACGCCAAGGCCTGGCACATCTGGAAACGGAAACAGCTATGGGAATGGAGGCCCTGTGGCTTCACCTCATCACCACTCGCATCATTCTCATCATCATCACCCGTATGCGTCTGGTGGAGGAGGAGGAGGAGGAGCTGGAGGAGCTGGTGGACACTCTATCACCTTCCGTCCCGGCGACTGGAACTGTCCGAACTGTAATTTCCAGAACTTTGCTTCCAGGACGCAGTGTATGAAGTGCAGCACACCCGCGCCGTCCGGTGGAAGCGGCAGCCATTCTGGAGGCGGCGGAGGCGGTGGTAGTGGAGGTGGATACCGAAGCAACAATTCTGGCTATGGAGGATACAGCGATCACAGTGGAGGTGGTGGTAGCTATGGAGGCCATCAAGGCAGTCGCGGCGGCGGCTCTTATGGTAGCGGTGGTGGTGGAGGCCAGTATGGCAGTCAAGGTGGTGCTGGGCAATCCTATGGCGGCGGCGGTGGAGCGCCTGGGGGACAAGGCGGTCACTCGTTCCGCCCTGGCGATTGGAGCTGTCCATCTTGCAACTCTCACAACTTCGCGTCCCGATTCCAGTGCATGCGTTGCGGCTTGACGAAGCCCTCCCAACGCGACTCGTCGCCGGCATCTAGCTATGCCCCAATGAATCCAATGAAGCCCGGCGATTGGATTTGCCCGAATGCTCAGTGCGGATACCACAACTTTGCGAAGCGAGCGACTTGTGCTCGATGCGGTGCCAGTGCACCCAATCAGGGCGCTCCTAGTGGCGGCAATGCCAGTTCGGTTGGAAACCTGGGCTACTATGGAACGCAGCAGCACCATGCACCTCCTCCTCCACAGCCAGCGCCTGTCCCAACACCAGGATATTCGCCGATGAACCCTTCATACGGTAGCTATGGTGGGCCGACTTATGGAACCCAGCAACCACAGCAAGGATATGGGTCCTATGGGTCACAGCAGTATGGACCACCCTCGAGCCGTTACTAATCAAGAAAGAAGTGTCGGCATTGCGAACCACGGAAACAAAACAGGCAAAGCGTGGTTGTATCAACTCTGGGAGCAGCAACAAAATGGAGTCATTGCGGAACAAAAAAAGAATTGAGGGCATTGGGATGGAAAGTGAGAGTTGAGGGTGGGCAAGGATGGAGGAACCTGTTGGATCTGCGTGCGTTGCGTACAAGGGGCCAAGAAAGAGAGGGTGAGTTCTGACCTATACTGTTCATTGATGATCTCCATATCTCTTTCGACATTACCCACTGATACCGTGTGTCATTGACCAAGGGGCGTGGTTTTGTGTGTCGATCTTGACAGAAAAGAGATACGGGCTAGAACGGTGTGTAACAAACGGTTGTCCTTTCCTGTTTTCCTCTTTCTTGCATGGCGATTCTGGTGCGATAGTCTGTCGGAGGTCATCGTTCCTTGTCAGTGTCTTTCTCGTCCTCTCGTGGAGCGAAAGAAAGGAAAAGGAAGGATATTGGTAGCTAGGTGCGTAAGTGAGTGGATGTGTCCCCTGGAAGGCGCTGTCGGGTTCAGGCGTCATCGGGTTCAGGCATCATCGAGTTCATGCGGAGGAAAGTGATCTCGGAGGGCGGCGAGGCAACAATCGAGTTGGAATGAACGGTTCCTGGATATATCGTCGTGTGAGGGTTATATCTGTTCGACTCTGGGCTGGCAGTTCCCTTTTTTCTCCATTCGCAACATATCAAACACACTGTGCAGTGCGCGCTACAACTTTCGATGGAGTTTCAATTATTTTTGTTCAGATTTTTTGCTCTCACTTTTCAGTACTTATAAAGGCAGTTTTTTTTTGCAGGGAAGATATTCCTTGGTTCCATGCGATGTGATGTGTGATGACTGGGCAGTTCCAACAATTCTCTTGATATGTGAGGACAGGTAAGAAGGGGCATTCGAGGCCACATTTGCTGCAAATAAAATGCCAACAGTATTTTTGTTTCTTTGTTTATTGGATATGCAACAGCACTGCTGACTGTGTAAAATAAATGTCTGATTATGCCTTCCAGCTGCCATTGAGTTGCATCAATGTCAGAACAGCATCCATGGGGTAATCTGTATCTAACATATGGCTGGTTTTGACAGCCTCCGGATCAGATTTGGGCGTGGTGTTCATGATCACCATCGCGGCTGGGGGCTGTGTTGCTGCTGCTGCTGCGGCTGCACTAGAGGCCTCAAGTTCGAGTAACTGACGTGCAAGGTTGGGATCCGAAAGTAGACTGGCCAGGTCTAGATGAGCGCCGCCGTTCTTCTTGACCAGATCGTTCAGCGCCAGCGCTGTCTTGACCGTGTTGGGATCAAATTGCGACGCGGCTGGGTTCAAGGCAGCGGCAGTGGCCTGGAGCTGTTGATGCTGGACCTCCTGATGGGTTGATGTAACGCCATTCACGCCATGGATGGCCAAGTGCTCGCTCAATGAGACCGAGGTGTTTGCTGCTGTATCGGACATTTCACCGGAGGGCAGTTGAATCCGCTTGCGCTCCTTCTCCTTGCGCTTTGCCTGACGCTTTGCAAATTCTTCTTCCATCCAGCGAGTTTTTTTCTCCGAAGGTTCCTTTCCGTGTAGCCGAGTCGCCCTTTTGTTGACTCTGCACCGGAGATCGTTGTCCTTGTCTAAAATTACGATGACGAAGTTTACAGAAAAGCGGATATGAATTAGCAAATCGAAAGGAGGAGGGTTACAGTACTAGGACTCCTGATGCGCCAGCTTTTCTCTCGCTGTCGTCCGCATCCTCGAAGAAATCTCCTGTAAGGCTTCTCCTATAGCGATATGAGCTGTCGGGTTGCATCTTTCTTGTATCTCCTTGACTAACCGCAACGCCCAAGAAAAGAGTCACAATCCCAATGACCGTTTTCTTTTTGACACTTCAGGAGAAATAGAGGTCGCGCGAAGATGTACACACAAATACTGGACAACTTACTTCGATCCTCATTTGCCTCGCGCCATCTCTTTTTGCGTTCCCTGTTCTCGTCCCTGATCTTCTGAGTACTTGCTTTCGACTTTGCTTCAGGAGTAGACCGAGCAGGTACTACTGTTGACTGGTTGGTTGAGTACTGGGCTACTTCTGATGCTGATGCGGTGGAAGTCTCAGAGACGGCGACAGGGGCCACAAGGGAGTCAGTATTGAGGCCCTCTGCGCTCATGGTAATTGCTGGCGAAATAGTGGATTAGGATTATAACAAAAAAAAAAGGTCGGCTTGAACAGTCGGCACGGTGGGGGACTTGTTGCTTGATGATCGCTGAGGAAGAGGTACCCAAAAAAAAAGAAAAAGAAAAAAGATGAAAGCAGTCGTCTGTGACTGTCGAAGTCTGACGTATTCATTAGTTTAGTTTGTTTAATTTAATATACAATTAAGAATAGCATCATCAATTTTGACACTTGCGACTGAATTGCGGACTTTAGGCGTAGCGTCACCATTATTATTGAAGTTCAGCCCTCTCCTTTTTCTCGGCTTGCGTCAGACTCTTTGAACTCTTCCATGGCACGCTCTGGTGTCCTAGGCTGCTCGTCCTACTTCGGTAAGGCACGAGGGGCATACTAGGAGAAATGAGTTTAAAAGAACAGTAGGGACAATGGGTCTGGTGAGGACAGCATTGAAGCAAGACCTGAAAAAAAAAAAAGCCATGCTTAGGCCGTACCTGTGCCATGGCCAACTGCAGGCTTGTATTTGGCTGGGCGGGCTTGATGTCGAACCTGACGGGTGGCGCTCTCCACGCCAATTGCGTCGCGATCGAAATACGCTTTGCAGGAACGACAATACTTGAGCGGCGCCTTCTAAGTATCAGTGGCAGGCAAGTCGGGGGCACTTGACCGAAGCGAATATTTGTAATACTCAAGGACGGGGCATCCCAATGTTCTGGCCTATATCGTTGGCCCCTTCCCATTTACTTCTCTGAAGGTGAACAATAAGCAATAAACAGCGAGTTAGCGTTTTTTAGCTTTAATTATATCTCGGGTGTTTAGCATCATCGCTTTAATCTCGACAGCGTTCGGCTAATATTGCTGTGCTATTTAATCCACTCCAATGCGCAGCATAGAGCTCGATCTCTTCAGCCTTCTCGGCTTTCTCAACTACTACGTTGTTCCCATGTTCGGGACAAAGAAAAAAAAAGCTATTCAGCGTTTTGTTTGAATACTAGAAGCCGCACAAGAATCTATAACCTTCGACAGGGACATGCTGAAATCAATAACTCCCGCTCAACATCAGTGGGCACGGTAGGACAGCTCATATTGGTAGGGAATGGCTTTCACTTCACTCAATTCCAATTGATGCTGGGTCTTTGCATGTTTAAGATGGAAGTACACTACATGCTCTACCATAGAGAAACTTGAAAGCATATATTCCGACGGCCTACGACCAATTGGCTTTATCCCTGTTGACCATAATAACTGGATCGCCTCCATGGTTACTTTGAACAAATAGAAGGACTCTCCTACGGTTCTCATATGCCTGCCATTCATGACAAGTGTCGATGATCGTGGGCATGCAAGAGCTCTGCATCGTATTGAAGTTAGATGTTACACGCGACTGAAGCGGTGTAACGGCTAAAACTACGTCCTTCGAAAGCGAGATGCGCTGTTCAACCATCGGTTTCCTGTAATTGATATATACATATTACATATGACAAGTGGCCGTGGAATGATATCTGTCGGAATAGAAGTAATCTGATTTTGGAGATTATCCGAATTCACGGTCAAACTATGAGTTGAGCTGACAAGAAAAAAAAATCTTTTTGTTGTAAATAAAAAGAGGTTCTTTCAACCCATATCATATCCGCCAAACCATGACGGAGACACCTCGGAATCCGGTGCCAGAGAGCAACCTGGTCAAGACAGAGAAAGTGATTGATGCCTCGGCCGAGGAGGTCGCCAAAAGTCAAGAGTTGATACAAGCTGTGGCGGACGGAAATGCTGAAAAGGTCGAACGATTACTCAAGGACGGTGCAAACCACAGGTAAGGCACAGGAATCAAAAGAACTCAAATGGGAAGGTGGTACTTCACGTATGTCGAGCAATTGTAGTGACGCTCACTATCTATACCACTCTTCTCAATAGTGCTCGCGCCGCTCACGGAAGAACTATGCTGCATTTTGCGACCATGATCGGTAGTCTTCCAATTGTGAAGCTGCTTTTGAGCTATGGACACCCCTGGAACCTCGTGGACGATGACTACAAGTCTGTGGGAGACTATGCCAAATCATTCAACCAACCCGAGATCTATGAATTTCTGCTCGAGGAGGGTGTTCGCACAGAGCTTTTGATGGGACTTATGCAACGAAAGCTTAAGACTGAATTGCTGGAGGCGCAACAGGATGATGACAACGAGGAAGAAGAGGGAGAAGAGGGATATAAGCAAGAGGAAGTTGACGGTAAGGAGACCACGGCAGCCTCAGGACAAGAGGCCTTATCGTCTTCAAGGGAGAACGAATCAGAGCCAGCGACCAAGAAGCAAAAGGTTGAAACATTGCCCGAGGTACCCAATGCCTCATATCTAGCACAACCACTTCAGTACACAGACGATGGCGACCGACTGCTGGATGCTGATAAGAATGGAGTCATGATGGGCTGGGAGTTGCCATTGATGGTCCGTCACGCCGAAGTTATCGCTCCTGAGGAAGGCCTTCGAGTTCTCAATGTTGGATTCGGACTGGGACTGATTGACAAGGAGCTCCAGAAAAAGTCTCCCACGCAACATACGATCATCGAGGCGCATCCGGACGTGTATGCCCATATGGTAAAGGAAGGCTGGGACAAGAAACCCGGCGTTAAGATCTTGTTTGGACGGTGGCAGGATGTGGTGGATCAGCTGGAGGTATACGACGGTATCTTTTTCGACACATTCGGCGAGTACTATGAGGACCTGAGGGCGTTCCATGAGATTGTGCCAAATCATTTGGAGGAAGGCGGTGTCTATTCCTATTTCAATGGACTTGGTGCTACGAATCAGTTCTTCCACGCAGTGTACAATCGAATCTCGGAACTAGAACTGAGCGAAATGGGGTTCACGGTCGAGTACGAGGAAATGGACATTGGATTGAAGGAAGAAGAATGGAACGGCGTTAAGCGGGCATACTGGACCCTGGACAAATACTATCTTCCTGTTTGTCGTCTCGATGGATTCTGAGGCACTTAGACACAGCCCTGCATTTTTGTCTTGTAGACCAACATCAAATACAATTACCATGCTGCGCTTTCAAACATGATTGCCAGGAACTACTCCTTCCCGGAAGGTAGAGAAGTTGAAGCAAGGTACACATGCACTGCGTGGGTTGCTCGCGATAGATGACAGAATCCTTTTCCATGGCACGGTGGTACAACTTTTTTGCTAAAGGTAAAATTTTCTGGCCGTCTGTGCACTCAACGAACGTCCGTTTTGCCCAAAAAAAATAACTAAAAATAAAACAACAAGAAGCTCCTCGTAGATATGACAGAGAGATGACACCTTGAACTGGGCAACAACGATGAAGGTCGTTGTTCTAACCAAAAACTGCAAAGTTCTCTTGCTCTACGGCTGTGTTTGTACCTGTAATCATGCCTACATGGCACACACGCAAGAGAAATGTGGAGATTGAGAGTGTCTGATGGGGAGAAAAATGGCCAATGACGCGACTTGAGACCAAAAAAACATGACCCGCCTTCATATTTTTGGGGAGGAAAGCACCAGTTAGAAACCACATCTTTCTCCCATAATGATTCCTCGCCTTCTTCACCTCGTTGCTGGCCTCGGCTCCTTCATTGTCGCAGCGCCAGCAATCCTGGCCTTGCCCACAGGGCATAATACCCCAGACTCCTCTTCAGACGACTGGATTCTCAGCACTACCACCATCAATACCACAGCATTCCAGAATGAGCCCTATGTGGCCAATGGATACATTGGAGCTCGTCTTCCAGTCGAGGGCTTTGGCCTGAGGGTGCATCAACCGATCGACTACGAGACCATGAATGGGACCCAAGGATGGCCATTATTTTCACTGAGGCAGACATCCTCGATCGTAGCTGGGTTCTATGACCAACAAGGCGACACCAGAGGCACCAATTTCGTAATGAATGGTTTTATTTTATTTTATTTTTTTGGTGGCAACTCTGATCTGTGGAGACAGAACCTTGACGGCCACTGACTTAAATCTTTTCGGTTTCGTGGCTATTTCGCATTTTGAACCAGGATCAAACCGGCGGTCAGCAAGTCATGTCTCTCCTTCCGACCTGGACTCCCTTGTATTTGACGGTATCTTCTTCCAACGGCTCCTTTGCAAGCAAGTCAGCGACATATCGTGTTGGCATCGATCTCAATCAGATCACGTCGTACTCCCAGTCCCTCTCATTGCGTGACGGTGTCGTTCAAACAGCCATCACTTGGTCCCCCTTTAACTCATCGAGCGATATCCATCTCACCTACACTGTCATTGCCCATCGATCGCGACCCAGCCTTGGTTTAGTGCGCCTCGATATTTCTGGACTGTCGGCTGATCAGCAGGTCATCATCACTGATGCGCTCGATGGTGCTGGGGCACAACGCGTCCAAGACGAGCAAGCCGGCAAGCTGAACGACACCGAACTTCCTAATGCCATCTACTCCGCAGTTAAGCCTGTGGGTATCAACAACGTCACTGCGTGGGAGATTTCCACGTTATCGATCGCTGGCGACAGCGATAAATATAAGGCTGTAGATGTTCCCGAGAGCGTGGGCCTGGGTACCAATCAATCGACCGTGGCTCAGTCGTATTCGGTTACAGTCCCTTCTGACGGCAAGTTGACTGTATTCAAGGCCATTGGTATCGCGTCTTCCGACGCCTTCAGAGATATCGAGAGAGAGACTGCTCTATCGACCGCCAAGGAGGCGCGTTCTGATGGCTGGGATCAACTTGTGTCGGAGCATAGAAGTGCTTGGGAAGACTTGTGGTCGGAGGGCGGCGATATTGTAATCCTTGGTGCTGGCAAATCCAGGGGCAGCAAGAGTATGCTCGATGAGCTGCAAACGACCTCTCGATCAAGTCTGTATCACCTCCTGGCCAATGTCCGTAACGGCAACGAGGGGGAAGGATTGGGCGACAACAGCATAGCCCCCGCCGGTCTCACATCGGACTCGTACGCTGCTGGAATCTTTTGGGACGCCGACACCTGGATGTATCCCAGTCTTTTGTCACTCTTCCCGGACTATGCGATGAGCATCAATAATTACAGGAGCAAGAACTTGGGTGTGGCCATTGAGAACGTAAAGAAGTTCAATAGATCAGGGCTACTCTATCCTTGGGTGTCTTTTCGATTTGGCAACTGTACAGGTGAGTTTTTTTTTCTTTTTGAAAGAGAGAGAGGAAATCGTGTTCTTGTACACACCAATACATGAGCTAAAACACTGAATGAACTTTGCATAGGAATTGGGCCTTGCTACGACTACGAGTATCATTTGAACAACGACATTGCGCTCGCCCAATGGCAGTATTTCATTACAACTAAGAACGAGACCTGGCTGGCTGATAAGGGTTATCCAATTATGAAGGGGGTTTCTGAGTTTTGGGCCAGCCAAGTGATCCATGACCCCAGTACTGGGTAAGAACTGAAGGATCTACCATGGTTGCCCTGACAGCCTCAAGATTTCATTTAATGGCTTCTAACATGAAATTTTCAAACACTTTTTCACTTATTTCACAGCCGTTATATTACTAAGAACATGGTATTGAGACGTTGATCTTATTAGCCCAGTTGTATGTCATGCATTGATATGCTAAACATGTTGCCCTCTTCCTTTTTTCTGTGTATAGACGGACCCAGATGAATATGCCAACCATGTGGACAATGCTGCTTTCACGAATGCTGGTGCAGCGGTGACGTTACGCAACAGTATCCACGCAGCATCTATCCTCGGTCGAACGCAGGAAGTTCCAGGCAACTGGAGTATCATCGCTGAGAACATCACTATCCTGTATGAGTCAACGAGCGAAGTCGTGTTGGAATACGAGGGTTTCAACGCGTCAACACCGGTCAAGCAAGCGGATGTAATCCTGATGATCTACCCCCTCGAATATGCAATTCGGGACCCTCATGAGGATATGTCGTTCTACGCTGGAGCAAACAGCCCTAACGGACCAGGAATGACCTACTCGATCTTCAGCATTAACTCGGCACAACTGTCTTGGCAAGGCTGCGAAACTTATACGTACCTCCTTCAAAGCAGTGAGCCATATGTTCGAGGGCCATTTGCTCAATTTTCAGAGCAGACTGTAGACGTGTACGCGGAGAATGGCGGCACCAACCCCGCATACACCTTTTTGACTGGACATGGTGGTTACCTGCAAGCCTGGACGCATGGTTTTACGGGCTACAGACCTCGTCTCGACTGCTTTTACCTAGACCCTTCGCTACCTCCTCAGCTGGCCCCTGAGGGCTACACCGTCAAGGGTATGAAGTGGCAGGGTAGCGTGTTCGATGTCACTGTCGCAGGCAAGGAGACAACGATTCGTCGTCGCTCGGGTGGTTCTTCAAAGGCTTGCGTCCATATTGGAGACCGAAACAAGAAGAGTGGAAAATAGTAAGTGCTCTTTTCCTATTTTACTAGTCTATTTTACGAACGACCTGTTCGCGTCCCTGGTTACTTCAAGTTTCCTTACTCACTCGTCACCACTCTATCCCGCTTTTGTACCCAAAAAGCCGCCTGTCTGTCGGAAGCAAGTTGACTGTGCCCACGTACCGTAGCGACCTCAATGGAACCCTAGTTGCTGGCAACATGGCGCAGTGCGTCCCTTCTGTCACGTCTACAGCCCCGATTTTGCCTGGTCAATACGCGCTTGCGGCGGTCGATGGGTCGAACGCGACATACTGGCGTCCGAAGACCAAAGCGCCTGCGTCGCTGTACATCGATCTCGGCAAGACTCAGACGATCCGGTCCTTCCATTTGAACTTCAATAACAACCCACCAAAGTCGTATAAGGTGTATGCAGGTTTGACCAACAGTACGGAGGGCTTGAAGCAGGTGGCCAAGGTCGATGAAGTGAACATCACTGCGCCATACGATCCCAGCCATGTGGAGAAGGTGATGGTGAGATTGGCCAACACAAGCGATGTGACGTTGGTCCAGTCGATCGAGGCTCGGTTTGTGCAGCTGGTCGTGGAGGGAGCGCAGACGGACGACAACACCGAGGCTGGAGCCACTGTCGCGGAGATTGCTGTGCTATAGAGAGATCGAGGGTGATTCATTTACGTAGATTGTAGATTGTGTTTATACATCAAAATAGTAATGTAAATCTGTGGGGTAACAATATATGTGAAACATGTGTCTTCTGCTGTTTATTGTCGCGTTTTGTCAAGATGCCAGATTAGATTGGACTGGGTCACATAAAAAAGAAAGGCTCTAGTTGCGAGAGTGGTTTGAGGGATTTTAGTAAAAGAGAAAGGGAAAAGGAAGGGAGGGAGAGGGAGATGGACAGTGGTAGGTTGGATGCTCAGAGCCACGAAAATGGAACACGTATATTACATTGGAAGACATGCAGTCCACGGCTCCAGGACTCACGCGAGCCAGTTTATCTGATTGGAGGATGGTTTATTTTTGGTGGCAACTAATCCTTTATTGCACCATGTAGTCTAGTCAGTCTACTTGCGTTTTGGGCTGACTGACCCTTTTTTCCTTATCTCTCTTTTATTCCCAGCGGGAACATGCTGACAGACAAACCTTCGCCGCTCTGTCTTCTGTCCCCTTGGCAGTCATCATATAACGACTAATACCTCACCAATGGCCACCTCGTCGCCTTATCTCCGCTCCACGCTCCACTCCCTCTCGTCTTTTTCTTTTTCCCCCTCCCCGCACTCCACCCATACCAACTGATCTATCCGCCACAACCACACCCTGAGTCACTGCCTGCGTAAAGAGCCTCTGCAGAACTAGCCGACTATGTCTACGCGAGAGGGACCATCAATCGATACCGCCCCGCCCACCATCACCACCACCAACACCACCACCAACAACACCAATGTCCTCCCAGGGATGCCTGACCCGCTCATCGGAAACGGGCCCGGCTACAAGAATGGTGAAGCCATCGTCCTGCCCATCCTCCCGACATTCAGCAAACGCATGAGTCTTCACAGCAACAGCAACAGCAACAACAACAGCCTTCAAAAGTCGCAGCCCTCTTCGCCCTTGGGACCAGGACCAACATCCTCACACGTTGTCTCCAACGGTGACGCCCGGCCACTACAGCCTGCGGAGGCACCGCACCTGCCACCTTCGCAGACACACGAGACAGCAAAGCACTCTACAGCCACAGGTACCAACGGTGTGGGCAGTGCAGTCAGATCAACGCATGTCCCAGCAATGTCGGCATCATTACCAGGGTCGGCGTACACTTGTTCCGACAATTCACGCGGCGGTGCAGATGCCGGGATCTTGGTGTTTTCGGGTGGGACGGCCTGTAACTCTTTGGTCCAGCTGTTGCAGGATATGACACCCAATGTCACCTATGTCTGTAAGTCTACAACATGCACTTTCTGTCGTTGTCGATGGTTTTTTTTTTTTTGGCTTTTTGGCTTTTTGGCTTTTTGACTTTTTTTTCGCAATCTGTGTTTGCTTATCGCATGGCACGGCATGGCATGGCATGTCTTGTCCCACGGACAAACGGAGATAGTGATGGGGCGATTGGATTAATTTTCTGAACACAAGAGACAGGACAGCCACCCCACCTGTTGGACGGATTTGGCCGACAATTGTCACCTAATGGACAGTGGACAGTGGGATGGACTGCAGTAGCACGTTCCGTTGGACAGGACTCGCTGCTTCGGACTGAGTCACCATTCGGGGGGAACAATTAATTGGAGCTGCTGTGAACCTCAAAGCCATTTCTGAAAGAATGCTTCATTGGGTGCCAGTGGATGGCATTTATTCTCCCACAGTGCTAAAGTGCTAACAGGAGTTGTTTCCCTCAACTACGTTTTGACATCCAGTGGGTATCTCGGATAACGGTGGCTCTACAAGTGAAATCCTGCGCGTGTTGGACGGACCAGCGATTGGCGACATTCGTTCTCGGCTTATCCGGCTGATCAAGCCAGATCCGTCAGACGTCGGCAGGACCGCCATTCAGGAACTGCTGGGCTATCGTTTACCAGGACATGGAGATGCAAACGCCATCAAGAACGAGTGGGTCGAGATCGTAGAAGGAAGTCATCGGTATGGGCTGTCGGTTTTACTTTCGACTCGCGCCGTGCTTTGATGCTTCTCAGCTCAGTCCTTCCATGTTCTTCTCACCCTCCTTACTCTCCATTAACATCTATATAGCCTTTGGATGCATATCCCTTCAGATAAGAAGGAAGTCATCCGGGGATTCCTGATCTACATTCAGTCCGAGATCCTGAAGCGGGCTCATAAGCGCTTCTCGTTCGCCAATGGGTCGATCGGTAACTTTTTTCTCACGGGCGCGCGCATGTTCTTTGGATCGCTGGAATCGGCCATCTTTCTCTTCGCGGCCATCACAGGCATCACAGAACCGACCAGAGTTATTCCCGTCATCAACACCAACCATGGAATCGCCATTGCAGCGCTCCTCAAGAACGGAAACACTATCCTGGGACAGTGCGCAATTTCACATCCATCTTTGGCCTCCTCCGGGGACAGTTTCAACGTGGGTCATGTTCAGTTAAGCGCTAACTCTGCATCGACGACGCCCGATGGATCAAAGACCCCGGACTTGGCAACATTATCGTCAAGTCAGCAGCAGGACGATAGTTTCTCGACATTGAGACTGGTGCAGAATAATATTTATTTCGACAAGACACCGTCACGATCGAGTTCGCTGCAGTCGAGGATTACGAGACTATACTACATCAATGAGTACGGTCAGGAAATTTTTCCGCCACCAAATCCAAAGTTGCTCTGCGCTCTAGCGGAAATGGAAACACTGGTGTATTCGATCGGATCGCTTTACACGTCGATCATCCCCTGCTTAATCCTGAAGGACGTCGGTCGTGGGATTGCAGAGTCTCGGTCGCTCAAGAACAAGGTCTTTATGCTGAACGGTACGAACGACAGGGAAACACCGGACTATAAGGCCCTGGATTTCATCTGGGCACTGACAGGCGCGCTCAACTACTCACTCAAACTGTCTGGACAATTCTGGCCGACAGAGCATAAGCCCTCGCGATACATTACCCATGTGATTTACTTGGATAACTCGGAGGTGCAGGTCGATGTATGGGAGATCGAGAAGTTGGGGATTGATTGTGTTCGCTGCACAGGACGACGGGATCCGTCATCGGGGCGACCCATCTATGATGAGGAGCATTTGAACAGGCTACTGGAGACGATCATGGACGGCAGTTGGTCCGCTTCTTCTTCGTTGTCTTCCTTGTCGTCATCGGCTGCAAACCTGTCGTCGTTGTCGACGACCGCCAACTCGACAAGGCCTTCGACACCGACACCGGCGGTCAGCCATGTGGTGTCAAAATTGTCTACGGAAACGACGGCAACGTCGGCTTCCGCAGCAGCGGCGGTTGTGTTGGAAGCCTAGTCCTGTTCGCACTCCTCTCTTTAGTCATTTTTCTGTCTCTTCCTTCTTGTGTTTTATTAATTCCTCATCAGAGCATTATTAGACAACCTTTTCTCTTTTCCACAAATTTAACAAAAGTATGTTTGTATTCTGTACATGTGCTCTTCAGAAATATGGTTTTCGCAATTCGTACATATTACGGCAGAGAACGATGAGATGAAGACCCTCACTCTCACTGGATGGGACACTTTGAACAAAAACATAAACATTGAACTCGGTCATGCAGGATACTTGTTGACGACAAAACTATGTCGCGCTCTGTTATGTTAATCTATGGTTCTTTTTTTTTTTTTTTTTTTTTTTTTTTTTCTTGCTGCTCACAAAACTGCCTCCAGGGCATCTTGTTTTATTATGTGTGTGAGTGTCTGCTCTGTTTTTGCTCGCGCTGATCAACTTCATCTAGAGTGCAGGCCTCTCTCGGCCTTCATCATAGCCATTCTCTCATTATCGGTCAGATGGGTCTTCTTGTGCCTCGTGACCTGATCCGGTCTCGAGAAGCGCTTGTCGCATCCGACGTACGGGCACTGGAACGGCCGCTCGCCCGTATGGACCCTCAGATGCTTGGTCAGATTCGATGATTCCGCAAACCACTTGTCGCAACCGTCGAATTTACACTTGAACGGCTTCTCGCCCGTGTGGACCCTTCGATGGATGGTCAATGCGCCCGAGATTGAAAACTGTCGTCCGCAACCCGGCTCGGTGCACTTGAAGGGCTTCTCGCCCGTGTGTGTCCTCATATGCTGCGCCATGATGTTCGCCTCCGAGAACCGCTTCTGACAGACCTGACATTGGAAGGGCTTATCGCCAGTGTGGGTCTGGATGTGACGCATTGCCTTTTGACGTTGACCGAATCCGCGACCCTGTCGGTCACAGTTGGCCCATTCGCAGATGTATTCGCTCTTGCCCATACCGATGTGCTCCTCGCTCAGATGGCTCGTCAGGGTCTCGAAGTTCGGGAATGAGAGGCGGCAACCCTGCCAGAGACAGGGGTGATGTTGTTCTTGTCGAAGCATGCGCTCTTGATCCAAGGTTAGACTGTAGGACTCTTCTTGCTTGATGATGTACTGAAGGGGCTCGGATGAGGTGGTATCCCAGAAGGACGGACCTGGCTGTCCCAGACCAGCTGAGATAGCGCCGTTGGAGGTAGGAGAGCCCATGGGGGGTAAGGAGGCAGGCGTGGGCACAGGTAGACGCATTGGGGCTGAAGAATGGGCGGGAAAATGAAGGGGAGAAGAGACGGGTGGAGAGTAATTCATTTCCATGAATAATGATGGCTGTTGTGGTACAGATGACGGGACTAGATGATGATTCAGTCGCAGGTGCCAAAGCAGTTGCTCGCTGTGCATGTGCTGGGTCCAACATGAGTCCCACTCACAGAGGATGGGGACACTGTTTTGGACGGGGACATGAAGTTCGATCAGATGGGTCCAGAGATCGACCACGGTCGCTAGGTGGGCGTGGCATCCAGCCCAGAGACAGCGGGCGCCATGACTATGATTGAGAAGGATGGCCGAGTGTGACATGTCTGCGTCCATGTCAACGTCTGTGCAATCTGGTGGCAGTGGTGTGGATGAAGCAAGCGGGGATGGGGAATGGTGATAGTGAATCGGTGGGGAGAATGGCGATCGCAGTAGAGTGGAGGGCAGATGGGGGGGAGGATCGTCTGGTGACACAGAGGAACAAGGAGAAAAGGACGATAGCGAGGATGAAGACGAAGACAACGGCAAAGACAAAGACAAAGACGAGGTTGAAGATAGGGATGAACGCGGAGATGAAGAACAGGACGAAGAAGCTGTGTTACATCTGGGGGAAGAAATGACGCTGGTGGTGTTGCAGAATTTAATATTGTTCCTGTCGGTGCTGCAGCTACCAGGAGCAGCTGCGGCGGAGACAGAAGAGCAGGGCCCAGAAGAAGCAGAATAAGATGAAGACGGAGGAGCAGGAGGAGCAGGAGGGGCAGTAGCTGGTGCGGGTGCGGGTGCTGATGCTGGTGCTGCAGTTGTGGCCATTGTGGCCATTGTGGTCGTGGAGGTAGAAGCCGTTGCGGGAGCGATGCTGGGGGCGACGGCAACGGCAACGGCGACAGAAGGGCCAAAGATTGAGTGCGAGGGTGGGTGCAGAAGAGGTGGGCCCGGCGCTGGACCAAGGGGACCTGGGCCAGGTGGAACCCCGGCAGGAGAGATGGGGCCAATGGTCGCGTAGCATCTATGCAGACAAAGTTAGAGATCGACAGAGCCAAAGGCGAGTCAGAGAGCGTTCAATTAGAATGAAAAAAAGATTCGATAGCAAAGCGGAGTGAGTGGCAAGCAGGAGAGACTGAACCCTACAGACGTCCTGTTCCAATTCATATTCCTATTGCCGCTCCCTATTCCTCTGCCTATTCCTGCACCTGTGCTTATTGCTGTTTCCCTGTCTATTGTCTATTGTAAATGGGAAATTCTCCGGCCTCATTATCTTTATATGTTTTTTGTCCCTCTTTTCCACTCCCCCTCCCTCGCTCCCACTTTCTGCATTTCGCAAACATGACCCCATGAAGTATGGAAAAAAAAGAGATCCTATAAAAATAATAATAATAAATAAAGAGAAACTGAGGTGGAAAATGAACCATAAACGCTGACAATTCTGTGTGAAAGGAAGAAAGATCAACAAGGGGTTTGTTGGTGCTGCAGTTTAGTTTGTTTAGTTTGTGCTGATGATGTTGTGCATTATTACATGCTCAGAAGACGCACAAAGACACAGGAAATTAACGTTCTTGCTCTTGTGCCAAAAAAGGGATGGCCTCGGAATTTAAATGAGGTCTTCTCTTTCTCCTTTTTTCCTTTTGCCCTCTTCTTATAGTTCACAGGAAAATGTGTATACAGACAACGTAAAGAATAGCCTTTTCTTCCTCTTGCCCCTCTGCTGTTATACACTTACCCATCTGTCATGGCCAATGGTGAGCAGGAACCCGTCGGAAACAGTAAAGGCCCTGGTGCAACCATGCCCTGTTCCTGAAACCCCTGAATCTGCGTCACTGGAGATGGGTGAGAGCACGACGATACTCCCGCCTGCGACGACCACAAAGCCGTGGGAGTCTTTTCGTCCAAGGCCACGCTCCATACCATCCCATCATTGGCTACCTCGGATGAAGCTGCCGCCACAATGGCTTCTAGTAGCTGCTGCTGCTGTTGTTGTTGTTGTTGTTGTTGTTGTTGTTGTTGTTGGTATTGTTGTTGTTGACGCTGACACTGTTTTCTTTCTTGCTGCTGCTGCTGCTGCTGCTGTGTCGTAGATGATGCCTTACAGGTCATAATCAGTTCCTGTACATCCGTCATCGTACTGTCAATGCCATTGGCTAGACAGCAGCTGCCACTCCTGCTGTCATTTCTGCTGCTGTTGCTGTTGCTGTTGTTGCTGTAGCTGCAGTCACTGATGCCCGTGCTCGTACTCCTGCCCCTGATCCTACTACCAGACCTCTCGAGAACCTTGGCGTGTTCGGCACAACATGCAATCGATGCAGCTGGGCTGTCCGTGAGGAGAAAGCCTCCCTTACATGGAGACATTATCGGTGTCCCTGTCGAAGTAATTGACGCGATCTTGTCCAGCAATGCAGAGAGGACAGTCCCTTGAGGGACTAGATCTTGACAGCAAGTCGAACTCATGCCTTCCCTGAGCGTCGACTCGATGATACAGCGTTCGATCTCGGCCTGGGTGAGACCATTGATGAGCTCTGGCAGCGGATTTTGTTCGGACATGGGCTCCTCATAGCAGTCCGTTGATTCGGTCAAAGCGGCTAGGGCGAGGGTCGTTGCAATGGTCGTATTTGGCGTCTGTGGTGTGGTGCAGCAGGATGATAATGACGAGGATGAAGAGGCGCTGTTGTGTGACATGTTGGAGGGCCATGGAGTATAGGTGGTGGAGGAGTGATAAGAGGAAGGCAAAGGTGGAGTATATGCGGCGCTGATTGGTTTGCGAGGTGAGGAAGACGAGAGGGGCTTGGGGTAACAAGGGCTCATGATGCTATTGCTGAAGGTGGTGAAGTTGGTGAAGTTGGTGTTGGTGTTGTTGTTGTAGTAGTTGCGATGGTAGTCCGTGATAACAATAGCTTAATTTGGTGGCAAGTGAATATCAGCATGAGAAAATGGATGAGTGAAGTCTGGGAACGACAGCGAGAAGGCCGTTTCTATGGAGATGGAGAAAAGGTGTAGGAAGAGGATGGACTGAAATGAACGATTTGGTTTAGTATGATTAGATTCGATTCGATTTGATTTCATTCGACGATGAGGGAGGAGCTCTTTTAGGAGGACTACTTTGAAGAAACGGTACAAGACTACATAGGATCTACAGAGTTCACTTTGGACGTGTGCAGAAACGAATGAAAGCAATTGGATGCTGCAACTAGATTGGATATGACATTTCGTCTGCTGTAAGACACACCCACACCATTCAATAGAAGAGGTGCCCTTTCTCTCGTCCTCCTTCTCTCGCCATCCCCCGCTAAGAATGGCAGGATCGAGGGTGCGGACAAGCGGAACGAACCCAGACTACATCGCCCCATACACTCTTGGCTCTGCAGCTGTAGCCCTGGCTAGCAAAACCCTGGCTGAGTGCAGCAACTCCTCCTTCCCCTCTCCCCTTTTTTTTGTTGTCAACGGCTTCGTTTTGCGTATAGACTACAGACTACACGCTCATCTACAAAACAAAACAAAACAATGCATCATAGACCTTGCAACAAATATTAGTCCAGGGGAGGTGATGAACTATACTGGACTAGCTGACAGGATCTATCCGTTAGCTGGTTGATCCCCTCCGTACCCCCTCTAGCCAGTTTGCGTGAATTATGGACTGGACTGACCACTGTCCTAGTTCCTTAGTAATGGGGCGAAGCCTTAAAAAAAAAAAACTCTATCTCCTCCTGGCTTGCTTGCGGAGCAACTTATAGTCTCTCCCCCATGGGCGCCCCTGGTAGTCTATAGACACAATCTTCACCCTTGGATCATAGCTTTCTAGAACCTTGCATGCATACAGCACACGCTTCTCCACCCTTGTTCAACTGTTCAATTGTTCAATTGTTTATTTGTCCATCTGTTCATTTCTTCAATGGTTCAGCACATTTTTATACATCCAACTATGCGCCTGAATGCTTTGCACGGGAGTGTTGCGATCTTTTCCTCTCTAAGATTACTCCGGCAATTTTTTCTGGATGTATTCAATTCATTGATGGATGGAGCCATAAAAACCGTTCGTCTTTGAGATCTGCGCGCTCCTCTTCCCCTCTTTCCCTCCCCCCCCCCCTGGAGAGCCACAGTGTCAATACATATTAATGGCCTTGTTTATTTTACTATCCGGAAGATTTCTTTTATTTACTAAAGAGACATAGTCGCGTACTCGCATGGACCCTGCAAGGGCCCTTGAATACGGAATTCAGAGAGCGCCTTTCATATGTAGTGCAAGATTAAAGGGCAGCTACATAGTTATAATTGCGTAAAGAGCTTCGAGGAGGAATACATGTAGTCTAGTAGAGTCCAAAAGTGCCCAGAGTCTGGGCCCTCTCGATAGAACATGTGCTGAGCATCGCGACATCCTCGCATAAAAAAACTAGAGAGGGGGGGGGAGAAGAGATGGATAAGAATGGCGGCAACCACATTTTTATTTTATTACTCTAAAAACTATATATACATATGCACTAGTTGCGGTATACGGCCAAAAAAAAAAACTGTATTGCTGGCGGCTGGAGGCCTCTTGTAATCACGTCGTCGTCGTTCCAATGTGTATAAACTTATTCAGAAGGGAAAATGCGTGTTTGTCACTACCAATATTGTATGTAGTCAAGGTCGTCGTAAAATCATATATTCTGAAAAAAAAGGAGGTAAAGAAAAACGATACACTGTCGTGAACAATGAATAACTTAGCTGTCCAGGGCCATCAAAGGCCTCAATTTTTTAACTTCTGCTCTTAAATGCGCTTCTCACCAACATTCCGTACGAGCATTCCATTGCTCCTCCATCCTTTATGAGGTTGTTAATAATGCTAAATACTAATATGTAGAGCCGCGTATCTCAATGAGCAAAGTGCGGAGGTCCAGCTGTTCTCTTCCAAATGCTCCAAATTGCGCTTGAAGTTTCCTCCCTGGAGACCTCAGGTCCTTCCCCCAGCAATTCGTGCTTCGACTATCAGGCTTCTGAGACCATAACGCCATCTGAACTCTAGGCGCCCGCGACCTTTTCGTGCGAGGGGATCTAGACTTAAAAAAAAAAAAAGCAATGCTGAGGCCAATGCTCCACGATTGAGACATCATTATTGTGACAGACCATCCAGTGCACGGTTTTAACATTTGAAACTTAGCTAAAAGGTCGTCGTGTCTTTATGATTCATGGCCTTGGTTAGTTTGACATGAAGTAAGAAGTAGCGAATTGGGCAAGGTATTTTTAGAGACAAACAACGTTGAGGGGGTTCGTGCCGAGCTTTGATAGCAACAAGATTTGCTACATCCTGAGGATGCTGAACGCGTACACGTATAACCTACTTCGCCAAGCCGGATCTCAATGGCTGTAAGCACCGTGACCGCGCCTCTTAATAATTATGAATTCAGCTGAGCCGGCATGTCGTTGTGATGGACATTCTGACACCCTTCAGCTCTATGAGCAGCCGCTTCGCGCGACTCTTATTGCCGCTACCGTTACTGTTGCCAATCCAACTCGCCTGGCGATTTCTGCCTGTGATATTTTTTTATTTTTACTTTTGGAGGCCGCAAATGTTCAAAATGTTTTAAACTACAAGAGGCACGCAGTAATTGCTTGCCAGGTATCGTGGTGTTTTTGGGTGGCGATCTACATGCGATCAGTTCTTTGTTCGCTCACCTTCAGAAGATGGGGGTGTACATCGTTCAGGAACGACGAATATCTTTCGTTTATTATATCTGCATTAGATCACGATAGAGTGGGTTCGATGCCGAAATAGTTCAGTCCTCCTAAAGAACACGACTTTTACATGCCGCGCTCGAGACGGTAACGCGTCTCCTCGCCTGGCGCATAGACAATGCCACTGACATTGGCCTTGGCTGTGAGGGGATCCAATCCCGCTCCTGTCGTCGCCACAATGATGCCCTCGTTCGCCAGCCTGGAGCTCTCCTGCGAGACCAATCCTCGCTCATCCACGGGCAGCCAAATTGGGGTCTGTTGACTATAGATGGCAGGGTGGCAGTAGGCCTGCTCCTGCAACCGTCTCAGCTCCGGGTCTTCGTCCTCATGGATCGACTGCGCGGCAACGTCTTCGTGAGTACTAGCCACAAACGAGACAGGTCTATCTCTGCGAACATCGGCGGACGGGTGCATGGATGGGTGGAGCGAATGCCGAGTGAACGAGGCGGCATCGATTTCGGAAGGATTGGGTGTTGGTACAGCTGGCATGCAAGACGATACCTCTGCGGTCTCATCGTACTCTTGTTTGCCCACACCGAGCATGGATGGCTTTTCAGTGTACCTGTCTTGCCTTCCCGCTGGAAAAGTATCCAGCGCAACGACTGATCCCTTCTCTCCCTTCTCTCCGATGGCTGCCTCTTCATCCTGCACGGCCACAGTAAGAGCAGACCTGCTTCCGTTATTCTTGACAATGCCATTCTTGTCCATCTCCAGATCCTTGGAGAAGAGAGCGACAGGCAGATAGGTGATCAGTGGATTATAAGCTTGTTTCAAGTTGACCAACGAGATAGCCGTGGCGACAATCAGGAGAAGTAAAAGGACAAGGTGCGGAGTGGTGTTCATTGCGGCTTTCTTTCCCAAGAAGATTCCGAATACTGTCACCTCAAAGATGAAAATGCCAGCGTAGACTTGCTTGACCGCGAGCGGAAAGGCTAGACCACCCGTCTCGACCGGCTGCATATACACGTACAGGAATTGGTGGCGGTAGACGAAGTAAAACATCGTGAAAAAGAACGTGACAAAGGGCAGGATCAGAGGCGCCAAGGTTGAGTACAGGATGCCGATACAGAACATCAGAATCATCTGCGGGAAGAGAATGCCGTAGTTCACAGAGTTGAGGCGACCCTGAACGTTCCAGATCTGGCGAGGACTCTTGGCGAGCAGCTTAGTGAACAAAATGTTGAGGATAAACGGCGCGATCTGCAGCAGCTCCATCATTGGTCCGGTTAGACCCTGGAGAAGGGCATATGTCACGAAGAACGTCGAGGCTTTTGGCAAACTTCCCGCGAGAATGTTGACGATCTGGGTGAAACTAAAGTTTCCTTCGTTGAGCTCCTTGAACATATTGATGATTCCTCCAGACAAGGTCGACAGGAGCAGGACGTTGACGATAAGGAAGAAAAAGTATTTGGACATGAGAGCAAGAGTAATATCGCTGTGTCGCACATGGCCCTCGAACGTCGACATCATAGTCAGGACTACGGGCAGGAGCGCCATTAGGATGGCCAAAAAAAGTGGAGGCAAAATACCCTGGATGATACCAAGGACTTTGGTTGGCAGACTCTTGAGGAACGACAGGAACGGCAGGAGCTTGATCAGGGCATCGATGTTGGCAATACCTGACACGAACAGGACTGGGAAAGACCACAGAAGAATGAGCGCAGTGGCTGCAGCCAAGGAGATAAAGGTACGTCCCTTCTTGTTGATAGTATCAAGGCTCATGTTGTCCCACACAACATCCAGCGGGGAGACCTCGACATACATGGGAGCCATGCGGAACGGTGTTGGGTGCACGACGGTTTGGACTGCACTGTGAGCGCCGAATTGGGTGTGGAACCGGATGAACGCCGAGTTGAGTGAGGTGGGCGAGCCACCCTGACGAAGCGTTTCGATCTCGTGGTTAAGCTCCGAAAGTCGTTTAGTATAAAAATCAATCAAGTCCACCTTGGGTCCGACAAAGGGAATGCTCGATGTCCTGCCGATGGGACGCTGGGGCTCCTTGACTTCCGGATCCTTTTTGTTCTTTTGGCCGTAGGCCGACCGAATGTAGTTGTACTCGGCTGTCTCCAATTTGATTGCCGTTGCATCGCGCTCCTTGCACAGTGCAGCCAACTTTTTCGGGTCCCTACAGTCAGACGGTGTTCAAAAGAGAGAGCGAGTTCGTTGGTCAGTCTGGCTTCAAAGAAGTGCTGTGTCCACAGCAAGCACAATAAAGAAAACGATGTCTCATGTCCTGTCTCCCTTACCTGTTCAACCAGATCGAACGCACGCCTCCAGGGAAGCGGTTGAAAATGTTGTACAGGGATTCCTCCGTTTCAAGTTCGCTAGGGATGGCAGTGACCAGAATTGTCGTCGACTGAGGAGTCTTTGCGTGCTTCTCACTCATCAGATAGGCATGACGACGGCGGGTGTACTCTTGCATTTCTTTCCACAACATGGCGATTGTCGCTCCTAAGGATCGGGCAAAAGGGACCATTAATCACTGTTCTTAAAATCCATTGATATCATACGAGAGAGCTTAAGTGATCGTGAACTTACCGCAAAAGAGGATGGTCAGCACAAGGTGAAACCAGAGACGCCAGCTCGCTTTGACATTTGCAAGTGTCATCGTATCCAGTCCGGTCGCAACGGTATCGTTGGTGCCATTGGTATCCTGTCCGGTCGCATTGCCACTGTTGATGACATTGAGTGGAATGAGAATAGGGATGGCCAACAAAGAAAATCCGGAGAAGAGGATGCTAAAGTGGACAAATCATAATGGGGGCTGTTAGCATGGTGACGCAGATGATCTAGAGACCCCATAAACGTCTTGTTGTCGTCTTTCGATGGGGATGAAAGGAAAAGAGCTAACACTTACGCAGCCATTCTTAAGAAGCGTAGGAACATGTACGCATCCAGGCCGATGCGTTCCACAAGGACATGGTCCGGGACTGAAAATGAGGCCGATATCCAACTGAGGGGGCCTTTAGGCAATTCTGGGGATCTCACACTAATACAACAAACATTCAAGTATGAACGTACAAGGTCGTACAGACAATTTAGTTAGTCGCGATGGCGCATTGGGATACAGTTGGCTGACTATTATTCCTTGCAAGGTGATGTCAACATAAGCAGCGATTGACAAGCTACGAGAGAAGGGAGCGTACTTTTCACTGACGAGGTATGTCCTGGGCTGGTAGACTTTCTTGTTCCAGTGACGAACGATGCTAAAGGCGACAAAGACACCGGCACCAACAGCTGCGTTGAAGAGCAAGGCAGAGGTGAAGGTGCTGATGGAGGCATTTGTGGTTTGCGTATTTGTACTAGACATGATAATGTTGTGTGTGCTTTCTTGCTGACTCAATAGTCCCGCGGTGTAAAGGACGGCTGTGGTTTATCGAATGGTTCTGTGAAGTCAGTTGGTTGGCTTGCGGTAAAACCCGCTGTGGGATCCAGGTACAGAAAAGAAGCGAATCAGAGAGGAGCGCAGCGAGACAGTGGACAGGAACAAGAGTTAATGGTGAATGGTCAAGGATTAAGGGTCAAGGGTCAAAGGAGGAGTGGAGAAGAAGAGAAGAGGAAAAGAAAGAATGAGGGAGAAGAAGAGGACAAAGAGGTATCCGGATCCGTCTGCTGTAGCCCACAAAATAAAACGAGAGATCGGAGTAATACACTTGAGAGCGCGGCCATCTTTCCCTTACTCTAAGAGTGCATCATTTTATGTGAGTTCTTACCATTTGAAACCTTATTTCGCATTGGGTTTAGGCAACTATCTGTGAAGTACAGACATGAGTGTGGACGGGTATTCTCCATCGGCAGCACAACTTCACTGACAGTTGAGCGCTAGTCCGGTTCTACTCACTCTGCTGCATGACCATGACGATTACATGATCTGTCTCACTAGCACATTCACCATGGCACATTTACAACGTCTCTTTCACACTCGCTTGTACGCATGTGCATCAGCTGTATCAATAGCTGAAAGGCGCCTGGTGGGTCAACCAGGTAGATAAAAAGGCGCACGAATGAACAAAGCAGGAAGAAGGAAGGAGGCCAGACCAGACCAACCACCTGCCAGCAGCGAATGAACCAGTGAACGAAGATAAGGTTATACATTGCAGCACAAGGACCATCCTTTGGAGCTGAAGAGATATGCCAAAAATATCCCCCCTTTTTTTTTGGAGTAACTCGATGTTGATTGCCCCTGCTATTTTTCTGTCAGTCCACAGCAGCCACACATCAGCTTTTTTTTTTTTTTTTTTCAACAAAATATCGCGGAGGCTCTTATGAGCGTCGCGCTCCGCTACAAAGGACCAAGGACCATTATTTGGTCATCAATCAGAGCCCACTTCAAGCTATGGCATGGCGCGTAGACCTGAACCCTAGACAGGATGGACTGGGTAGGGACACGTTGTGTTACAACCTCCAAATGGAAGGTGTAGGGGGTACAGGCGTTGCTGTGGGCAACACCACGTAGAGCAGGGAAGAGATGAAGAGTGCTCCTGAGCAAAAGGCGCTGATACCTCGCTCTCATTTCTTTGCTTTTGCTTCGACAATAAACGCCCACAATGGTTCTTCTGTTTCCTGTTTCTTGTTTATTGTTACATCATGAAAAGAGCGATTGCATAGTACTGTTACAGCTGTCGATGACACCACATGTTCAACTCTTTCAGCGCATAGTATGGCCCTTGCCCTGGAAAGGTACCACATCCGGTTTGGGTTCAGGGTTGCCAGCGGTAGTGGATGGCTGTGTGGTCGCGGGCGTAGGAGCTCTTGTGGATGCGCTGGTCGCAGAAGAGACCGATGGACTGGGTGAGTTAGCACCACTGCCCCTAGTCGCATTCTTGCGGGGCGGACGAAGGGTCTGGCCAGCACCCTCAAAGACGGGCTCCTCCTTGGTCGCCTCCGCAGCATTCAGCCTGTCTTCCTCAGACTTGGGTGGGATGTATTTATACCCAAAGAAAAGATGGCCTACAGGCAGGTTCAATGCAGCCGGCGCCTCCGATCCATTTTTACCCAGGACATCCACCCGGTTCTCCTTTGAGACACCACTTGCTGAGCTGGAGACAGTCGCGCTCGTGTCCTTCGCGGCCGATTTACTACTAGCACAAATTATTCATATCTTAATGTCAGCCTTGCACATGGGTGGCAGTAACCTGCGTTAGTGTCCTCCATCAAACCAGTTGGAGCTAACCTTTTACTTCCACTGGCGGCTCCGTTCAGTCTTTGACCCTGACCTTCAAAAGCCGTCTTTTTAGTACTATCGGGTGTTGCCATTCTTTCTTCGACCTCCTTTCTCAACTTGCTCTCCTACAGGCGCATACGCGAATGATAAGAAATAAAGCGATTAGCCATCATGATGAATGCTGGTTCAAGGCCGATCCATGTTTCAGTCGCGCCCTTTCATACCATAATGGGTCGACCTCTTGGCACAGGCACTGGTTCCTGATAACCGACAGGTGGAGCGAAGTCGACTTCCAAATCCGTCTCCACGATCGAAATGCCCACTCCCGGTGGTTTAATCTCCATAACCAAAATTCCGTAGATCTTCTCGTTGTATGAAATCTCAATGTTATCGCCGACAGTCAACGTTGAAAAATTGCGCAAGGCATTCTCAAGTCTACAATATTGAAGTAGATCACAAGAAAAAAAAAAACGTTAGCGCATTCAGAATGACTTTTGCCTCTTCTGCTTTCTCGGTTGGATATCTCTTTTCCTCAGAACCGTACACTGCCTTGGGATCGCTAATGTCCAAAAAATCGACACTCTGCGGCTGGATTTTGACGAAACTTCCCAATGGAAGGCCGACGCTCTTGACTGTCACCAGGTCACCTTCCGAGAGTGTGAGTGTTTTCATCATCTAGAGGTGATTTTACAAATGATGCGCGCAAATTAGAATCATCAGCAGTCTTTGGGCCAAATCTGCCAAACAGTCTCGATGGCTGGTCCATGATGCCTTACCCAGTGTGGCAGGTACACCCTCCCTTCTTCTGCGATGAACTCGAGAACACCAGCATGTGTGGATTGAGAGCCACGCGTCAGCTCAAACAGCATTGGGTACTGAATGTGAAGAGAAGCTATGATGATTGTCAGCACGAAGCAAAGACGCTGCAATATTAGGACACATCCCACTATGACAGCCCAGTGGGCGCAGTAACAAAAAGACCGCGATCCATTGAATACAATGTCCTTACCGAGCTTGGCGAGGGCAGACTGAGGTAAAATGACTACCGGTCGAAGGACATGATGTAAAGATGATCGAACAGGATCAGTTGCTGTAGCAGAGAATTGGAGACCAAAGCGACATATATATGCCGGTACTGCGAAATAAAAAACATACTCTTTCCACCGTGGTTAACATTTTGACGCTCATTGCCTTGCATCATGGCGACAGAGTAGCAGCGATACTGCTCGTTAAATCCGCCACCTCTGGAGCCCATGCCATATCCGCCTATGCCGTAGGATGGGTAATCGTCATAGCCATTGAACTAGTTTATCATAAAAAGAAAAAAAGAAGCGAGCTTCAGTTCAGCCCTTCATCTATTCCTGCTTTCTCCAGTGCGCATGGTATTTGCCGTTTCATCTGGATCGCAAGGATAGGTTTCTATCCTCTGCAGTGCGGTGGGTGGTATGACGAACAGACTGTGAGATTACCATTGTGAATGCGTAATGTAGCTGATAGCGCGCGGTAAAGAATGCTTCTTTCTTGATGTGTTCCTGCTGGCTCGTTGGAATCGGGCTGCGGCGCAGAGAGGGTGTCGAGTTGGAATCAAGTTGAGTCGTGTCGTCGTGTCAAGGGAGCAAGGTGTGGAAGCCGCGTAACACCTGGAGGTCGTGCTTGTACGCCTCTGCTGATCGCAGTCACTCTCGCGTTGATCCTGGGAATCCGATCTAGCGTTCAATCGTTCTCTCCATCGTCAACCACGTCCGAGACTCGTCGGACAACCAGGGAGCCAGGACAGGAACCAGAAAGGTGCAGGAAAATAGGACATAGAAATCAGGATGGATCAAGGTATCGTAAGCCCCGGCGAGCCCTACGACGCGAGTGGGCTTCAACTGGGCCAAAACTGAACATGACTATGCTCCGTTTAGATACCAGTGATAACGGTGCGAATCGCATCACCTCCAGAGCCACACAACTCAGCTTGAACAGTGGAACTTCCGTAAGCGTCTACCCTTATGAGGATGTCACAGCCTTGCTGGATAGCGCCACCAAAGGTACTTAAATCTGCCCAACCCCCGAGCTCACCCCTGAATAGTTCTCACCAGTTCCTTCAGTCTATTTACAGTTGCCTTGCTTTCTTTTGTCTGTGTCATATGTAGACATGAAAGTGGGCCAATTGGTCCAGTTAGAGACGTTCAGCTTGTTTGATGCCATGTGCGCCATCGTGGTATGGATACTGGCGGGAGGGATGAGGTTTTCATATCTCATGCTAGGATCTCATTGTTGCTGATTCGACGCTCGGGAATACTAACGAAGGCCTCTGACCATAGATCATGGATCCTAAAATGGACACTGGAATGATTCTGGACGACTATTCAACGCGCCCCCAGTACGGTGTCAACCGTCTTCTAAACCCAAAGGAATTCATCTGGATCTTTGACAACATTTTAATTGGCAAGGCATGTCATGACGGAAATCAAAGCTATCTCTTTTCGTACCGGAGCCTTTTACTTATGAGCTGAAGTAATCTAACCAGGTTTTGATGTTGCGCCATTGCAAACCATTTGCCGCTACAGATGACATGGCTCACAGGACACGCGCTCTCCCAAACGTTGTTCACCAGCTGTTATATCCTACGTCTCTTCGAGATCGATCTCGGAGATGAGTCCTCTGGCATCTCTAAGAGCGATCAAGACAGGGGCGATCAACCCCCAACACAATTCGTGACGGCAGTTCTAAAGTCGTGCGTGCTGGCCGTTGCCAAGAGCTGTGGGCTGATCTGGACGGAGATGCGCAAGGGTCAAGTTTACGAGGAGGAAGACTTCATGAGTAATAAGTTCAACGTCTCACTTTATGAAAACTATCCTGTCGCCTCATTGATTGCTATGCTGGATCAAGCAGAGTACTGGATGGAAACTTCAGGGAAGCAATGGATCGAGTTGCATTATGGAAACGAGGCCGTCGATATTACTAAGGCTGTCATGGAGAGGATATATTATTCAAGGGTAGGTGTCTAAGTACTTTGGGACTTGACTTGCTTGTTTTACACCTTTATTTCTCTTTACAGTTCTGTGTTGCCTAAAGCTAACCTCCGGGGCAACTAATCAGTCCTCTTTTATGGCTTTGTATCAAGTCATGACTCCAAAATGTTCGCAAGTCTCCGAGGCGGTCCCGCAACTCGAGGCGGTGCGCAAGAACGTTGAAGGGATGAAGTCGACATACAGTTTGGGTATCCCTGTTGAAGGCGCATTTGACCATAAGGTTCATCGCAAGCTGGTTACCAATACACCTCCTCGGGCCATCGCCCTTCTTACACTCGAAGAGGTAACTGTCTTCTGCAAAATCTGCTGTACGCTCAATTCGCTATTCGTATGCACGACTTGGTTTTGATAGAGGTTATATTTTCATTTTTATTTGATAGACCTTTGAACATTTGGATCAGCTGTGCGCGGACCTCATATTTATCGGCCAGGCAATCCCATTCCCCGATGCCGCCAACTTAGTGGTAAGATTGCAAAGCTGAGCTTGTGCCTCGATCGTAGTAAACTAGTGATACTTTTGGTTTCACGAATCTACGGACTAATTTCTGCTGCATCTTTTTCTCCACTAGAACTTTTTCATCCAATTCGCAGCCAAGAAGCCCGCACCCGGAGCTTTCCCGCGATCTATCCTCCAGACAGTCTTGTACGAAAACCAGATTATCATGGGCACATGCAAGGCGCAGGATGTTATCCGCGACAGCATTCAGGAAACCGTTACGCCGGCGTCATGGATCTTTGGATCCTTTGATACTTTACAGGCCAAATTGCAGGAAGATTCATCCAAGCTTGCCTCGGAATCAGCATCAGCAGTTTTGAGCTCGATTTTGGAAGTGGATGAGGACCCACTAGCGGTTCAGAAGCGGCAGATCCAGGCAAAGACAGTCCTGTTTGTAGAAAAGGCGATCAAACCTTTCGTGGACACGCTGCAGATCGCAGGTCAGAATGCTTCAAGACAACGCCGAAATCTGAGAAAAATGGTGCAGCTCTGGGAGGGTCTGCAGGAGGAGGCTGAAGCCTTGGACGAGGAGATCCACCAGGTCATGGATGAAATTCGCGCGCAGCAGCAGGACCAAAATTGCAAAGAGGACAGCGAAGCCATGCAGGAGACCTCGCTTCGACCATTTTATTTTGTTTCGTGGGCTTACCATATGAAGCTATGGACTATGGAATGGCTGCTCTTGCTCGGTTTCGAGCTCGAGCTGTACTCTGCTTTCGAGTACTCTATGATCTATGGGTATGGATTGATTCTGCAGCTATAGCTATGGAAGAAACATACTGATGGTTAATAATACATTCCAGAACTTGATTTTACTAACGGCCGTATAATTTCCTTTTTTCTTTTTCTTTCATGTAGATATATCGATTGTGTGTTAGGCGCTCATGCCCAGCACCTGCGACGTATTCAGAGCATAGTTGAATCAGAAGCCCATAACAGCACAAAGAGCAGCTTGGGACAGAAAAAGAAGAAGAAGAAGAAGAAAAAGACCGCAGTCTCGGGAGCAGGCGTCAGCACGGAGGATAAAATTCCGAATCAGTCCACAGCATCATCACCAGCTTCACCCTCAACGCAGCTATCCCTCGGTAATAATTCCTCCGCCGCCGCCGCCGCCGCCGAACCTAGGCCAGAACATGAAGGCAAACCGGAGCCCTCCGTTTCTGCATCCACACCTGCATCTGCGTCATCGCTCACACACGCCATCCGTTCTGCCCAGGATCTGGTCACAATCCGGCTCCAGATTGCTCGCGCCGTATTTTTGGTCCTGGCTGCACTAACAAAAGTCGGGCACCTCTCCACGACTCCGGCACACCTTGCAAGCCACGGCCTGAATGACCTGGAAACATTGCACAGGCATCGATTCAAGGCGTTCCATCACCTGTCCTCACCCGAGACCATGTCCTTTGAAGGATTTTTGCATCGTCTCGAATGCGAGGGATTGGACGTAAGTAGCCAGCAACTATTATGAAGGGTATATTCGGATACGAAAGCTCGTCCTTACATATTTCTGCACTGTCATTTACTTTTGTTCCATGATCCTTAGGCACATCAGGTTTTGGAGTACGCAACGGAATTTTTCAGTGAAGCCAAGGCTAACTTGGACCGTCTTCAATCATTATCTGGCAAAGACGCGCGTGTCGAACTGTGCGAGGACAACTGGCGCAAGGTGAGCAGAACAATAAGGAGGATCTATCTGGTGGCGGCTGTAGGTAAAAAAAAAAAGGCCCAGTATTGACCTAGTATATTCCTCTTCTTTCTTCCTTTCGTTGTATGGATATGCAGGACCTCAAAAATATGGCCAAGGTCTGCATAGCAAGCAAGATCGCGATCGCCACCCTCCACAAGGATCCGCGCGTGCTTGAACAGAAAGAGTTCAGCATCGAGGCCCAGAAACGAGCCGCTACAAGTGCTGCTGCTGCTGCGTTTGCTGCCAAGCGGTCCATGAAGGGCAGAGACAAAGACAAGACAGATCCAACAGCATCCAATGCGCAGCCGTCCTACAAGGCACCCATAAGGGCGCTGCATTTTGAATGGAAGTATCATTCCTGGTGGCCTGTCATTAGTCTCCAATAATAATTATTTTCAATCCTTTTTTTTTTCTGCATAAACGCAGCTTTTTATTCTTCAGGCAATAATTGTTCGCATTATGGCGGCTGTGTGAGCGTGTATGTGTTCGCAGATCCCTTTAATAGGCAGAAGTCTCGGCAACCTTGAGAATCTCGTCAAAGTAATCGGAGCTGATTTTCTGCACTGTGCTCATACGTTGATCTTCCGTCAAGGGAAGGTCCATCAGCAACGCGCTCTCCTGAATCGACTATTTGTGTTGTGCGGATGATGATAAAAAAAAAAGATTACAATGGTTAACTTTCGCAATCAACCTCATTAATAAGATCGAACGGATATCCTGTGTCTTCACATACCAAATCCTTCAAATTCCTCAGCAGACCGTTGCATTTCGAAGCCATTTCCGTAATGCACACCTCCAACGAAGGTGATGGCTCCTTCTGTAGAGTGATCAACAGCGGCAGCTTGGTCAGCAGCGCCTGCACCTCATGCTGCAGACTCTGGATATCCTGTGCGGGGACAAGATCGTTCGCATACGACACCTTGCTCTTCAGTTTCAGACGGTCGAAGCCGCCTTCGAAATCTGAGCAACACTCCAAATACTTTTGGTAGATCGATCCGCCTGTCTCCCAGTCCGCAACCTTGCTTTGATCAAGCATGCCCAACAGCGTACTGAGCGTGTCCAGATCTCCCTGAAGAATACATGCAGGTGCCAGTTGCGACAAGATAAGGCTGTGTCCCTTCTGATACTCGCCGCTCTTTAGTAAACTAAAGACCTCAATATTCAGATCCCCGTGGTATTTGGCTCGTGTGGCCTTGGCCATCCAGATCCATGTCTCAGGGATTCTCAGATCCTTGCGTAAAAACTCAATCTTCTGGCTCTTGTCTGCCCACGCATCTAACTCTGTTGTAGTCATCTGTCCGCTGGGTGCTGGAAGATCCACATTCCGTTCCAGCAGCTGACGGATCACCATTTCTCTCGCAGCAGCTGTTTCCAGGTGCAGTGCCACAAACACTGCCCACTCCCAGAGACCCAAGTTCTCGAGCTGGAATATGAAATCCTGGCAGATCTTGGCGTGGGATGCTCCCGAGCGAAAGCCGCTCACACGCAGCGACTGCGTGAGTACCATATAAAAGATCCAACTTTGTCGATAGTCCAGGAACGAAGGTGTCATCCCCAGCGGATGAAGCGCGTCTTCCAGACTCTTAGACGGTATTGTCAGGAGCGCCATCAGCTGAAACAAAAAGTCATAGTACTTGGGGTCCTGTCCCTGGACGCGCTTTTGGTACCACGGATTCGGCCTGGCCACCGCCTTGCTCCCAGCCATGGAAAAAACATATTCATCTACAGCCTCCTTCAGATTAGCCCCAGGAGTATTGCTATGCCATAAATAAAGCCCAAATGTCCGTCGCCAATCGAGCCCATCGCTCACCAATCGGGTGGGCTCGCCTTTCGGCGCAATGTTGACATCTAACTTTCCACTCAAGAGCGCATATGCCTTCATGTAGCCAGCCGGAATACGTCCCTCAACACCATTCTTCTTGTAGATCGCCAATTGATCCTCTACTCCCGCAAGTGGCCGTGCTCCTCGCCCGGACTGTGAGATGAGCGTCGCGAGACGGGGATTCTTAGACTTGACAGCTGCTATGCTGGCTTTTTGGCGCTTGTTGTTGAGCAAGAGTATAAAGATCGCCTCTTCCTGCGCCTGGGCTCCTCCCTCAAGCTCAGTGCGACGCAGATCCTCCTCCAACAGAGGCTTTGTGACATACGACAGCCAGTTGCTGCATCGCACCCTTCGTCCGATGGATTCGTAAGACTCTTGTGCTGACTCGGGCAATTCTGACATGCTCTCTGGTGTCGGCTGTGGATCAAACAGAGACTGGCCCAAAATCCAGGCAAATACTTCCTCGCTCGAAAGATTGTGTTGAAGTTCCTTGAGTTGATTCATCAGAGTCGTAAACGATGTTCCTGTAACAATGCTGGCCCTAGGCTGCTCATTCTGGTCCAGAATGATGGTGGTATTCTGGAAAAATGCTTGGAGCGAAACAATATTCCTCAGCACCTCCATCTCCTCTTCCGCTGCCACAGTTTTGACCTTGATAATATTGACTGATGTCGTTGAAATTGACGGCAGATCATTATCGCTTGTATGATCCTCTTTGCTTGCCCTACATCATCATCGTACGCCACCCAAAGAAAGTTGGTTTATTGTTAGACTCTCATCATTTTTCGGCGTGGTGAGTGAGCTCCATAGATCCTGAACCCGCAATAGCTTTAATACCTTTCTTTGATACTCTCAAAGTCGCAGACCTGTCCACAGACTGCCAGCAGCCCATTCGGACCCCAACCCACTCTGCAGGACCGACCCATCATCAATCCAGCATCTGCCAGGAGGTTTCCTTTGCGCGTGAGCAGCGAATGTTCATACGACGACCGGGTGAACTTGCGTGGGGGCCTTTTCAATAGGGACTCTTTGACATCGTAATCTTGCTGGAATGAAGGGCGGATCTGGTCAATCGGAGACAAGGGTATATAGCAAACAATGATCAATCACAAAAAAGAGAAGGAGTGTCAGTTGAAAGTCCATTTTATTCATAGTTCCAAAGACTGTATATAAAGCGAGGAGAGTAGGGGTGTCTTGGGACAGTAAAGATAGAAGGAGGATATGGGGAAAATTAGAAAGGTGTATAGATCCGTTCGCGGAAACAGTTGTCCTTGTCCTTTGTCGATGTCATTGGTGGTTTTTCGAGTTGGTGTTGTTTCGCCATTCGTCCCGAAATCCGTCGTCCTCTCAGAAACACAATACAGATTAAGCCAGGCTTACCTCGGCCTCAAAGCCCCCAGCGCGCTCTCCATTAGACTCGATCTGTTCAGAATTTTCGGAGGATGTAGACCAGATGCTACCTCGTTTCGAAAGGCGGCTACGGTTAGACGAGGGCTCCGTAAACAATGATGTTCTCATCATGTTGAGGCGCTGAGGATCGCTGCTCCTTGATATTGCGCTGACGCCGCGGGAACGGTTCAACAGCGCAGGTAGGGGCGACTCTTCGTAATAAGCCGTATGGTCATCCGACTCTGCCGAGGAAGAGCTGGCACCAACATAAGTGCCTCGTCTCTGGCTGGCATTCGAAACGATATTGGCAGCAGCAGCAGAGTTCACTCGTCGGCCGTTATCCTCTTGAACTGCATCGGCGTCATTCTCGTCATCATCTGTCAGGCCGTACTGCGAAAAGTGCTCCACGCGGAATGTCCATGTACCGTTGTCGGTGTTGAAGTCAAGGAACGTGGTCTCTGGCTGCCGTCTGAGGCGCTTCAAATGCTTGGCGTATTCAGGTGAGGACTTGTCGAATCGAGTCGGCTCACGGGTAGTCTTATCCAAGGGCCAGCAGTTCTCGAGAGAGATGAGCGCAGGCACGTTCAGACCTTGGCCTCGAGGAGGCTTGTTGTGCTCGTCAGGATAAACCTTGCAGACCTTACGACCAAAGACGACGATATGGCCGCAAATGGAGGACAACGAGGGCACAGTCGTGAGGTCCACGGGTTCCAAAAAGTCGACGCTTCCGTAACCTGGCAGTCCGATCTTGAAATCCTCGACGTGCTGAAGTTCGGAGCGGGACATCTTCCTGAGCTCCTCAAGTGATGGCGACATCCAGTACTCTCCCTCAACCGTGGATCCAGCAGCAGCAGCGAGCGCAGAGGTCGCGACCTCATTTCGGGCAGAACCCGCTGAGGTCTTTGGCTCTGCGACATTGCCGTTCGTGAAAGACCTGTCCAAGCCGAGTCTTGGTTGAGACACAGCAGCTGCGGTCTCCAAAGACGGGTTGAAGGTGATACCGGCTCTTTGCAAACCATGAGGCTGGAATGTAGATTGGTCGGAAGCAAGGCCACGCGGCTTCAACTCGAGTTTCTTGACACTGCGGCGAGGAGTGTAGTCATTCGAAGCGAATGAAGAGTCGTCATTGATCCCATCCAGGAGCAAAAGACTTTTGCGACCAGCAGCGAGATCGCCGCCAGAAACGCTGGACGAGAATGTGGCAGTGGAGGTTGGGCGGAGGCGGATCTGCGTGTGTCTTGGGCTGAAGCGCACTGGAGGAATCATAGCAGGGAGCTTCTGTGCTGGCTCTGAACGAGACAAGACCGCAGGCTGTGATTTTGATGCAGGGGTAGTGGAGTCCCTCTGGAAAAGCGGGTTGTCGCCATAGATGTTGCCATTCACAGACGCTACCATAGATGGCTGAGCAACAGCCGTGTTCATAGATGCGCCAAACATGCCACTAGTGTTCGTGCTCGCTCCAAAGGCACCGCCAGTCGCTCCAGGGTTGCCAAAGAGGGAAGATGTTTGAGGAGCAGTTGATCCGAATGTAGGCATCGTTCCGAATCCTGTAGAGGCACCCCCTCCAAACATACCGCCAGTCGTGGCTGGCTTATTCGCTCCAAACAAGCCAGTTGTGCCCGTGCCACCAAAAGCAGGGGCAGATGTCATTCCAGTGCCACCAAATAGTCCCGTTGGTGCTGTCGAAGTCGCAGGTAGGAATGATGTTCCAGTAGAAGCGCCCCCAAAGAGCCCAGTACCAGTGCCTGAAGCAGGCGTTGTTCCAAATCCACCAAAGGCAGGTGCTGCAGCCGTCGAGGTCGCCGTGTTTCCGAAAAGCGAGTTAGTTGCAGCAGGCTTGGCTGCACCAAATGCTCCAGTTCCTGCGCCAAGACCAAATCCTAGTCCAGTCGAAGCCGGTGCTGAGGTTGTTGCGGCACCAAATCCTCCAAATCCAGTCGAAGCGGTACCAGATGGCGCACCAAAGGCGCCGGTCGCTCCTGCTCCGGTGTTACCGAACAAACCAGTCGTGGTAGTTGAACCTGCTCCAAATCCACCCGAGGTTGCTCCAAAGCCAGTGGCTGGCTGGCTGGTCGCTGTCGCTCCGAAGCCGCCAAAGCCCGTTGCGGGCTTCGCGGCAGTAGCGCCGAAAGCTCCAGCTGTACCAAATCCAGGAGTGCCTGTAGTCGAGCCGAATCCAGTCGCGGGCTGCGAGCCGAAAGCAGAGTTCGCCCCAAATCCTGTGTTTGGTGCTGCAGCTGACCCACCAAATCCAGCTACCAAAACATGAGTTTATAAGGGTCAAGGGTTAGGAACCGAAGCAAAACACCCGAAACATGAACGGATGACTATGGCCATTTTAAACAGATGAATGAGAATACAATGTACGTACTTGATGCAGGGGCAGTCGATCCAAAGCCTGTAGTGGATCCAAAGCCGGTGTTCGTAGCTCCTCCAAAGCCGGTCGGAGCACTACCAAAGCCGCCTAGAGCAGTGGAAGTGTTGGTGGCTCCGAAACCAGTTGTAGGCTGGGCTCCGAATCCTGTGGTTGCAGGCTGTTGAGGTTGCTGTCCAAATCCAGCGGTCGCACCGCCAAAACCGGCTCCTTGACCAGGGAACTTACGGCCCTGCTGATAATCTTGCAAGCGAAGTTCCTATGAAGGGAGCGAGATCAGAGAGAGATTAAGAAAGAGTTTGAGAAGTGACTTGAGAACATCAATAATAACGATTCCGTTAACTGACGAGTATGGCTGCAATGACTTACCTCGAAAGAGTACTGACGATATGCAGGCATGGCGGTGATACTCTGATAATGACTATTCTGTCCAGTTGCTGGCTCTTTCTCGATATAAGCTGAGAATGGAGGGTTAACAGTTCCATTGCCCCCGGGTGCGTTCATTCCGCCTCCAAGCATTCCTCCACCGCCAAAGGTATTTGCCGCTGCTATTGTAAAATGATGAAAAGATTGAATCAGTTACAAGATCCTTGACAGCGGCCGTAATCGTTCGTATTAAACGAATTAGGACTATTTGCCAAAGTAACCAAAGGCATACCTGCTCCGAATCCAGTGTTGGCGGCGGCACCAAAACCAGTTGTTGGCTGTGCTCCAAATCCTGCTGTGGCTGGCTTGCTTCCAAAACCGGAACTGGATCCAAATCCACCTGCGGACGCTGTGTTGGCTATTATAAACATAAAGAGAACATGAGAACATGAGAAAAAAGAACATGGATACACATGCCGCCAAGTCGAAGTAGTCCCTTTATGTGGCAAGCATCGCACGTCGAAAACTTACATCCAAATCCTCCGAATCCTCCTGTCGGGGCTGTCGGGTTAGCTCCTGTATTAAGACCAGATTCAATGTTAAAAAAAACTGCCTTATGCTCATTTAACTTCATAGACTGTGTAAAGTATCGTTGTATCTCACCTCCAAAAGAAGAACCGCCAAACCCAGTCTGAGGCTGCGCTTGTGCTCCAAAGCCCGAGCTTGACCCTCCGAATCCGCCTGAAAACATTTATGATAAAAAGTATTTGTTAGACCGTATTCTCGCTTGTCGAGTGGATGGAAATATGAGAGTGAAATCGACGGACACTGCGAAACTCACCTCCACCGAAACCAGTGCTTGCGGGCGTGGATCCAAAGGCGTTGGCTGCTGGAGCTGCTCCAAAGCCTGTGTTTTGCGCGGCACCACCAAAGCCTGTATTGGCTGCAGCCCCAAAGCCGGTCGCAGGAGCACCAAATGAGCCTGCTGGGTTATGCCATGGAATGAAAACGCGAAAACGGAGACCACTGGTTAGCCACGCGAATGATTGCCTTTATTTTTATTTTTTTTATTTTTTGCTTAGACACAGATCATCCAGATCCCGAAAGGAAGAACTCGATGCACATATCCTTGGGAAAGTTCGCTCGATGACAAGACTGATGACTTACTTGTGGAACCAAACGCGTTGCCTGATCCAAATCCTGTATTTTGCTGTTGCTGGCCACCAAAGCCGCTGTTGCCGAATCCAGAGCTGAACATGATGTAGAGCGGTGGATGGAGGTGCTATCTCTAGAGATTCGCTGTTGCGTTGTAAAGTTGATAAAGTCGCTGGATGGATAGAAGAAAGGTGGCGTGTCGGGTGGGAGGAAACAGAGCAGAAATGGCGTATATGCTTTCCAAAAGTCGAGAGACACGAGGGGAAAAAAAGAAAAAAAAAAAAAGAAATAATGAAATAATGAAAATAAAAAGAGATAAAAGACAGAGAAGGAAAGGGAGTGAGTGCGGACAGGCTGTGGTGATGATGGAACGAGATGGGGTAAAGGGTGGGAAGCAGCAGACGGAGGGGATGAAGAACAGCGCCTGTCCTCGTTTATGTATTGATTGCACCAGGCTGCTGCAGCTGTGCGTGCGAGTGTCGTGTTTGTGTGTGGCGCAGAGGTTAGGCGTCACCTGACTGCTCCCTGCTCCGCCTGCAGGCGCAATCCTCTACTCCACTCTGCACAGCACTTTTCACTTTCCGCCGGTCTGCACAGCACCCAGCGAGCTCACTGCCACATCCCTCTCCTCGCTCTCGCAGAAACCTGACCTGTCCGAATCACTCGTTGGCCAGCTCAGTCCGCCCGCAGAAACCGCCGCACGTTACTGAGTTGAGGATGATATGCGTTTCTCAGACCTACAAGCCCCATCACTTTTTAACGAAGCCTGCTTCTAGCCAAGACTATTCGTCGTCATCGCCATCGTCTCCACGCTCTCCGCTCTCCGCCCCGTCGTCGTCGGCCTTATCATTTACTGGTTCACTATTCTCTGGGCCGTCGCCGCTAGTATCATTGTTCAGACTAATCTTCGCCTACAAAAAAAGAAAGAAGAAAAAAACCCCCCTACAGAACAGTATAGAGCTGAGGATGCTCCAAAGAGGTTACCTGTTTTTGTAAAGAGCATATTACCTATCGATTGATTGTGTCTGGGAGCGTTCAAATATACTGGATCACACTTGTGGATATCTGCGATAATATCCATCTGGGCAACCCTCTTGGTCCGAGCCGTCAACTGGTCCTTTATTGGCAAAAGAAGTGGCCGTAAAACCGCAAAAGTATATCGAGTGGGTTCATGCGTCCTTCATTCTCTAAACAGCTACTGGCTCCGGCAGACGATTCTACAATGACATCGATGTTCGTGAGAGTCGACGTTGAGGATCCTATATCCTGACTTGTGTGGTCGCTGCGCCCGGATGAAGAGCATGGCACTTCAAAGGAGGCGCTAACGCTATTACAGAAAGACCCAGCCTCGGTAACGTTGGCGCCAATGATCGCTTCAGAAGCTGCACTGAGTCCCTCATAAACAAAGCTCAACGATTTGGAAAAAAGCGGATCTGGCCTGGCTAATAACTGAACCGCCACGTCCAAACGCTCCACGGCTGCTTTAGCTTCTTCCTGCCTATTCAAAATGATCGATCGATACAGACATCCTTCAATAAGCCTACGATCAAGATTGTCGTTCTAAAGGTCTGGCCAAACAGAGGCTTTTGAAGAGTGGTGCCGACTCGCCGTTCTTTCTTGCCGCTGACATCGTTTTGCACCCTTATCTTTTTCCCTTTCTTTTTTTTTTCTCTTCTTTTTTTTCTTTTTGAACAATTTGAGCTAGTAGGAGGCCAGTGAGAAATCGGGTGTCGTGTAGTGCAACATGTTGACAATCCTTAGACATAATGCGATCGGCAGATGGCATTACTATACTTTTTTTTTAGTGGCACCACGCTGTGCCATACACTGCAGAATCAATATCCTTTGAACAGACAACACATCGTCAGTCCCTACCATCCCGTGTTGAGATCTATTCCAGCGTGGTTCTGAAACTACTTCCGTCTTCATGGATTTATTGCTTCTACCACAGCGTGCCAATGCATTTGATCCCGCCCCCCCCCAAAAAAAACGAGCTGTATAGACCTATGTGAGACCTGAAGAATAGGAGCAGGGATTGGTTCCTTGAGTGGAGAAGACGCGATAGTATGTGGATTACGTGAGCCACGACCAATGAGGATCTTGTATTCTAGGCAGCTGGGCCTTTCAAAAGTACCCTGTATAGAGTATAGCTTGCATAGGACTAAAGCGGAGGCACTGACAAGGTATGCCATAAACCACGCGGCGTTGATCATCACAGGGACACGTTTTTCCAAAAATAGTGCGCTCGCCATTCCCTCAGCACATAAAAGGTTCGCGGTGGGGTTTACAGTTAAACACCAAACGGCCTAGAAGGAGAAGAGCCCGTTCCTGTTCCTGAAAGATGTATTCCATGCCTGCCGAACGCGATCTAGACGCACTCCATGCCCACAACATGGAGACCAGAATGGACCAATGCAGCGGAGAGAGAGAGGAGGAGGAGGAGGGGGGGGGGGGGGGGGGCCTAACAGTGGATGTCCCCTATGCCAGCCAATACCTCAAATCGGCGCAGCCTTGTCCTGATGGGTACTGGACACTTAAACGGCCTTAAATACCCCAGTCGATCTGCCATGCCCAAAACCTGACAAAAACCAGCACCGTACACCATCCTCCTTCCTCCCTCTCTCTCTCTCATCCTCAGACTAAATCCCAACAACCTACACTCAACATGGCTCCCACGTCCTCCAGCACAACTGCAGTCGCAGTCCCCACCCCGGTCCCAAGTCCCACGGTTGACTCGATCTCCTCTGTCAAGCCTGCCCAGAATTCTGTCTACCACTCGGGACAGCGAGTTAACCTCACGGTCAACCTCAACGGCAGAAGGTCTGGCGCCTTTTACAAATCCAATCCTCTGGTCACCATCTCCCTCCATGAGGGCTCCGTGACCCCAGGCCCGGCCTACGTGCTCGCACGAATTCCTCTGCATCAACTCGTCAGGGATGGCTATTCTTTCAAGATCCTGAAGTCTTACGTCCTCCCAAGCCAATGGCACTACGTTCAATTCGCATATGTATACAACGGCCTTTATAGAATATCAGGCAATGGTTTCAAGGTCTTGCCATAGATACAGAAAATGTCGATCAATGAAAATATTAAACAGTAATCTTAACACCTCTTTGCAAGAAATATTAGCAATCGTGCTTTCCTTTCCCTATTTTTTTTATTTAAACTTTTCAAAGCTGGGTGAGTTTAATATCAACAGGCTGTCTTCTTGCTTGCGGATCCATTTGAGTAGCTTATTTGACATCAGTACAACCGCACTCTTGGATACCAATGGTCCAAATGCTGCATACAGCTCAAAACTCGATGTAATCTATCAAGTACAGAAGACAGGACAAACATTGTGTCAGAACGCTGACCATCCCAGATCAAAAAACTTCGAGGACCTGGCACAGGCGCTGGCTCAGCCCCTTACCCAACCAAGCATTGTCTCGTGTTCGCCCACATGGAACAACAGCTTCAATGGCCGTGTTTTCCGATGCATCCGCTCATGCATATGCTGATACTGCCGCAGCAAGCGCTTTCTAGCACTGAGGCTCGAGTATGGATCCATGAGCTCCGGCATCGTGAACTGTACATTTGTGCGAGACTTGTAAAGGAAGTGGCGTAATCCCGGGATCCCAGTGTCGCCTAGAAAAGATTTTCACGCAAACAAAACGTAGTGTTTATGTGCTATTGATTAATATGCCTCATAAATGGTTCTGACCACATGGCGTTAATCCTTTGACAGGCAAAACAGTGTGCTGCGCTTACCAACAGAAAAACCGCCTCTAGAACCCGCTGCTGCATGGCTTTCCAAAGATGCTAACATGCCTCCGGCTTCGAGACCCTCGACAACCTTTTGCTTCACGCTCGACATCTCGAAAAAGCTGTCCTTGTCGGGCGAAATTAGGAGCATACATACTTTCTTAGCTATATAGCAGATATACGCATGAAGAAAGCTCTTGTTGTTGAATTTTGGAAGACATATTGGTGTCCAGGACTCGGAGCTCTCGAAGGTTGTAGAGCCAGAAAGGAGATTGAAGATCAAGTGGAGGTCCGATGGATGCATCGAATGTGTCCGCGGCCGTAAAAGGGTGATGAGCTGTGTCGGTGTTAGCAAAATCGCATATAATAATGGCTAGGAATGTATGGAAAATGATATCGAAAAATTAGTCACTGCCTCACTTGATAGCATAGCACTCATGTCCTATCACATCTGCGATGCCTCCGTCGCCGTACCTTGCACTTTGCTCGGCCGAGAACCGCGCCAACCTTGTCACGCAACTCCCTTGGCATAGTAAGACACTGGATGGCGCCAAGCATGAATCCAGGATACGTGTTCATGAGTTTGCCCAGACTGTCCAAGAAAATCTCTGTGCCTCCGATAAGTCCCCTCAGGTCAAAATTGTTGCGCTGCTCAAAGATCTTTGTCATCTGCGAGTGGGTTAGGACACTGATGATCTGCGCATACAAGTATCCAAGCTGGTCCCTAAGCTGAGAGACCGAGACAATAGGCCGTGATTAGCTCCAGTCTATTGCTTTGTCAATACAAAGGACACGGCAGAGGAGGCCAAATTAACGACCGCAACATCGTATCCTGTACCTGAGACTCCGATTCTCCAGTACGCGAAACACAAACAAGATACAACGGCGTCTTCAGCAAGAACACAAACTTGTGCTGACCCGCATTGATGCACCGGATCGTATCGTCATTGTCCGCGAAAAAACTGATCAGCGCCTGAATGACTCCCATGTAGCTCGATATCCTGGACTCGTCTCCGTATCGGGCGTAGATGGGCTTCCCTGCGCTGCTGAGGATGAAGAAGTGTTTACGGTGCGCAGTCCATGAGCTGGCTGTATGGTCCTCGCTACCGTAATGCTTCTGATACCCTCCATAGTTGTTCGAAATGTCGTCCGAATCATACGACTTTGTGGAGACGGACCGCTGTAGTCGGGATTTCGGTCTCCCACCAAGATTGCTGTGCTTTGGACGAAGGACCTTCAGTTTGTCTAATCGTTCCGTACAATGAGTAACCCTTAGATAAGATTCAGTACGCTATGGAGAGCCTCTTCCCATGCTTTCAATTTACCTTGAATCTGATTGGCATCCAATGCGGCTTCTGGCTGAACATCTGAGCAGTCTCCAGCCTCACTGTTCTGGTCTTGATCAGGAGACAAAGTGATTGTTCTGTAACGGGTATCGATTCCATGGCCTTGACGATCGCCTCTATCATGCTCCTCAATCTCCCTTAGCGACTCTAGGGCCGTCGTCGAGTACTGATGGTGGTCTATAGTGGAAATGTTGGCGTGAGATAGGCCAGCAATCATGGGCGCTCCTATCCTGTGCCGGTCGCGACCGTACTCACTCTCTGTGTCTGTCAGACGACCATCCTCCTCGCTGCTTTCCGAATCTAGACCCTGATCCTGATTATGTTCAAGATGACTTGACTGAGTATTCTCTGCAGGAAGTGCAAGGCCTTTGAATGCACGCGAGGCGGCATGGGCGATGTCGGTGGAGCCCTTCTTGGACTGGCCACCCTTGGTGGTAGAAGAGGCAGAGGATAGCATGAACTCGTCGCTAGAAACAGATTCTGTATCCTGTTGCTGCTGTTGTTGTTGCTGATGCTGAGGTGGGCGTTGCTGGTCCAAGACAAGGGCCGTGGTGGGCCATGACTTGGTAGGCATCAGTCTGGGCGAGATAGCCGACTGGCGTGGTGATGCAAGCGGAGAGGATGATGATGCAGCGACATGCATCGATGGCGAGAGCAGTGCAGGCGAGGCAGGGTGCGGTACGGCCGCAGGGTCGCAGCTGCCGTTGCTGCTGCTGCTGGGCGAATTCATTGGCCGTGGATTATATTAGAGTGGGGTAGGGTGAAGGTGTGGTTCTGGCACGGACAAAGGTCGCTGTGTCTGAACAAAAGGAATTGCTTGTTACATGTGCATCACACGCGGATGTGACGCGCCTAAGTGCTTTGAAGATATACAGGTTCCGCTGTGGCAAGAAATAACCTTTTTTATTTGATTGATGATATGGATGATATGGATGATAAAATGCCGAGATGCTGTTGATGATGCTGATGCTGATGCTGCTGCGATGGTATAAGCATGCGGCCTCCGCTAAATGTCCATTTAGACCTTTGGCACCGCCAAGATCACAGAGTGCTGGCCACCGGCAGCGATCCTCAAGACGCGGTGACCCTCGATTTGCTTTCCAGTCAACTTCAATGGAGTCGGGACGTCCTCCTCCTCGCCATTGCCACATGCCAACATTTCGCCGAAACCCCAGGCGTAGACGTCCCCATCCTCCGATAAGGCAAGAGTGTGGTTCCCTCCAACTGAAATGGCGCGAATCCTAGGGAGTCCTGGAATTAGTGTTGGTGTCCGGATGGCCTTCTTATGACTACTGGAGTCCTCCGATCCAGGTGTCTCTGTGTATCCGAGTCCGAGTTGATGGCTGTCAGACCGTCCGAATCCGTACAGCTCCCCCTCCTCAGTCAGGGCGATGGTATGGTGCTCACCACCCTGAATATCTGCAAAGGTTTTGTCCTTCAGAGCCTTGATTGGTGCAATCGTAGGGACGTTGTCTTTCTTAGAATCCTCATCGCCGCACTGGCCGTATGTGTTCAGCCCCCAGGCGTAAGCCTTGGCTTGCTTGTCGATTGCGAACGAGTGATATGATCCTGCTCCGACCTTGATGGCTGCCTTGGTGCCGATCGACTCGGGCGTAAGGCCATTCAACATGCGACGAGCCATAATCCTGCGTCCGAGCTGCATCTGTTGACCGTTGCCCCAGCTGTAGATTCTGCCAGCCGACGTCAAAGCCAGGACATGGTCCGTGCCGGTAGCGATGTCGACAATAGAAGGTAGTCCTTCGACGATAGTTGGCAGATTCTGGACCTCATTCTCTTTTGAGTGACCTAAGATGCCCTCGGCGCTCTATGTTCATCAGACACTGACGATTAGTACAGAACATAACAGCCAGTCTGACTTCGTGATATGTGCTAAAAAGAGTGCTTACTCTGAATGTGCCCCAGGTGTAGACACGGCCCTCCTCTGTCAGGGCAACGGTGAGTGAGTCCGAGCAGGCAACCTTGACAATCTTGACATCGTCGAGACCCTCAACGGGCAAGGGAGTGTATTCATCACCAGATCTTCCGAGTGCGCGTTGATCGTTCACGCCCCAGGACCACAGCTGACAAACGACAGATACCGCAGTTAAGATGCCGTAAACAAAAAGCAACAATTCTCTAAAAATAAGCCAATGCATAAAAATCAAGCTACCTTTCCATCTCGACTGAGTGCCATGTTGTGCATACCGCCTATTCGATGTGAGGAGTAAGAGGTAGAATGAATATGAGATGCAACTTCAGAGACAGGTACTCAAAGTAGGCAGCGATAAGTCGATCCGTTACCTGCTGCAATGTCCACAATATGATGTTTGCTTAACACTGCCAAATGGGCAGGCTTCTTTCTCGAGAGGATATCCTCACCCAGGCCGAGCTGAGCGCAATCGCCAGTTCCAAATACAAAAACCTCCCCCGGAGTCGCGGGAATATCAGCCATCGCCAGATCAAGGACGCTGCCAGAGGACTTTGATTTCTTTAGAACCGGGACTTTGACTGGAGTGCTGCTGATGGCACGCTTCCTTGGCGAGGATGGTTTGGTGGTGGATTCGGTCGCTTTGGCTACTATGATTGGGAACATCGAGCAACAAAGGGGTAAGGGAACAAACAATCAAAAAATCAGTGCTTTTGGCAAATAGCTTCGCCACCCTGACATTTTGCGCCATAACAAACCACCAAGTCGCCTGCTCCGTTTTAAAAGCTGGCTTCGTCCTTTGTGCCATCTTTTCATACATACCTGTCATAATGGAGCTGTGAGATATGGAATGAACGTGGTAAAAGAAGAAGAGCTGATCTGTTGATCTGTTCTCTTCACTCCAAGATCTTTTTTTTTTTTTTTGTACATAGCTGCACGTGATTGACCACCAATCGAATGCTTGCTCTACAAGCAGCCCTTCCTCAAAGCATGCAGACAACAGGCGCCGATTGAAACGATAGAACGATAGACTGGCAGACAAACAGATATAAATTATAACCATTGTGCTCCGAAGTTAAGTATGGTTGAACATAATAATTTTTATATTTTATAGGTACAGAATAAGAATATGATACAAGTTGAATTGGCCATGGGTGTAGTTATTGCTGTGCTTCTCGGCTGCCGTGTCTCCTTGACTCCTCTACTGTCAAATGACTGAGAAGAAAACTGACGGCAGATGATTCATCAACGCACGCATACAGCACTTAGTAGCGGTAGTGCTCGGGCTTATAGGGACCCTCGGGGTTGAGACCGAGGTACTCGGACTGGACGGGGGTAAGCTTGGTGAGCTTGACGCCAATCTTAGCCAAGTGGGCAGCAGCGACCTCCTCGTCCAACTTCTTGGGGAGCATGTGGACGCCCAATGGGTAGGAGGCGATGTCGGTCCAGAGAGCGATCTGGGCCAAGACCTGGTTGGAGAAAGAGTTGGACATGACGAACGAGGGGTGGCCGGTGGCGCATCCAAGGTTGACCAAGCGACCCTCAGCCAAGAGGATGATGTGGTTGCCAGAGGCGACCTGGAAGCGGTCGACCTGGGGCTTGATGTTGACGTGGCTGACAGCGTTCTTCTTCAACCAGGCGACATCCAACTCAATGTCGAAGTGGCCGATGTTGCAAACAATGGAGTCGTCCTTCATGGCCGCGAAGTGCTCGCCACGGATGATATCACGGCAGCCGGTGGTGGTAACGAAGATGTTACCCTCAGTGACGGCCTCCTCCATGGTGGTGACCTCGTAACCCTCCATAGCAGCCTGGAGAGCGTTGATGGGGTCGATCTCGGTAACGATGACACGGGCACCCATACCCTTGAGGGCAGCGGCGGAACCCTTGCCGACATCACCGTATCCGGCAACGACAGCAACCTTTCCAGCAATCATGACATCGGTGGCGCGCTTGATTCCGTCGATCAAGGACTCACGGCATCCGTAGAGGTTGTCGAACTTGGACTTTGTGACAGAGTCGTTGACGTTGATGGCGGGAACCTTGAGCTTGTTCTCCTTGAGCATCTTGTACAGGTGGTGGACACCGGTGGTGGTCTCCTCGGAAATACCTCTGATCTCGGTCAAGAGGTCGGGGTGGCTCTCGTGGATGAGAGTGGTCAAATCACCACCATCGTCCAAGATCATGTTGGGGCCCTTGCCATCCTTGAAGGCACGGAGCTGCTGCTCGAGGCACCACATGTACTCCTCATCAGTCTCACCCTTCCAGGCAAAGACCTAATCATATTTCACAACATGAATGCGAAGCAATTGTTAAGTTTTGTTTCTTTTCGAAAAGCAATTGGAGCAACTGGAGATTCAAGTAAAGAGGAAATCGTACAGGGACACCGGTCTCGGCAATGGCGGCGGCAGCGTGGTCCTGGGTCGAGAAGATGTTGCAGGAAGTCCAGGTGACCTCAGCACCGAGTGCGGTCAAGGTTTCGATCAAGACGGCGGTCTGGATGGTCATGTGGAGCGAACCGGCAACGCGGGCACCCTTGAGGATCTGCTGAGGACCGTACTTCACACGGAGGGCAATAAGACCGGGCATCTCGTTCTCGGCGAGCTCGATCTCCTTGCGGCCGAAGGCAGCGAGGCTGATGTCAGCTATGAAAAAAAGTGATCAGGGTCAGCATTTGGTTCCTGAAATCAGAAAGCATGAGGATGAGGGTGAGGATGAGGGTAAGGATGAGGACGATGTGAATAGGGGGAAGCAACTGCGTATACATACCAACTTTGTAGGTCATGGTGAAAGTGATGAAGTGGGTGGATGTGGGTTGAAGGGTGAAGAGTAGGAAGAAGAGAAAGAAAAAAGACGCGACCCAAGGGGGCCCCGTCCTTCTTATCAACAAAAGACCGTACGTACAATTGGGGGAGGGGAACTTGGTGGAAGGTTTTTTTTCTGTTTTTCACGCGCAAACTAAAAAGAAAAACAGCTGGGGCACGGACTGCTTTCTTCTGGCGCTTGATGATGAACTCTCCTCAGGGACACAAGGTTCTTTAGTTCCATCTTCACAAACCAATGGCTCCCGCCTTCTCACCCGAAAGGAGGGGGCTAAAAATTACGTTCCCGTTGTCTATATTCAATGCTACTCAAGGAACTAATCTCGCCACCAGCTCGTCCGCGACCGCCATGCCCCTCTCTGTTGGCGACAGTGCCCCTGGTGTCAGTGTAACGAGTCCTCCCCCGATGCTTGAACGAGTCGCATCTGCATCTAAGTACTATCATTCAGTGTGTTCGTGAATGACCATTGGTTAACATTCCTCAGCGTGGGAACAAGTAGCAGTCATAAACCAGGCGCAGTGGGAAAAAAAAAAAAAAAAAAAAAAAAAAGCGTTTGCAGTTACCTTAAGTAGATCCTGCCCCGTAAGTCGCCGGAAGGTTTCCAGGTCGACTCCCAGCTTGGTGCGCATGCCCAGAACTACAAGTTCCTGCTTGCTCTCTTCAGGACTAATCGCTACTGTGCGTCTAAGGCTATGGCATGGCGACAAATATCGTCAGACGTGCACAGATTTTTTTTTTAATCGCAGCTGCAGATGTAGTCGGACAGTACAGGAATACCTACCCAGTCCCTTGCTCGGCGCATTGACGCATCCAACCTGTCGGGTCGCGGATCTATTTCCCACCAGTCGTCAATGGATAATCCTTTCAGGAACAGATTTCATTATGTACCCGCCTTTATCGCCACTTACATTAAACGTCCGTAGACGTTCTCCTGTCCGTGGGTCGCGTACTCGTCCATGGGCCCCAGGTCCTATGCCTACAAGTGGAAGGCATTGTTATTCTTAAGTATCGCGTTTTCTACATAGATAAATATATATTATATTCCGCTTAACACTACTTTACCCAAGTAATCAACGCCTAGCCAATGACCACTGTTGTGTTTGCTGTATGCCTGGTTCCTAGCAAAATTGGAGACCTCATAATGCTCGAATCCAGCTTTGCTTGTCAGCTATAGTTTTCAAAAGCAAAGTAAAAGTCAGCAGAACAGCTTCATGGCGTATTGAGTAAGGCGGAGATTATTGGCAATGCTGATACTTGACACATCTACCTCAATCATGGCCTCATACATGTCTGTCGCCTGGTCATTGTCGGGCAAAGCGATTTTGCCCTGCGTAACATCCTTATGCAGTCTATGATATCAAAACGTTCGTTACCGTTGGGCACATTATCTTGTTAACTATAAAGCATCTGCAACAACAACAACAACAACAACTCCCAGAAAAAGGGAAAAGAAAGAGAGAAAGGCAAGGCACGCACGCTGTTCCAGGCTCGACCGTGAGATGATAAAGACTTAGGTGATCATCTACAACATCCATCGTAAACCGCAGTTCCTTCGTCCAGTCTTCCAGGGTCTGACCTGCATGACCCATAATTAGGTCCATGTTCACTCTTCCAGGCCATACAGAGCGAGCGTCGAGCAAAGACCTCAGAGCGGAAGAGGGCGTATGGTCGCGACCCAATTCCTTCAATATGTGGTTCTGAAAGGATTGCACGCCCAAGGAGTATCGATTAATCCCAATATCACGCAGGGACTTGAGTGTCTGGACAGATGTTGTAGACTATTTTTCGAGAGAGCGATAGCTGTCAGGTCGTTTTCGGACCTAATATCGATTGATTATATGTTTGTTGACTAAGGGCATTGGAGTAACACTTACAGACGGATTTCCCTAGAAAGCAATGGTTGCAATTCGCGCACTCGTTAGTAGTATGCTCTGCAAGAGCATCTATTCGGAATTTAAGGCTCATGGTGCGGTGTATACCTCCATGGAGATCTCTGTATCTTTGGAGAGATGGCACATTCGGTCCAAGGTGTCCAGTACGGATTGGAACATACTTGGCTATGGCGTATCAATTTAACAATTAAGAAACGGGGTGAAGACTTAGCAAAAACGATGTAGCCATGAAGAAGCCCTTACTCTTGCCAGGCTAGGGGTTCCTCCTATATTAATGTTGATATGAGGGCCATGCATTTAGCCTTCATTGTCGCTTTTGCTTGCACGTTTTGCACAGTAGTCCATAAGAACCTACCGCCAAAATATACAGACCGGACAGGTCGTGATTTTCGATCCAGGCCCCAGTGTGTCAATTCAGTTTTAAGCTCCGTGACCAGTGATCGCTCCATGCGCTCGTTGTCGACGTCAGGGTCAACATACTTGTTGAAGTTACAGTATGTGCATTTGCTGTACGGAGACGTGGATATGACCGTCAGCTCTTTGTTTTAAACAATATCTGGTGGCGAGGCCACTGACATGCATGCTAACCGACCTTGAGCAGTACGGCCAATGGACATATATCGAGAATGGCTCCTGCTCGACAGCTACTATGCCGGAAGGCAGCAGAGTCGACAGGGACCGAGTAATCATCCGCATCTTGTCAGTTGTGGGCGATGGACGTCCTTTATTAACACAATATCTTTGCCAACGAGACGGTGTTATGAACGAGAAAGACGGAAACTAAAAAGCGAGTGAAAGCGGACAGAGGTAGTGTTTGTTCTGTTTGCGCACAGAGAAAAAATTCTAGATTCAACAGTCCCATGCTTTCCGAACGCAGGAAGATAGAAGAGCTTTCTCCGGAGCCATACAGGCTTCCCAAGAGGAGATTCCAAAATGAGTGTACACGACAAATTTATTGAACGCGCGATAAAGGCTGGCTGAGAAATATAACTACAATGGCGAAGATGAGGGTTGGGTAAAGCAGGCACTGAAGCGCGCGAAGGGTGTAGTACCACATTAGTGGTCCAGGATATGGAGATTACCAGACACCACCTTGTTCTCGAGGATGCTGCCGGAAGGAATATCAATGTGAGAACCGGCATTGGCGACAATGATTACGGTGCCCTTGAGGACAACATCTGATCCGAACGACACATCGCCGGTGACAGTCAAGTGGTCGAGCTCAAGAATGTGCGGCGGATTTCTGAAGCGCGCCAAAAAGTTGTTGACCTTCTTAAAGTGATCGCCCAACTTGATCAGGGGCACTGTGTTAAACATGCGCTTGGGGTTGAATGCCAACTCGCCGTGGTTGAGCGCATAGAGATCCGAAGTGACCAAGAACAGGTCCGAAGTCGACTTGACGGGCAAGAAACGGCTGCGGGGCACATTCACACCGTGGGCGTTGTGAAAGTGCTTGATACCGGCACCGACGGCAGTCTCAAGCTGGATGACCTTCTCGCCCTTCTCTGTTGTCTTATCGTTCACAATGACCTCGAGGCTCAGCTCGTTCTCTTCAACCACACGCTTGATCGCCTTCAGATTGACCCACAGGTTGTTTGTGTTAAAGATCTTGAACTTCTTGATACTCTTGAAGTCCTCGACGTGTGCAGATGGCACCTGTGCAATTTCGAGCAGACGGATCGAGCCTTCATAGTCGATAAGCGTGCCTCCCTTGATATCAGCCCTAGTCTTGTCCGTGACCTCCATCAAGAACTCTGCGCCAGACTCAACCATATGATTGAGGATGCTCTCGTCCACAGTTGCACCCAAGTTATCGACATTGGAAACAAAGAGGTACTCCTTGCCCTCATCGATCAGCTTGTCCAAGAGTCCAGAGTTATTAAGGGAGTCAAACAGATCTCCGTGACCAGGAGGGTACCAGTCAGCAAGATCTCCGACAGGGTTACGTGGGACAGGCAGCAACGAATCCTTATTGACGCGTGGGTATCTGGACTGGTTGAAGGTCAAAATGTCGATGTTGTGGGTGGCGTACTTTTGGACAATGCGCTTGGTCTCGTCATCCGTGTTGAACGAGTTCATGAGAATAAAGGGGACGTTTACATTCTTGGCCTTGTTCAGATACTATTATGAAAAGAGCCGAATGAAGAGCGACAGACACGACGTCAGCAACAGGTTGATTACATGGTATGACGACTACATTTTTGCTTGGTAGCGGTCTCCGACACTGTACCTCAATCTGGCGCACACTGAGGTCCAAGAAAGTCATGCCGTCGCGGACTTCAATCGCGCTCTTGGGTCCGACGCAGCCCATGGTGGTTCCAAGGCCACCGTTGAGTTTCAGAACAGCCAGTTTGTTGAGGTAGGGGCTAGATTCGACCCTGGGAATGCTGTCATACGGTACGACCTGATCGTCAGGGGGTGAGTTGACCTTGTCCCAATTGATCTTGGTGCCTTTGCTTCTCTCGCCCAGCCAGCGGGTGAAAAGCAGGAAAAAGTTGCCCATCTCGTGTTGGAAAGCCTTCATTGTGATATCGTTGCAAAATCAAACAGAGGATGACATCAAGATTAGAGAAGCAGAGAGCTATGGGTTAGAGTCGAACTCATGAACTCCGGCCGGACAGATGTTCACATCAATATATACAACGGAGAAGCGAGTGCATGCATGTCCTTTAAGCTCACCTTGCGCTCCTGCTCGTCCTTGACTTGAGAGATCAGTCGATTGAGCTCTGTACGCATAGCGCTGGCCGCGGCTGCACTGCTAGCACCTTGGAAATCCTGTAATACACGCGTAAAAGAAATAAGGATCAGCGGATGCCGCTATGCGTGGGGGAAAACAACAACATGAAAAAACCGCCACCGACTTTTTAATTCTCTGATTCTTACCAAGGTGGATAGGGTGTGAGGATGGTGAAGCTGATGGTCCTGAGTACCAGTGCCAGCAGCAGTAGGGGTTGCAAGGGTGGACATGGTGTTGGGTGCTGGTCGAGAGAGGGCGTGGTGTGTGTGGGTTGTGATGAGGAATGAGAGATCTCATGGAGAAGGTTCCCAAGGTAGACGGCTTTTATATGAAGGGGTGCGCACGAATGTGTTGTCATTGTGTGATCATAGGCCAGAGTGGTAGAAAAAGAACAATCGGCCGTGATAAGGAGGCGCCCATCGGCGATGGAACGTGTTAGTACCTCTCGCCCTTGTCTGCACCTTTGCACTTCCCAGGCCCTTTCCTAAAGGAACAAAAACAAACGAGTTGTAAACATATCATCCCCCTGTAGACTGTTTCAAACCCAACATATCTCCTATCCAGCCAGTGATGCAGCAGGATTGGGATGCATGCGATCCATGGACCACCGGGTCAAGACAGGCCCCTTCCTAGGTCCGCAATCTCTGCATTTTTGAAGCTGCCCTTCTGGAGCTGTTGCATCAAACGCTTTTCAACGCTACTGCTAAAACTGCCTCCTTTCTGTCTTTTTTCTTTTCTTCACTATTCTGTTGGGGTAAAGAAACAAAACGCGTAATTAGACTAACCCCCACTTGATTAAAACGCTTGATCCATCTCTCTATATAACGATAGCACTGTTGCCGAGAGTAGAAGCATTCCAGAAACGGCACAATAACCTTAAATCACTTTATCTTATCTGTGCTCCACAAACGGGCTTTGAAAAAAATGTATCAGACAGGAAACTGACCACTCAGGAACAGCTTCAAGATTTGGCGCGTTCACTCATTACTCCCCCTTGCTCAGCTTTACCTTGCCGCAAAATGGTGTCTACTTTGATCTACGGTACATGTACATTGTTTTGATTCCTACAAGACCAAATTGCCCTTTTGCTTTACAGAGTTATGTACAATTCAGAGTTCCTTCTCCGACGCGGAGGTTAATAAAGATGAAAAGGACACGATATCCCTATTGATACTTCGCACGCTTCCTTTGTTTGTCCTCTCTCTTCTTTCGCTACCAGTCCGCATCTAGCACCAGGATATCGTCATCCATTCGACGCCTCTTGCCCTTATCGAAAGCCCCCGGACGGCTCTCCTCCCTTATAATGTCCTCATCGCTATCGCTGTCCTCAAGCTCTTCATCCCCCACCCGAACACGGCATCGCGCCTCTGACCACCGATAGACCTCCAGTTCCTGGTCGGAAAGAGTCACAACGTAGTCCTCGTTATTTATAACAACCGCCTTGACATCCTTGATCGGGCCTGGTCTCTCGTTCGGCCGTATCCCTGGTCTCTGGAGCAACAGCCGTTGAAGTGAACCATCGCCGGCAGGGGGTTGCGAAGAAGGCATGGAGAACATTGATATCGACGACTGCTGACTGCTGCTGGGCGTATTGCTACTGAGTCCGCTCTCATTCAGCGCACCGTTATTGGCCGCTCCGCTCCAGATATACGTCTAGTCGATAGAAAGGAGGCAAAGGAAGTTAGCCTGGGATCGATCACTCGTCACAGCTATGTTACCAAAGACATACCACGCCTTCTGACCCTGCAGCCATGCAGACAGATCCATCACAACGAGAAAACACGCTGCTCCTTGACATGCATGGCGCAGGAGGCCCTCCAACCACCCTGTATTCAGATTTGAGCACAAAGTCTCCTGAGAACTGATCTTGATCAAGGTGGCCTCGGACATGCCGTGTATAGGGCTCCCCAAGGAACTTGTACGAAGCCATCCAGCGACGAGAAACAGCATCGAAGGATACGGAAGAGCAACTACCGCCCTGAAGCCGAAAAGGCCTGCGCCGTCCTTGATCTTGACTTGCGAAGTTTCCATTCCCGACCTCTGCAGAGACTGATCCTTGACTGGCACTTGCGTATGACGCCAAGGATGTACCACCAGCATGTTCGCTAGCGTCAAAATTGTATAAGAAAGCTCCCTCGAGATTTCCGCACAGAATACCTTCTCGTTTTTGATCAGGCGAAAGTCCAATATGTGTCATGGAGTGGATGGGCGAATGTCCGACCAGACTAGTTTGAGCACAGCTTGCGACAGGACCGTTGTTAAATCGAAGGTCGAGGGTGAGGATACTCGTCTCTTTGCCCTTGACGGAGCAATATATCGCAAAGGGATTTGATGCCGACCAGCAACATGACCATACGGGTGCTTTCAGATCATATCTATTCATAACGTCAGGCAGATACACTCATCAGACATCATGGCTGCTGATAACGTGCCCGCGCCCGATAGATAGCTCAAAAAAGGATTCGCTGAACGACAACATACGACATCAGCATAGACTGGGATTCAGTAGAAGTCACTTTGAGAGTTTTGTCCATGCTTGCAGTGAGTACTAGTGATCTGTTTTCCGCAGGACTGTAGGTGTAGCACTGTAAATCCCTTATGGCATGCGTGTGGATGGGTATAATGCCTTGCAAAGAAAAGTCCCGCATTGATACTCTCGTGACTCCATGAATCTCATTGATCTGTCTCGTGCAAACAAACATTTCTTCGTCTTTCCGAAACGACATGTATTGCGCTGTTCCCGCAGGCTAAGAACATAAATTACGATCGGATGAAAGCGGCAAGCAGTTGAGTAAGGCATCCATGGACTCCATAAGGGCCTTCGATGACTGAGGCGTATAGGTATCTTGGCCTTACCATGGCAGGAGCAGCGATGGTTCTATAATGTGCATAAGAGGCGTCTGTTGCAGCGATCAGCGCTGTATTTGTGATGTTCCTTTGGTTGAGCGTCGAACGGTATCTATCAAGGACATGACATTAGTGAACGACCATTCCAGCGCCAGCAATTCAGTTAGCCTATCGATCTGCTTACTTGATTTTGAATGCCCTCTGGCGGTCATGTTTGTTCTGCAGCCTGGTCATCTCGGATCTCAGCATTTCGTACGCCATCCTCGACTGTACAAGTTCTTGCTCACATCGTAACCGCAGCTCCTGTTCCTTCTTTGCGCGCGCTACAGCTTCGTCCTTCTCGGCAGTGTCTACTACCACGACAGACTTGCTCCAGATCCTCCGTACATCCTTACGCATTGCTGGGTGGCTATTTAAGGGGAAAAAAAAGTCAGCTGCATACCCACGGTCTCTCCAGCCAACCAATGCAACAGTGGAAGATCGATCCACCTACTTGCACTCTGGACATTTGGCACATCCGCCTCGGCCACGCTGCGCCATCCATTTTAGGATGCAGCTAGTTCAATGATGATGAAAAGCGTTGAGTTCTCTGGAACCATCACGATAGAGTTGAGTGCGTAAATTGTCATCTACGACGCACCTCTCGCCAAAGAGATGTCCGCACTTGATAGAGACCAGACGATGACTCCCGCTGTTTGTCCAATGCTCAAAACAGATAGAGCAAGTCGATTCCTGTAGAAAATCAACCCATTAGTGGGTTGTGGTGTCAAAACGTGGACACATGTTCTCACAGAGCCGCGAGTTACTCATGACATGTACCTCCGTCTCTACATTCTGGGGCCGCGGTTCTGGGATATTCGCCAGTCCTGGCCCGAGCATCGGTCGCACCACCACTGGGGCCTGACTCTGGAAATCATGATCCTGGGACGGTGTCAAGCGTTCAGGAGCTGGTGGTTGGGCGTCCGGCTGTAGATCGTGTTCGAGCTCATGCTGTTGCTCCTCATCGTTGTTGATAGTACCCTGTGTTTCCTGAGTTCCTGGGGCAGTCTGACTACCCTCTCCATTTTCCTCGTCCTCGTTGTTGCTGTCCATCACGAATGACATGTCGTCGACGTCCTCGAAATCATTCATGACTACGGACAGGCATTTGTGCACGAAAGAGCTGAAAATGTATTGTTTTCAGCCAACAATTTTATTTACTAGAGCCCGGTAAAAAAAAAAAAAAAAAAAAGCGTGCCTCCCATTCCCCTTGACCCACAGCATCGTCTTTAGGAGCTCACGAAACGCCTGGAGGACAAAAGTTGGAGATGGTTGCCTGTGGTGCTTGCCCTGGAAGGAAAAAAAGGCAAAGCATTGCTCTCCCCGAAGGAGGATGACGGCCGTGGCAGGGTGTCAGGGCCTCCTCGACCCCTTCCCCACCTCCCCAGCCCGGCACTCTTCTTTATCCTCATCCTCACCCTAATAACACTTCTACAAAGCTGTCTACTAGTAACTGTGGTATTTGCAACAAAATTTGTCTCTCTCTCTTGCTACTCTCTGACCGCCGGGGTTTATTTTTCTATAGGGTACAGCTGGGTGTGGATGCGTAGCAGGCTTCAGTTCTCAAAGGGAGGAAGACCAAAGTAAACGGGGTCGAAGAGCTCCAGCGATTCAAGACGCTGTGAAGGTCCGTCCAGCGTTGGGTAAAGTCGTCCGATATTCTCGTCTGGAACCCAAACAACCTTCATATTCGCATTGACGCCTGCCTGAACCCCAATAGGTGAGTCCTCAAAGACAAGGCACTTCTCATTTACGACAGTATCATGTCCATAGTGCTTAGCCAGACGGTCTCGTGCCACGAAGAAAATGTCGGGGTTGGGTTTTCCATGTTTGATGGCGGGATCGTCGCCACAGACAATGACATCAAAAAGTTCGAACAGCGCCTGGTTATTCATCGACTTCAACTCAAAGTTCTTACGGTACGACGACGTTGCCACCTATAGCCAACATCAATTGGGAAGAAGACCTGATTAGAATTCGCTCCTTCTTTATAAAAGGACAACCAACATTGAGATACAGGCGCTCGACACATACAGCAATAGGAATCTTCTTGTCCTTCAGGTGCTTAATGAGGCGCTGTTTCAGAGGAGAGAGTAGGTTAAATTGGGACATTAAAAGCGGGCAAAACAAAGGGCGTCATAGTCCGAAGTGACACATACCATTACTCCAGGCAAAGGCACACAGTGCGGGAATCGTTCCAATTGCAAAAGATGGCGCTCATGCAGGTACTCTTCTGGAGTCATTGCAACGCCGGATTCTCTCACAAGGATTTCCGAAGACTATCACGATATTTTCATGCATTGGATCAGCATGGTTACTCAATGATCTGTGAGAGAAATAGGAGATGCGGGAATGAACAACAAACGGCTTCGGGCCTTATATACCTCCTTTTCACGAAGACCCATCAACTTGGCTTTGAGCTCAAAATCATACTTCTTGCCATAGCGCGCAAGGATCTCGGCTAACCAGACATGTTAAAGGAAAGGATGGATACATGTTGAGCCCGGGTCAGTACCGTTGATTATAAGATGAATTGCAAACTACACATCAACGGCCGCGCCCTGACAATCAGCAAATTGGCCTGGTAATCAAACTTAAAGGCATGTGTGAGAAAAGAAGTGAGACCATGAGGAATATGCTCAACAGTGGATCCAGCGGTCTTTTGTCTCCCGCAGTGGACACTAGCTAGCCCATTAGAATAAGATATGGAGAAGTACGGCGGATCGACATGGTCAAAGAGATATATATATATATATAAAGGATAAGGAGGGGATCCCAGCTTCTGAATCTACTGCTCTGCCGTCCCCTATTATCACTGTCATTTACCACTACCATCGCCATCACTGTTACTGCTACTGCTACTGTTGAGCTGCCGCTAGTATAAACAAATTTCTACGCCAACAACAACGTGTTTAAACTAATAGGAAAGACAGCATAAGCACGTTGTCTATGCCACTCTGTGTCCCCGGTTTGTGCGTAAAGGGCGATTGAGTTGATAGACATGTTTTTTAGCTTACAGGTGATTTGGGTGTAGAGTGATTCCGTGTTGATGAGCAGACCGTCCATGTCAAAGATGCAGTAGTGGATTTCATGCTGAGGTTGCGTGGCCGTAGTGGTCGCTGCTGATGCTGTGGAAGGCATAGTCATGCTTTATTTGAGGAATATGAAGTGTGGAATATGGGGAAGGAATGAGCAAAGGAGAGAAGGACTTTGAATAAGTTGGGCGCCAGCGGAGTGCAGGAAGAAAACATCCCCCTGGACCAGTACGTGTGGCTTGCCCTGACTTTCTTTAGTTGCCACCAAAAAATGACCAGTGATCGCCCTGACCACCATCCCTTCTTCGCAATCGCCTTCCTGGCGGCATCAAGCAGAAAACGGGAATTAGCGCTTCCACATATGCCAGCATGAAGAGCAGCAAAGTACAGACGCAACTATCATTTAAGAATCATTCCGGTAATACGGTAGCCTTTCAGAAGGAGCAGCAACAACTAAACGGAGCCAAAGCCATTTCGGACTGCCACAAGTGCCTGCGGTCAGGTACTCAATTGCTCTATATGCCGGCCCTGCGCCTAGTTTAATCATGATTCGCCTTTGATCCATGCTATCTCGTGTTCTAATACGATAGCGCTCTGCAGTATTTCGGTTACAGGACTTTCGTGGAAACCAATTTGCCATCGTCAAGGCTGTCCTAGAAGGTATTTGAAATGGACAGATGCCAGGACCGTCCACCATCGAGTATACTATTGTTCTAGGAAGCCTCACCAGTCAAATTGATTCTACTAGGCCGCGATGTGTTCGTTATCATGCCTACGGGAGGAGGCAAGTCCTTGTGTTATCAGCTTCCGGCTGTTATGAGTAATGGCGTGACGATTGTCGTGTCCCCTCTACTCGCATTGATTCATGACCAAGCAAGTGCATTGCAGCGCCTAGGCGTCAAAGCAGCTGCATTGAATTCGTCAATTGGAAAGAAGGAACGCGCCTCTGTGATGGCCGATCTGGAATTGAAGGTTCCTACCCTCAAGTTGCTCTATGGTACTGGTCAGCTATACATCCACTACGCTCTGTCGGCTTTCTTTCGAACAAGGACTAATATTGACTCTGGTTTATCGTATAGTTACTCCCGAGTTGCTGGCTACAAGTGAATTCCGCAAACATCTGACTGCTCTTCACAGTAGGGATGCGTTGGCCAGATTAGTAATAGACGAAGTAAGAGAGGACATGGAGATCTACGCAACTGCTGCGGTCATGCAAAATCCCAACGAAAGCGTATTAACCCAGTTGACGAAAAGGCACATTGCATTAGCCAGTGGGGCCACGACTTCAGAAAGGACTATGCGAAGCTGGGCTATTTCAGGAATGAGTTTCCGAAACTCCCGATCTTGGCTTTGACAGCCACGGCTACAGAAAGGTATGTTCTTAGATATAAAAAACACGAGCGAGGACGGTAGATAGGTTCGTTAGTGACTAACATGGTTGATTGGAATTCAATTGCTTTCTATTTGATCTGCAAAGGGTCCGCCAAGACATCATAAAGACGCTGGGTCTCCCTGATCCGCCTGAGCTATGCTTCTTCATCTCGTCATTTAATCGCGACAATCTTTATTACGAGGTACGTCCTGGCACCGTGGGTGAAGTGCCTGAGATAATGCACCTTATGCTAACATATGTTATCATTTGTGGAAAACATAGGTCCGTTTCGACAACAACAATCGGTATGAGAATTTTCTTGGTTTCTTAAGAGGTATCTACAAGAGTCGCAGAAAACGTCTTCAGGCTGAGGCGTCGACCTCATCAGGATCTTCGACATCCGCTTCGCCAACGGCATCAACAGCACCACTGCCATTGGACACTTCCTCCTTGAGAGTATCCAGCGGATTTAGGACAGCAAGCACGGCAGTAAAAGCATCATCAACAGCGCAAGAAATAGAGACAGTTTGCGGTATTATTTACTGCGGTCAACGCATGATGTGTGAGGATCTGGCAAATCGGCTAGTAGGCGACGGGGTTATGGCGGCGGCTTTCCACTCAGGAATGACACCCAAGCAGCGAGCGAATGTTCAGCGGCGATGGTGCTCTCCTACAGGCACAGAGACCAAGAAGAATGGCGAAAACGATACAGATGAAAAGCCGATCGACGTTATCGTAGCCACGATTGCTTTCGGAATGGGTATTGACAAACCAAACGTACGCTTTGTTTGCCATTGGGAACTCCCAAAAACGATCGAAGGTGAGATCATGGTCATAAGCCCTGTAATTTTGATGGATGTGTCGATTTATTGCTCATGCCACTTTTCTTTTCATCTTTCAGGGTATTATCAGGAGAGTGGGCGCGCAGGAAGAGACGGAGATATATCGCGATGTATCCTTTATTATTCGCGCGAAGACCGAGCAAAAATTGAGTTTCTGCTGGAGGTTGAAAAGGAACGTCGTCGACTGAAGACCGAGAAAACGGCATTAAGTACGCGAGACACCGGTTCCGTAGATGTGATCAAGAACTTTCAAAGGATGGTTTCCTATTGTGAGAATGTGACCCAATGCCGCCATGTGTTTCTCTGCGAGTACTTTGGAGAGAAGGATGTCGGAAAGAAGACAGTGTGCAAAGACGGTTCTCGGTGCGACATCTGCCGGACGCCTGAAAAAGTTGCGAAGGAAAAGGCCGAAAAGTTGTCGGACATCCAGGGTCATGGTCGTCAAGCGCAGCACATGGGAGGCAGCAAGACGTTCGTAGGCACTGATGGAATTATTCAAGTACAGGGCGCCTGGCAGTCAGCCTCGGTCGCTCTCGGTCGATACGACGCAGATTTGGTCGGGGATGAGGATAAAGATGATGACGACGAAGCGTCAGGGAGTGGCGATTCTAGCGATGAAGCGGAAAACGGCAATTCCAGTTTAGAGGAGCGCGAACAGGACTACGATTCCGAGGCGGAAAGGAAGGCCAAGCGGAGAAAGCTATTGTTCGGTAGGAAGAAGCATGATACCCACTTTCATATGCCCCCGACCGCATTCATGCAGGTCTGAATTAATCTAACACTTTATTGCAATCGAATCCTGCTGTTGCTCCAGGCAAAGCTGTCGATCCATCGTACTACAAAAGGCCGACTGCACCGTCTGCACCTACGAAAGAAGCCCTTGAGATCACTAGCATCAATAAGTACGACCTTTCTCATTCAGAATCCACCAAAATCGCACTCAGGTTTCGCGAACTGTGCTATGAGACCGTCGAGCGGGCACTTTCATCACTATTCCAGGGATCGCACAGATCTCTAGCCGCGGACTACTTTACAAGACTTGCTGCTGACAGGACCTCATCCTTGGGCAAAGCAGAACTGGACGCAAGGTATAGCGTCATCATGATAATTTTAATCTTATTTTCCATAACCTGCCATTAGCGCATCTGCTAAACATTATTGTTTGCCTTGTAATCGGTATAGGATGACAGAGTTCGTTAAGAAGTTGGCGGTCGAGATCGAGCGAGGAGGTTTCGAAGCCAGTGGGACGCAGAACATTTACAAGTCCGTACTCGGAAATCGTGTCCGCGACATCAAAGGATTCGAAGCCCAGGCCCGAATGGCACTTGCGGCCCTTTCCGCCAGCACTGCTGCTACCTCAGCAATAACCAGAGAGGCGTTGGATCCTGCTCCGGTAACATCAGCAGTACTGTCTGCCAAGCCAATAAACCAGGCCTGGGCGACAGCCGCCAAGGTCTGGGAGAGTCTTCAGCAGCCCTGAGGACAGGCTGTGTGTTGCACCATACAGCCCATGAACTTGTGAACTTGGCCCTGATCTCTCGTTCGTCGAGGAAATATTCTTTCGTCTCATCGCCTCTTCACCTTCTTTGCATCTTCATAAATCTCATCATCGCTCCGCTGACTGTATTCTATAAGACCACTTTCCAATCCCTACCGGACGCAGAATGAATCCTCATTGCTCCTGCTAAACGCTTAGAACTTTATTTTCAGCACCATTTGGTCATACCCTGGAGTTCTTCTCGCTGACCAGCCCTTGCCTCTACTGCCTCATATGGCCTTTACACCGCCGTTCCCACCACAAGAAGGTCTCGTGGATAGCCCTTCGCCCACCCCAAAACAGAACAATGACAATCATTATCTTGATCAACCCAGGGGCGATACGAACAGGAAGGAACTCAATATCATCAGCAGTGACGGCACCAAGACTGCCTTGAACCAATCGAGGCCGCCTCCAACACATGCGGTAAGTGTACCTTCAATAGAATTTTACCGCGCTCTTACATACCCGCGCTCATCTGCTAACAGGATATCTCTAACTTCTACGCCAGGCAAGACACAGCAAGGCCCAACAACCAGGCAATGTTGAGCACTTTTCTCTTCTCTCATGGGTCCGCAATGCACCCTGGAGCAAGTACTTCAAAGACGGATGCCGGCTGATTGTCAGGTCGCCTTTCAACTTTTTCATATTTTTCTGCTGCCTATCGGTGGTGGTATGGGGAGCCTTTCTGGTGCTTCTCATGGGGAACATGGTCAAGCTGAGGGACGACGCTACACAGAAGCTGTGGATTGAAATTGCTTCTCAAGTCCTGAACGGGTTCTTCACGTTGGCCAACGTACCTGTTCACCCCAAACGACTGATTGGTTTCATTCGAGGGATTCGTATCTGGCGAGAAGACAGAGCCATTCGACAAGAGTTTGTTGGTCGGTTTCTCAAGGAGCATCTGGAGGAACAGGATGTGTTAAACGGTGTCTCGGAACAGGATCGAAGAGAAGGGTTACTCAGAAGGCTGGATTTTTATCGATGCTTCCCAGACTATGGCCGAGATCGTGTGGGAAACGAGCTGGCTACGGATACAGACCGGCAAGAGGCGTTCATACCAAACGATACTACTTCTCGGGGATCAGATGCATTGATCCCAACTGTGACCCATGTAGCGGTCCCTGATTCTCCTTCTCCTTCTCCTTCTCCTTCTCAATCTCGGTCAAAATCAACTATATTCGGCTCCCAGGATGCGGCTGAGGATCTAAGTGGGCATGATAATGAGTCGGGATTCGGCACTCCCTTGCGCGCTAGCATTATCATCGACAAGGAACCGCCCCCTAGTTTGGACGGAGCCCCAGCGACAGGAGACAAGATCAGTGTTGGTATTGCCGAGGAGGAATTGAACGGACTGCTTGCTGAAGAGACACGGCGAATGGTGCATTCCGTCGTCCTGCCGTTTTTGCCCTTCCCTCTAGGTGGATCGGGCGGAGGCGAAGACGATGCATCTGCAGATTTAGAACGAGGTCAGCAACTGTCTTTGGATACGGGTATGGCATTGCAGCAGATGGAAGAGGGCATTGCTGTCCAGAAATCACCGGCATCGCCCCGATCTCAGAAGACGCCTGAGCGGGGCTCCTCCTCTGCATCACTGACGAAGGCGCCCACGAAGCGAATATCGCCCAGGACCAAGGCCAGAACGAAGACAATAGCGATGGTCAAGGATAGCAATTCGAGCGTCACTTTAAATCGATCGACGTTCGTGATCCACGAAGCACAGGGCCAACCCAAGAGCGGCCCTCGGAAGAATGTCTTGGTTTTTGCGAAAAGGGGGGATGTAAAAGCGCCGATGACGAAGGTGTTGCCGTTTCAAAGCGAGCAATTGTCGATCAAGAAGGGCAAGCAATCATCACCACTGATGCCCATGCCCGCGGCATTGACGAGCGAGCAGATGGACTGGGTGGACGAGCGCCAGAGACGGCTCTTGAGACGGCAGGAACGGCTCCAGAAGGCGTGGCCGTGGTATAACTATATGATCCCAACTGGGGTTGAGCCTGTCGATTTCTTTGCATTGCCGGCGCAGCAATCCCTAGATCATGTAGAGAGCACTGTTGGGGCATCGGGTCTTCCTGCGCAGGCGCATGTTCAAGAAGAGAAGGGAGTGGCGACCGACGCGGCAACAGCTACAGCAGCGACGGCGACGACGACAACAACAGTGAAAGCTGGTTCAATACCATCGTCCGAGGAAGAAGAGATGAGGTGCAGGACAACGGTCATGCTAAATGGATCACCTATGAAGTTGGTGGTCAGTCCGTCGCGGTTCTGTTTGATTGTGGGATCGTTCAATTTGAACTCGATGATCCAGGAGATGTTGTGCGGGTTTATGTGGGGGATGAATTATCATGTACGACCAGGTTGGGTGGTGGGTACGGGGATGGCGCTGGGGTGTGTGGCGGCAATAGTGCCGAGCGTATTGATCATGCTACACGAGCAGGCGATGGGTCGCATACGGGTGGTTGCCACAGCAGAGGAGGCCATCCAGGACGTTCTGGATGAGAAGCGAGCTGTTTAATAAATTGGATTATTGCTTGTAATATGAACAGTAGTTACAATTTAGCCGAAAAAAAAAAAAAAGTGTCGATGCCTTGAAACTGTGATGAGAGCCGAGAACGTGAGCGCGATGTGTGGTGATGATGGCCTAGAGTTGTCGGAGTGTAGTCTCTTTACCGCTCCCTTTTACCACGGTGCATTATACTGTACAAAAGGATACAAGGAGTCTATCAGTAGATGTAAACAACCGATTGAGCTGGGAACCAGGTTGGATGCATGAGTACATAGAGGAACGCACATGATGATGATGATAGTGATGATGATATTGATGAGGAAGGACATGATATGCGGTGTTCGCAGTATCATATCGAACAGATAGCCATGATGGACCACCTTTCTGCAAGCACTGTGCTATCATCTGGAAATGTAGTCTGACCTGCCTGCCTGGCGCCTGGACAGTCCACCTGTTGTGAAAGTAAAAAGTCCAGATGCGCTGTGGCAACAGGGCACCTTGTCTGTTACGGAATCTTCTTACTCAAAACAAGTCTATTTGGTATACAATAATACTGTGCCCATGCCAATGCTTAAAAATTTTTTTTTTGGTACTCCGTAGTATGCGGTTTAACGGGTGTTTGTGCATGTGTTGTCCAATAGACTACTGGCATGTCCCTGTTTGATTACTCGATGCAGTCTACCCCTGGACGAAGGGCCGTTAGAACAATTCCAGTCCAATCGTCCAATCCAATCCGTCTGGTCGAAATAAGGTGCAGCTTTTATTTAATTAACGAAGGAGGTGGTGCCTTGTTTCCCATTCCCTCTTTCTCGCTTCTCTCGCCTCTCTTGCTTCTCTCGCCTCTCTTGCTTCTCTCCCTCTCTCCCCCTCTCTCCCCCTCTCTCTCCCTCTCTCTCCCTCCCCCTCCTTCCTTCTTTCCCCATCCCCGATACGGAAGTAGGCTGCAAAGATGCCACCAAAGGCTGACCCAACATCAACAGCAGCAACCACCGCGGTGTCTACTACACCAAAGCCCGCCGCGACAAAGACCGCAACAAAGGCCCCCGCAAAACCCACCACCATCGGTGCCACAAACACAGCAACCACAGCAACCACAGCAACCACAGGAACCGCAACCTCAACCACCACAGGCACACTCGGCCCCAGCTCCACTGCCGCCCCAGGCGCCTCCACCGGTGGTCTCTCCACCCCTGCCATCGCCGGCATTGCTGTCGGTGGTCTCGTCGTGCTCTTCCTGCTCTCGATTTTCCTCTGCAAGAAGCGGCGCGCGCACATGTACGCGAAACGGGATTACAGCCACGACCCCAGTCGTGATCCCATCAATCCGAACGACGTCTTCCCTCTAGAGAACAAATATGACCAACGAACGCTCCCACCTTCTGAGGGACACGACGACCTGGATGCCATCACTTATCCTCTTACCCTCCGAGCAGGCGGTAATGACCAACGGCCAGGCCAGACACAGCAAGCACAGCACACGCAGCAACAAGATTATCCCACTTATGACGAGCATATCCAATCGCACTTCTCCCCTGAAAGCCCAAACCTGCAACCCAGGGGCTCTCCTGTTGGTGGTCCACCCGGTGCCCCAGGTGGCCAAGCACATATCCCCGCACCCATCTTGATCAACCCTTTAAACGATAATCCTCCGCGCTCGCCAAATCAGCAGAACAGCCCCAGGGTCATGTCGCCTCTTTCACCAAGATCACATCAGCAACCACCAGGCCCTGACTCAGTCTTCGTCAACGACATGGGAAACCAGTTTGTCCTCGAGGACAACGGCAACAACGGCAGGCAGAACTACAATGATCCTAACTTCGGTAACAATATCAACAACAGCACAGAGCGTCTGCGCGACAGCTTTGACGATGGATCAGTGGTGCAGTCGGAACATTCGTATCGCAGACCGCCTCGAAAGAGCCAGGACTCAAACGTCGGTGGTGGTTATCCTGTACACTCACCATCCGCACCCTACTTCAACCACGGATCAGGACCTGCAAGCCCGAATGGACCAGGACCCCAGCAGCGCGGTGCCCGCCCTGGCCCTCCTAACAGCAACAGCAGCGCGTACTCATCACCCAGACAGGGACCCTCGCATCCATCGCCCCGGCCATCCCACGCACAATACCAACCACCGCAGCCATACTCTCCGCAACAGCCATATCCTCAGCAACCGGGATACCCCCAGCACCCTCAGCAGCCTAGACCGATGTATGGTCCTGGACCAGCATCACCTCCTGCATTTGCGCAGCAGCGTCCAAACAACTACCCCGTTAGATCACCACCCATGGGCCCAAGGGGTCCTGGTGGATATCCACAGGGGGGCCCGCCCGGCTATTCTCAGCCCTCTCCCAACTTTTCTCAACCCTCTCCCAACTACCGCCCTCGCCCCAATTATTCTTAGTGTACTTTTGAGCCCCGGCTCCTTGCCATGCATGTACCGTATGGTTAGTCATTAATGCAATAAAAGGAAGACGTAGAAAACGACAGTGTCATGAATCCGGGCTGGTAGGACGCTTAATGTAACCGCATTGACGCCGCGGTGTGCTTGGCTCAACCTTCATTTATCTTTGCTCCGTCTTTGTCTCCTGCGATCGTTCCACCTCTTTTCTTTTTCATCTCTTTTTCTCTGCATCCCCTTTCCTCATCTGTTCTTGCACGACTTCGCCAGCTATGAACTCCATGAACTACCTTCACTTTGGTAAACAAGCTTCTTTTGTGCAATTGCCTCATCTGCAAAGCTGACATCAGCCTATGGCCCATCAACAACTGCTACCCCTGCCTGTATCAAACTGAAACCCAATTGGATCGGTGTTAACGCCTTTATCTTACATACGGCGAAAAAAAAAAAAAAAAAAAAAAAAAAAAAAAAAAAAAACATAAAGACACGACCAACATGTTCTTGTTGATCAAGTGGCTACCGATAGAGACACCGTTCGGCCTCATCCTTGGTCTAGCACTAACAAGTGGGGTCTGCATTTGTGAACGGATCGTAACCTCGCGACTGGAGAAGGTCTCCATGCGGCTCTATCAGCATCAACAGCAACAGCAACAGCAACAGGAGCTGGTCTGGCGGCAAAGACGACAAAGGAAACATAGGAGTCAGGTCCGAAGCAAAGCCAGATCATCAGCATCCGCAACAACCGTTCGGACAAACTCAGCAGAACCGGACTTGATCTCTTCAGAATTCGAACCGCAGACTGCGGCATCAGGGTCGAGAGATAGTCATAGAAGACCTAGTCTCCCGCCTTTTCCGAGACCGAAAGTGGGCGACGATGATGGAGAGGAAGGCAGCAGCGGCAACAAGATCAGCGGCAAAGGACTGTTGGTACAAAAGATGACTTATTATGCCATAGCCAATATGTTGCGATTGAGCTACATGCTCCTGGCTATGAGCTTTCATATCGGCGTCCTTACCGTGATTGTGAGTTCAATGATTCCAATGACTCCAATGACTCCAATGATTCCAATGATTCCGGTTGCGTTTTACGGTGATGTCTGCACTATTATTCGCTTGCGACACTAACATGTATGGTACACTGGGGTTCGCTGTTTAAATTCATGGATAGGTCGCTTCTTTGACATGCATGCAAGGGTGCCTGGATCATGCTGCGCTGCAAAGGTAACTCAGGCGACTCTTATTTTTGAATTCGAAAACGAGACAAGGGTGCTAGAATGATGGGTAACTGACATTGACAACATGCGATTGTTCATTGACCATTATTATATATGATGCTTCTGTGTAGATCGGAAGGAAAGACACGTTTGGCCGGATACGAGCGATTGGGATCGCCGGGAGCAGACGAGATGGAAAACGATTTGGATAGAGATCGGAACAGTGGAGAAGGATTCATCCTGTATGACTTGGACGAGGACCGACTGTCCGATGAAGAAGAGGATGAGGAGGCGAATAGCAAACCGATGCGAAGCAATGTTGCGTTGACGATATCGCACGACTGCGTATAAGGTGTCTGCACAAGCCCTTCATTATGAAAAAAAAAAACATAAATAAATGATGCTGTTGTGCACAGCTGCGAATAGGGTCTAACAAGACTTGCTGCGCTGTGCAGTGCTTCGGAGACGATAATAAATCGCCGCTTGAAGACTCATTCTTGAAGCTGTCAATCGATCGATCGATCGGGCTGGAGAAGGACCACAGCCAGGTAAAGGGGCACATGCTTTTGTAGATGAAACAGCAGCTCTCTTAGGATGGGATGCATGCTGCTGCTTGTGATACAGCGATTGCCAGCGCTTGCACTAATGCCTCCCCTCTGTTTCCCGTTCATATCCTGGTCGGAATGTCTCCTGCGCCTTGCCCCTCCTTGAATACCATCGTAATGCATTTATTTATTTGCCATGACATGATAGCTTGCTACCAATATACCTGGCCAACTCGTATGCAGGCGTCCATACTGCGCGCTCTTGTGTTGCTGCCTTCTGCCGAGGTTGCCTCCACGTTTATTGCCTCCTTGTGTTGCTTACCCTTCGACTTGTCCATTGACTTTAAGACGGAAAAGAGTTGTACTTGGGCTTTAAACCAGAGCAGACTTATTTTTTTTTGGTGCTGGGTCTTTGTGCCAAATCGAATCCCCCCCCCCCTCCCATTCTTTGGTGGCGTCTTTTTTCTGAAAAATAAACCCTTCCCTTCTTCTCCCACCCACGGCCTTCCCACTCGACTTGAAATCCACCTTTCCTTCCCTCATCGACCCCACCTCGAGCATCCCGGGGCCCAAACAAAAAGGTACGCCGCTCCTCTCTTGTCTTACCACGCGAACCGCATTTCCCCCTTATGCCATGGTGTCATCACGCGCGAGAGAAGGGACTCTGCAACACGCTACCATCGTTTCTCCAGTCCTCATCCCTTTTCAACAAGAGTGAGAATGAACTACGTGCGGCTATACCAGAGTATCTCCTCACCCTGTCCCATTACTGGGGAAAGCAATGGCAGTTCTGCTGTTGCAGGCCTCGCCAGGTCTTTTGCGCTTTCACTTCTACCTCGCCTCAAAAAGGAGTCGCCACCATTCGTGCCTTTTCACGCCACCACGCCACCAAATACTGAAGCGGAAAAATAGCGCCCTTTTTCCTCCCGCACCCATTACCCTGTTCACATTTTGGCTCTCGGCGGCCCATTGCCACCGAGTAGGAAGCCTGATCTGCTGCCCATCAGCCTGAATCTCTAACCTGTGCTCATCTCCTCCTGCTCTTTCCCCCTTCTTTCTTCTGCTATACCCTTGTCCTATTGTATGTGTGTTGATAGTAAACGCCTGTCTCATAGTGCTGCAGTGACGCCAAGCTCCATCCTCCGCTCAAGACTCGATTTTTTTCCCCCTCAAAGGGCTAGTCTTCACAGACCGTATCCATGAGTACGTCTATATCCAAGCAGCCGCCGCCAGCTCTACTGTCGGTCGGGGGCCAGTCATCTGAGCCAATGGATGTTGATCAGCAAGCACAGTCTATACCTTCGAACGCGGCCAGCGAGGACCAAGTTATGCAAGAGCCCGAGGCACATTCAGTGTCACAACCCGCGCCAAGTCAAGAACAAGAGTCTGCATCAGAATCAAGTTCACTTGTCCCGGCACTAGGAGCATCGGTGGAGTCGGCACCCCTTCCAGAGATCGAAATGAACCTTCCAAAGGACCAGGGACAAATACATGAAGACACTCACAACGATCGATCTGCACAAGATAAAGGTCATTTGCAAGAGCCTGCCAAGCATAGACATGGATCCCAGGAACCGGCTGAACGTAACTATCCACACCTGCACAGCTTTGTATACGAGTCCAAGCCTCGAACAATGGAGCCAGAACACAGTGATCAGGAACCCGTCAAGAGGCAACGATGCGAAGAACAGCAGGACCGTACGTCAGAGAGAAGCTTCAGTCAGGGTCAAGAAGGCACTTCTGTACGGGATAAGAGCCATGAATCAGACGTGAATCGTTCACGAGCGGTCACTCCTCATGAAGGCCACAACCACCCTCAAAGTACATCAGACGTATCAGAACAAAAGAGTTATCCTCGCTCGCCCAACGGAGACAAGACGCACGCCAACGAATCGAGCAGCCAGAACACGATCGACGAGTCAAGCAGCCAGAACAAGGCCAATGAGGCAAGTAGTGAGAACATTGCCGACGAGCAGCACCACAACGAACAGCAGGAATCTAGATCTATTCATGAGGAGGGGCCGTCTGAATCACTATCGGAACGATCTAGTGAGGAACCATCTATCATAAAAGAAGAGGGCGATGAAGCATCATCTTTGAGCGACGAGCCGCGCCAAGCTGCCGAGAATACTAGTCAGACACACAGTTCAGCCTCATTATCGCCACAACCACAGACCACGGATGAAGTGCAGGCTGTATCAGACGAAGGCGGTGCTGGCGGAAAAGTATTAAAAACGAAGCGAGTCCATGTCAAGCGCGTTCCCAAGGTCTACCCACCACGAAAGCCAAGATCACGCCCAGTGGCCGTGGAACCACTAACCATGACGATTCGGTCGGACTCAGCTCTCTCCACGCTCGCCAGTGCTGCAGTTGCGATCAAAAACCACGAGGGACCACTTTCTGCATTGTCAGTGCGAGCACTCTCTCCGTCAACACAGGACGCGGAATCACCCAGCCCCGACCCGGGCCCTTCGCCACCACCAGTCGACGGTTCTGCGCCCAAGGCAGACCCGAAATCTGTCCCTGGTCGAACAGGACGACCGCCGTCCAAACCTTCTGCGCCTTTCGACTCTGCAGGTTACCGATGCGATCTCTGCCCAGGGGAGCGGTTTGGTCGTGTGCACGATCTCAAACGGCATCAGACATCTAAGCACAACGAGAGGACATGGCCGTGCGATTTTTGCCATCGGCCGTTCGTGCGACGCGACGCGTTGCTGAGACATTACTCCGTCAAGGCTGCACGACGAGACGGCGTCCACCCGACAGAGCAGGAGGAAAACCGCCTGCAGGAGGCCAAGGCACGAGCGAAGCTGCTCTCATGAGAGTTGGCAGAAGAGACGGGACGGTACCGGAAGTGGAGGGGTGCCCTGCGTTATTATTTGATGTATATTCTAAAGCAGCGCCAGTTCTACATTTTGATACTCAATTGAACCTTGTGGAGAAGGATCCTGCCCCTGAAAATTGGTGGCGTGCCTTTTGCTGTTGAAGGTGACTGTTCCAACGTTCCTCGGAGTAGCAAAGCGATGTGAGAACACCCTGCCGAACCCATTCATTCACCTATTCACTCGCTCATTCCAATACAAACGATCGTCCTCATCAGCAATGGGTCTGCTTTCATACTTTTTCGCAGAGAAACCAGCACCCGTGGTCCCAAAGGATATTTGCTACTACATTGTAAATACATCAGATCGCGATGAATCAACCGGCTCATCCAATCGACTTGCCATCCGAGTGAAGCGTTAACATCTCTAGAAACAAAAAAAAAAACTCCGTACTCACTTACAATTCGTTCAAACGCACACTTTCGTCTGACAAAAAAACAACAATTGCTGGGTTTCTTTAGGAGGGGTTCTTGGCATGTCACTACTTTCAGGAGGCTATGAGCCTGGCAGAGCGACTCGATACGACGTCAAGTCAGAGTAATATCCAGGTCGAGATTACGGCGCACACACGCAAGGAGTGGCAAGATCGCATCCAAGAGCTCTCCAAGGTACTTGAGAAATAGGACCTGCTTTTCGATCGCAGCGAGATATGTACTCATTAATCAATGTCTGGATTTGGATGCAATCCTTTGATGTCGATGTTAATGCTAATGATATGCAAAAAAAAAAAAAAAAAAAAAAAAACCCTCCTATTAGACGATCCCTGGCGCGCAAGATCATCGAACGAGTCCGGTGGTGTGGGAGGGATGCCCCGGAAATCCAATTCGGTTTATTGGAGGATATGATAATTTTCGACAGCATGCTCGACAGAAGCACCATGTCGGGGATGCGCGTAACGTTTAAAGGCCGTTTGCGATAGCTGGAGGAATTACCTTCCTGTTGATTATGCAATTAATTCGCATTGTTTTTTTTTTTTTTTTTTTTTTTTTTTTTTTTACTTGGGTCGTATTGTGCACAGCTGAACATGGCGCGGCAGGGTCTGTGGAACAGAAGATTTGAAGGGGCTCTACGCACAGCATTTTTTTTTTTTTGGGGGGGGGTTATTTTTGGTTTTTGGCTTCATGGACTAGACTAGCATTGAGCATAGCATTTAACATAATAATAACATTCATCATGGCGACAACAAGAAGCGAAGTATCTGAACAAATGTTCACACGCATCGTGCGAGCATACGAACGGGGAAAAGTTGTGGTGAGCGACATCAGAGTCGACGATGACCAAAGCAACACGGTCGTGATGTGCCTTACAGCCGATTCATCCACACCGGGCTTTGATGAATACGACTCTCGCATGGATTAGGCACTCCTTGGAATGTACTGCCAGATCGTTGTCTTGATGCGCAGCAACGACGCCTTCTCCGTGCGTGTTTCAAGGCATCATCATTCTCACTTTGACTATCTAGTAGAGAATGTGTACAGGTCCATGGGTATCATTTGTTACATCGTAAGGATGCTATTGAAGGTAGGACGCGCTCGGTTGTGATATGGACAACACCGCGAGGATAGGCGAGTCACTCCCTATATTAATGTGTTCGTTTCTATACTATTAACGAATGCCAAGATCAACATAGGTCCTTGTCGGTGGGAGTTGTCGCTTCTACATCGTGCTCGATGTAGATAATAAACTCTTTTGAATACTGATTCAGATACCACAGCCGGCCTAGATTAAACGTATTCCTAGGCGATTTGGAGGTCCAACCTGCGATGAAAGCAACAAGGCCAGAAGGTCCAGATTGCTATCTTTGGGAGATACGAATCTCTTCATGAGCGCGGCGCGTATCAGGACATCAATACTGATCATCAGTGACAGTATCAAAAGGTATAAAGCTGATCCACGAGTGTGGGGCGTAAGAAGTGGTCTTCACCTTTTCTTTTTTTTTCTTTTTTTCCCGCAGCTTCCATCGCCCAGGTCTCTACACTCCTTTCCTTACGATGTCCTCTCTTACAGTTGTTGGCGCAATAGCATTCGCCCTCTGCATCAATTCACCCATCCTCACAGCAAAGTCTCCTGGCAACACTGCTAGTGTGCGAACTAGCATCTTCGGAAACTTGCAATGGACAGTAACCTTGACCCGACAAGACAACACTCTTACCGTGAGCCTTCAAAAGTATAGCGGGCCATCGAACAATTGCTATAACTGTGGAGCTTACTTTTCGAATATGAGCCAGTTCAACTCACTGCATATTGTGCCTCGCAAGAGCAAGGCAGCCTATGCCTCAATCACCATCAATGGTTCTTCCCTGCAAAGCGGAAGTGCTGTCCAAGGTAGAGATCCTTGTTCGTACTCGCGTTGCAAACAGAAAAGAAAAAACAAAGCTTATACCGATAGATACAATACGACAACGCTAGGGAATATCAATGTTGACAAAGTCCTCCACAATGGCAAGTACTCCTTCGACCTGATCTTCATCGGTGCAGAGCTGAGTAGGAAACAGGAGCCACCTTCAGAGCCAGTGGTCGAGAACGTCGATACCATGAAGGTCCTCCTCAAGGACATGCACTCGGTCGACACCTGTTTCATTTTTGACTCTGACAAGGACAAGACGCATCTGAACACCGGTCTCTGGGCCCACCGCGCCATCATCTCCCGCTACAAGAAGTTTGCAGAGCGCATCGAGGCCGATGCCAAAGACGAGGCCAAGGACAGAGACGCAGGCGATCTCGAGAGCACATCCAGCGAGAGATCCTGGACGCCATTATCCGTCGATTTCCGCAGCGACATTGGCAGCTCTGCGATTCTGACCGTCCCTGTCGAGAAATTCTCACTGGCCACCTTCTGTGTGATGCTGCGATACATCTACACTGGTGAGATCGAACGCTCAGCCGACGCAAGCAAGCATGCCATCTGCACCTCTGAGAGCCAGCTCGTGTCCCAGACACTTCGCGGGGCCAAGCCGCAGCAAGAGTCGATCCGCTGGAGCCCATTGGAGTCGGAGTCGCCTTGGAAGTTCAAGGATGTGACTTGGGAGGAGCTCTTGGTTGCAGCGGACTATTACGGAGTGACGGATCTGCGGACGCGTTGTGAGCAGGCGGTGATTGATGAGATCAACCAAAGCAATGCCTTGCAGACGCTCTTCACGATCGGGTGTTCGTTCGAAAAGGTCAAGGAGTCTGCGCTGGACTACCTGGTTGAGAACATGGCGACGCTGGTGGTGGATGGTGGCAGCGATCCTTTCGAGCCGTATGAGACACACCCGAAATGCCACAGCTTCATGCTTGAGCTGATGCGTGGCAAGGCCAAGATCGCGTAAACAAAGCTGCGCAAGCTCATTTTGCAGTTGAAGGGATAACATCATTAACGAACCACTTTGGTTTATTGTCCCCACAGAATCACGTTTGGATATGCTATGTTTGACGTATCCATATTTTTTATTATTTTTTTTCACGCATTCGACACGTGCCTACATGCTTATGGAAATGGATTGGAGCCGTCAATAAACTGAGGAAGTTGCTTTGAACGGGTATCCTTTGTAGCTAAGCAGAGCATTCGAGTCTACCGTACGCTTCCATGGCGTCTGAAGTGGTTAGCAAGCCGCGCGGTACCAGTAGACAAGGACGGTTAGTGGTCTGCCTGTGAAGAGCTCGCGACAGAAAAAGATAAAGAAAAAGAATTAGGGAAAACACTGTGTGGCTCCTCCATCGCAGCCTTAGTCCTCAGCTTCCTCCTCTCCATCTTCACCATCAGGTCGCAAAAAATTAATTTATGGGTACTTGGGAAATTGGGAGGGACAAAGTCGGATATTGGTGACCAGCGATGCTCGCGTGGCTCTCATTGCAGGGAAGATAGCGACCATCGCAGGAGGATCTTGACTTCCTTGGGCCCTCTTCCACTTTCCCAGCCAGCACTCCCCACTCTATTTCTACTCCAATTATGACACCCTCTTGCCGAGGTGCCTTTTGGCAATTGTGGTAGTTGTGGAAGGGTGCGGTGTCCTTCTTTCTCATCCAGCCTCCCTCTCTCTCTCTCTCTCTCTCTCTCTCTCTCTCTCTTTCTCTCTCTCTCTCTCTCTCTTTCTTTATATTTTCTTTTGAAGGAGGAGCATAGCCCAATTGATTTGAGCTTAGGTGTTTAGGGGACGGGCAAAGTGAACAACATCTGTTTACTCTGTACTCACAGACCAATCAACCGCTGTTTGAATGCACCAAAGAAGAATGGGTGTATGCATACATGAGCAGCGCAAGTCTCTAATGAGTAAGTACTTCGGATACCACTCTTTCTCTCTTTCGTGGTCCTCCACACCTTTTCCCCAGTTCAGCTACTACACAATCTTCTTTACCACAATCCCATCCTTGTCATGTTCACCCTCACTGCGCGCTACGCCGCGGAGCTCACTTTCAGTATCGAGTCGCCCGTCCTCACTACGACGCCTCCTTCCAACGCTGCAAGGATAGTGACTAGCCAAACCAACTGTGATGAGACTGTAGCCTTGATAAGAGAGGGCGAGTTCCTCAATCTCATTATACGGTGGTACCGACATCCTGGCTACTCCCCAGGCCTCAACTCCCATTCGTATCGATTCCTGCATATCGTCCCCCGCACAAGAGGAGGTGCAGTTATCACTACCATAATCAACAACCGGGCTTTGGAAGGAAGAATTCCTATCAAAGGTGAGAATTGCTCTCCTGAGGTCCTATAGATTAAATATATGAAAGAACACGTTCTAACGGTAAAGAGACTATCAATAATAGGAAGGGTCAAAGTCAACGCGGTCCTCCACAAAGATAAATACTGCTTCGACATTGTGCTCTCTTTCAGTAGGGAGCTGACCAGGAAGCTTGATTACCCCGATGCCGATTTATCGATTCGCGACACTATGAAGGTCCTGCTCAAAGACATGGGATCTGCTAATGTCTGCTTTGTCTTCGAGTCTGGCAAGGACAAGGCGCGCTTGTATTATGGTCTCTGGGCTCATCGCGCTATTCTCTCACGCTTCATACGCTTTACCCAAAGCATCAAAGACGAGCTCGAAGACGTGACTAAGGGTCTCCCCCCACCCTACGGCATTTCCGAGGATGACAGTCGCGAACTGCTGACAGTTCCGATGCACGGTTTTACTTTGGCCACCTTCTGCGTCCTGTTACGGTACATCTACACTGACGAGATCAACCTCTCCGTTGATGCGAGCCAGTACGCTATTTCCACCACCAAGAGCCATGCCTTGTGGAGGATCCTCGACGGACCAGAGGAAATGGGGTTACAGTGGGAGAGGCAGCAGCAAGAACCTGTGCGTTGGAGCTCTCCTAGTCGAAACTCTCTGAAGCTCGTGGATGTGACCTGGGAAGAACTTTTGGTCGTGGCAGATCATTACAACATGGAAGGCTTGCGGCTCAAGTGTGAGGACGCGGTGATCCACGCAATCAACAAGAATAACGTGGTCAAGACCCTGTTCACAATTGGGGACAAGTTTGAGAGTGTCAAGGAGTCGGCACTGGATTATATTGTCAAGAACATGCCCGAAATGCTCTTGGAGGGTGCGGATCCATTCCAGTCTTACAAGCATATGCCTGCTTGCCATAACATAATACTGGAGCTGATGCGTCGCAAGGCCGCGAGTGTTTGAGAAGAACTACGGCGGCAACTCTTTTTTTTTTCTTCTTTTTTTTTTTCTTTTATTTTTTGTGATGATCGTCTTTTTGCAGCCGCAGGAGGAGGGATAACCTCGGTTGCCTCTGATGCATTTTCTTCCTATGAGTTTAGGAAATAAACTTGCGCGCTGGCCACAGCCGCCACCTACTATCCTTCCTCCCTTCGTCTTTCATTATTTCCTTCACCGTCGCACTCCGCATTCCCGTCCGCACCATATATCCACTTCTACAGCGTACTAAACACAAGAGGTCGTGCTCGGCATCAGATCGCCCGTGCTTGCTGCGACAGCCCCCCCAGCAACACTGTCGCCTTCTTAACCAGTGACACCAGAGACTGGTACTGGGTCACCATCCTGGTACGAGTGAGTACACGACGTTCTTGCTGTGAGCGTCCACAGACGCCATTATGTCACATACTACAGGAACATCTGACAAGGACGTCTACAGTTCGTTGCATATCGTGTCCAACATGAACCTAACAGACCACACCTCAAGTGTCGTCAATAGCACTCTCCTGCAGTCCGGAACTGGTGTCTAAAGCAAGCGATATTTAGCTATTTTATTCTCTCATTCGCATGACACATATTCCCATATTATAAATGCTTATTACAGAGTGCGGAGACACCGAAACAATGGAGACTCTTCTCAGAGACAGGGGTTCGGTTGACGTTTGGTTTGTCTTCGCCGCAAGAAAGGAGAAGACTGACTCGGATGTTGGCGTCAGTGCTCACCGCTCTGCGCTCTCGCGCTACAAGGGTTTCGATGAAGGGCTTAAGCTACATCAAGAGCAAGCGTGACAACAACGACACCTGCGACTACGGCGAGGATTGTGAGGACGATGAGGATGATGATGATGGTGGTAACTATGAGGAGGATGATAGCTCTGAGGAGCATGAAGAAGATATGGAGGAGGATGAACAGACGGATACCTACGATGTCGACAATGACGCCTTCGCCGGTAGACCGATGTCGCCATCGCCAACTCTTTTTACCCAAAGAGAGCAGACCCGCGCTACTGATGATACTCCTCCTGGATTTCAAGCTGGCAACTGCCTGCGTCCTTCTCTCGTACACTTACACAGTCGAGGTAAAGCTTTCCGCCGAGGCGAATCAATGTGCAGTTTGCGTGATCGAGGATACCGCTGAGCAGCAGGACGACCATGGATCCAGGAACAGGAAACAGAAGCTGCAACAGTCGGAGTTTTGCCAGCTGGAGACATATGGACCAGAGAAAACTTATACAAGGCCTCTCGACAGTGAACTACATATGCCGGTTCCTTGAGCACCTGGAGCAATAGCTGCTTATTGCGGTCTTGACTGGCCGTGTCGGTCATCGCTCCGCTTTTTTTCTTTTCTCTTCTTTTTTTCTTTTTGCATATCTCTTTATGCAAATATTTGCACCAGTCGCGTCCAGGAACATGAATGCCATTTTGTTCGTTGCTTCTCCTCTTTATTCTTTTATTTTTTTGTGATACTAGGTAATAAAGGTAAACATGTCGCGTCTTTTTTACAGAGCCCAGTGTATGCATTCTTGTACGCAGTTTATACTAGGGAATTGAGCCCTTCGGACGCTACACGTGAGAAATCGCACACACGATGACTTAATCTGAAAGACACTCGACGTTGGACCAACATCCTCCTCTTACCACACTACCTTTGACACTGCACCGCACTATGGCTACCATCGCCTCACAGCAAGTGCAGGAGGTGGTGCTCAGCATCGAATCCCCCATCCTAGCTGCGACACCCCCCGGAAACACTGCCAGGATCGAGGATAGCCCTATCAATGCCCAGCGGTGGGTCGTGGCTTGGACGCGGATAGACAACATTCTTTCTGTGAATCTGAAGAAGGTCTTCTCCGGTTTCCCCACTTTCACCGACCAGGACAGTCTTGTGTACAAGTCGCTGCATATTATTCCTCGCATGAAAAGAGATGCCTGCTCTTCTACCACCATTGATAATGCGAATTTGAGGGACAAAAACGGCGTTTACGGTACCGAGCCTTGGTACATGCGTGTTGCATACCAAGGACTATATAGCTACTTTACGGATATTAACTAATGCCACTGATACTAGGAATTATCGATGTCGACAAGGTCCTTCACGGGGATAAGTACTGCTTCGATGTCGTGCTCTCCGTTCAGCAAGAGCCTTTCTGGAAGTCGATTCAGAAACCACAGCCGGTCCTGACAGCACAGCCAGAGTTCAAGAGTACCGAGATGATGAAGGTTCTGCTCAAGGATATGCACTCGGTCGATACCTGTTTCATCTTTGACGCGGAAAAGGATAAGACACGGTTGAATGCTGGCCTGTGGGCGCACCGTGCTGTCCTTTCACGCTACGAGCAGTTTGCGAAGCGGATCCTAGAAGACGCCAAGGAAAAGGATTTAAGCGACGAGGAAGGCTCCTCGGCGGACGAGATCCGCGACGACTTGGGTTCCACTGTTCTGACCGTCCCTGTCCACAAGTTCTCGCTGGCTTCGTTTTGTGTGATGCTTCGATACATCTACACGGGTGACATCGAGCGTTCCCCCGACACCAGCCAACATGCGATCTGTACCACGGAGAGCCATCTTGTGTACCGAACCTTCCGTGGAGCCAAAGCTGAACAGGAGTCTATCAGCTGGAACCCACTGGATGCAGACTCTCCGTGGAAGCTGAAGGAAGTGGACTGGGATGAGCTGCTAGTTTTGGCGGACTATTATGGAGTGGCAGATCTGCGAGCTTACAGCGAGCTTGCAGTGGTGGACAAACTTGACAAGCACAATGCGGTGCAGACGCTGTTTACGGTTGGGAGCAAGTTTGAGAAGGTCAAGGAATCAGCACTGGATTTTCTAGCCAACAACATGTCGGAACTGATGTTGGAAAACAAGGACCCGTTTTCGTCTTTCCAGTATCATCCGGATTGCTACAGCAACTTGGTTGAGCTGATGCGTCGGAAGAGCAAGAAGGCCTGAGAAGGCCTGAAAGGGCTATGCAGGGAGGCTTTTTCAAGAGCTATCCGGCACTCGTGGCTGACGTTGGATACGGCAGATCAGTTTATCTTTACTTTTTACTTTTTTCTCTCACTTCTCCCCTCTGCATCTCAGAAAGATGGATATTCTTTCAGATCAGCTTTCTTGAATGTGTTGACGGCAACTGCAATAAAAATATTCCCCTGCTGTCAATGACAACCGCAGTGGGTCTAATCTTCGATGTCTAATGGTTTACAAAGCACCTGCGCCTGGACCTAGCCCTCCTGCCTGTTATGAGAGTGAGTACTAGACAGCAAGATGTTGATGAGCAATGGGTGCAGCGCATACATCTGACCAACAGGGGTGGCACACAGAAAAAGTTGTCTTTGCCGTCTTTGCTGCCCTTTTTTTTTTTTTTTCTCGCAACTTCCTTCGTCCAGATTTCTGCACTCCTTTCCCTACGATGTCCTCTCTTAGAGTTGATCGCATGACAGAGGTCGTCCTTTGCGTCGATTCACCCATCCTCGCAATGAAGTCTCCTGGCAACACTGCTAGTGTGCGAACTAGCATCTTCGGAAACTTGCAATGGACAGTAACCTTGACCCGACAAGGCAACACTCTTACCGTGAGCCTTCAAAAGTATAACGGGTCATCGAATTATTGCAGTTACTGTGGAGTTTCCCCTACGAATTTGAGTCAGTTTAGCTCGTTGCATATTGTGCCTCATAAGAACAAGGCAGCCTACACCTCAGTCGACATCAATGGTTCTTCCCTGCAAAGCGGAAGTGCTGTCCAAGGTAGAGATCCTTGTTCGTACTCGCGTTGCAAACAGAAAAGAAAAAACAAAGCTTATACCGATGAATACAATGCAACAGCGCTAGGAAATATCGATGTCGACAATGCCCTCCACAATGGCATGTACTCCTTCGACCTGGTCTTCTCTACCAGCGCAGAGCTGAGTAGGAAACAGGAGCCACCTTCAGAGCCAGTGGTTGAGAACGTCGACACCATGAAGGTCCTCCTCAAGGACATGCATTCGGTCGACACCTGTTTCATTTTTGACTCTGACAAGGACAAGACGCATCTGAACACCGGTCTCTGGGCCCACCGCGCCATCATCTCCCGCTACAAGAAGTTTGCAGAGCGCATCGAGGCCGATGCCAAAGACGAGGCCAAGGACAGAGACGCAGGCGATCTCGAGAGCACATCCAGCGAGAGATCCTGGACGCCATTATCCGTCGATTTCCGCAGCGACATTGGCAGCTCGGCAATCCTGACCGTCCCTGTCGACAAGTTCTCACTGGCCACCTTCTGTGTGATGCTGCGATACATCTACACTGGTGAGATCGAACGCTCAGCCGACGCAAGCATGCATGCCATCTGCACCTCTGAGAGCCAGCTCGTGTCCCAGACTCTGCGCGGGGCCAAGATGCAGCAAGAGTCGATCCGCTGGAACCCGCTGGCCTCGGAGTCACCTTGGAAGTTCAAGGATGTGACGTGGGAGGAACTCTTGGTTGCGACTGACTATTACGGAATGACGGATCTGCGAACGCGCTGCGAGCAGGCGGTGACGGATGGGATCAACCAGAACAATGCCTTGCAGATGCTCTTCACGATCGGGTGTTCGTTCGAGAAGGTCAAGGAGTCTGCGCTGGACTACCTGGTTAAGAACATGGCGACGCTGGTGGTGGATGGCAGCGATCCTTTCGAACCGTATGAGAGGCACCCGAAATGTCACAGCTTCATGCTTGAGCTGATGCGTCGCAAGGCCAAGAGAGCTTGAACAAACGCTCTCTCGCCCACGTTCTCCATGAATTTTATCTTCTCATAACTCTTTTATATTTCTGCTTTCCAACCAACTTCCAATTTGAATAAACTTGGTGCTTCAGAACAGAACAATTGCAGGATGTGGAAATGGGCACAGGCTTCATGCGCCAAGGCCATTTTTTGCATGAATGCGCGCAGGTATCAAGAAGATTCTCGTTGCTCGCATGATGTCTTATCCACTGGCGGATAGACTGTATAAAACACCTCGGCCAATCGAGCAAATTCTTGTCGTTCGTTTCCCCACGTCTCTCTGAACTCCACACACCGCACCTTCATTCTCGCAATGGCGACCATAAAACTTAGCAAGACCTTGGAGGTCTCTATCTGTGTTGAGTCTCCGGTCCTCGCCACGGCGGCCCCAAACAACACTGCCGGCGTAACATCGACAGTATCTCTCACAGACGGCACCTACTGGACTGTGACACTGACACGAAACGGCGACATTCTAACTGTCAGCGTGTCTTGGAACCGTAAGGATCTTAGTGTGGCGGACTCAAACATGTACAGATCTTTGTCCATTATTCCTCGTGTCCGACCAAGTGACTTCACAACTGCTGCCATTAGTGCTGTTTCCTTGCAAGGCGGCTCCGCTGTTCAAGGTAAGGAGTGGCCGATGGTAAAAGACTTAAAAGTAGGAAATGATAGTTGTGCTAATGGCGAAAAAAACCCCCCTTCAAATATAATAGGAACGATTGATGTGGAGACGGTATCTTCTAATGAAAAGTACCTCTTTGACATCGTGCTCTCCACCGGCGAGCAACCGCTCAGGAAGCCAGTCAAGCTCTTTGGTTCTGAGGCGAGGATCCGCGACACAATGAAGATTCTACTCAAGGACAGCCACTCAGTTGACGTGTGCTTTATCTTTGATGCGGGAAAGGAAAAGACCAACGCGAACGTCGGTCTGTGGGCGCATAGCGCTATCCTTTCACGCTACAAGGTCTTTGCTCAGAAGATCCAAGAAGCATCCAACATCATTCCGGCCAATGCTGGTACGGAAGTCGACAGTGGGGCGGATACTGCGACCGAGGACGCGCATGAAGGTGGGAACAATGATGAGGATGTGGTCGATTTGGGCACAATCTCCACTGGAACCTCCCAGGCACCATCAATGCCCTCTCCCCGTGGTAATAACGGCCCCGCGCTGCTTTCGATTCCTGTCGAAAAGTTCTCGTTGGCGACCTTTTGCGTTCTCCTATGGCACATTTACACCGGCGAGCTCAAACTCTCCATCGACGTGAACCAGTACGCCATCTGCACGATTGAAAGCAAGCTTTTGGGATCTGAACCCCCCAAAACCAAGAAACAGCAACAGGCAAAGCGCCGCTACTATCAGGACTCCGTTCGCTGGAACCCTTTGGACCCGAAGTCGCCTTGGAAGTTCAGGGACGTGACCTGGGCAGAGCTGCTAGTCGCAGCTGATTACTTTGGCATCACAGACTTGCGGCCTCATTGCGAGCAGGCCGTGGTGAGCGCGATTGATACAAGCAATGTGCTCGAGACCCTGTTCACAGTCGGGTGCAATTTTGAGAAGGTGAGAAAAGCGGCAGTGGATTTTATGGTCAAGAACATGTCGACACTGGTTCAGGAGGGCAAGGATCCTTTTGCGCCCTACAAGAACCACCCGGATTGCCATGACATAATGTTTGAGATGATGCTTCTCAAGGCCAAACCCACTTGAACATACATGGCACGCAGCGCTGGACAACATTTTTTCCCCGGATTTTCTTGCAAACTGTATATAGCTTTCCAAGCACGATTTTCTTTATGTTTTTTTTTTCTTCATTTGAGATGAAGTTGCTCTGATAGCACTCATACTGCAATAAAATGGATATTGTATTTCCGCCTTCCTCTTCCTCTTCCTTTTCCTCCTAAAACTCGACTCGCGTTGGGTGTCCCACTCCAATCCCCTATTTTTCCTTTTCGAATTGAGAATCGAATGGCGGTCTGTGCCACGCTGTTTATTATGTCTTTTTGACGATGGTATGCTAGGGCAGGAGTAGCCCGAGTAGCACATACGCTAGAAGGTGGGTAGGATGGCGTGCCCAGGCTAGTAGTAGTAGCGTGTCATGTGACTCAACCACAAACAGCACAAAAAAAAAAAGTTTTATTTTGAGTTTGGGTGGGCTGAAAAGAAAGAAAAAGGCCGCTGAGGGCAGGATTTGTTTTGGTTCCTTCTCCCTTTCCTCCCCTTCTCAACCCACCCGTACAGAAAAACATCATGTCTGAAGTCACTGATCTTGCCATCGGTATCGATCTCGGGTAGGTCGCTGTTCCTCGTCTTCTTCTGCTTCTGCTTCTGCTACTGCTTCGGAGGATATGTTCTCTCTCCATGGACGCAACTGCAACAGCTGCAGCGACACTCTTGCCTCAACAACAAACAACAACAATAACAAAAAAAAAAAGACATACTGGCAATGCAAACACAGCAAAACGAGGATCACCCCAGGATCTCTGTTGATCAGCAACAGCCAGCTGGACCATTAAACCAGCGCTTCTGATCAACCCCACCAAAAACGAGCGCCCCCAAGCCGATCAACTGAAACGAGTACAGAAGGCTAGATCACTTTAGTGCCGTGGCTCCACCATAAGTGCCAGGAGCCATTGAAGCAACCAAAAGGATGTGGATATAGGCACATCAATGGCCAAACGCAATATACCGGCCGAATGGCGTTAAACTGAAGCGTCTGCTAACCTGGATCCCCTTTTCTAGTACCACCTACTCTTGCGTTGCCGTCTGGGAGGGCGAGCGCGTTGAGATCATCGCCAACGAGCAGGGTAACCGTACCACCCCCTCGTACGTTGCCTTCTCTGAGCAGGAGCGTCTCATCGGTGATGCCGCCAAGAACCAGGCCGCCATGAACCCCACCAACACCGTTTTCGATGCCAAGCGTCTTATCGGTCGCCGCTTCGACGACCCCGAGGTCAAGTCTGACATGAAGCACTGGCCCTTCACCGTTATCGAGAAGGACACTGCCCCCTTCATCCAGGTCGAGTACCAGGGCGAGAAGAAGGAGTTCTCCCCCCAGGAGATCTCTGCTATGGTCTTGATCAAGATGAAGGAGATTGCTGAGGCCAAGCTCGGCAAGACCGTCACCAAGGCCGTCATCACCGTCCCCGCCTACTTCAACGATGCTCAGCGTCACGCCACCAAGGATGCCGGTGCCATCGCTGGTCTCGATGTTCTCCGTATCATCAACGAGCCCACTGCCGCTGCCATTGCCTACGGCTTGGACTCCAAGGAGACCAAGGAGAAGCACGTCCTCATTTTCGATTTGGGCGGTGGAACGTTCGATGTCTCCCTCTTGACGATCACCGGAGGTGTCTTCGCCGTCAAGGCCACTGCTGGTGACACCCACTTGGGAGGAGAGGATTTCGACAACACCCTCTTGGAGCACTTCAAGGAGGAGTTCAAGCGCAAGCACAAGAAGGATATCACTGGCGATGCCCGTGCCACCCGCCGTCTCCGTACTGCTTGCGAGCGTGCTAAGCGCACCTTGTCCTCCTTGGCCCAGACCGCCATCGAGGTCGACTCTCTCTTCGAGGGTATTGATTTCCAGGCCAACATCACCCGTGCCCGTTTCGAGGAGATTAACTCGACCCACTTCAACAACACCATCGAGCCCGTCAAGAAGGTCCTCAAGGATGCCAAGTACACCAAGAAGGAGGTTGATGAGATCGTCCTTGTCGGTGGTTCCACCCGTATCCCCAAGATCCAGTCTCTTCTCCAGGAGTTCTTTGACGGAAAGGAGTTGAACAAGTCGATCAACCCCGATGAGGCCGTTGCCTACGGTGCTGCCGTCCAGGCCGCTGTCTTGACTAACCAGGCCGGTAACGCCAAGACCCAGGATCTCTTGCTTTTGGATGTCGTCCCTCTGTCTCTCGGTGTTGAGATGCAGGGTGGTGTCATGGCTGTTGTCGTCCCCCGCAACACTGCCATCCCTACCATCAAGAAGAAGACTTTCACCACCACCGAGGATGGTCAGACCACTGTCCAGTTCCCCGTCTATGAGGGTGAGCGTCCCATGACCCGCGACAACAACTTGCTCGGCAAGTTCGAGCTTTCTGGCATTGCCCCCATGCCCCGCGGTACCCCCGAGCTCGAGTGCACATTCGAGTTGGATGCTAACGGTATCCTCAAGGTTACTGCCATGGACAAGGCCACCGGTCGCAAGGCCAACATCACCATTTCCAACGGAGCTGGTCGTCTCTCTGCTGCCGATATCGAGCGCATGGTCTCTGAGGCCGAGAAGTTCAAGGATGAGGACCGTAAGAACGAGGAGATTGTCCAGTCCAAGCAGGAGCTCGAGTCGTATGTCTACCAGATCCAGGGCACCCTTAATGAGCCCAACGTCTCGATGAAGCTCAAGCGCGGCGATAAGAAGGCTGTCGAGGAGGCCCTTGAGGAGGCCATGGCTGCCCTCCAGATCGAGGAGCTCGCCGAGAAGGATACCTTTGTTCTTGCCCAGCGCAAGCTCAAGCGCTCGGTCACCAAGGCCTTCGCTTCCCTCTCCCGCTAAACAGTTCGACTGGACAGACAGAGAGGATGCGTTGATGTTCGAGGGGTTGAATTGAGGAGGGGAACATATCTTGTCCATATCACATATTCTTTTTTTTTCTGCAAAGACCCCTTTCTCTTTTCATTTCTTTGAATATAGCTCTTCACATCTTGTCTGTAACTGTTTAGCTGCGACTTTTCTCACTCTCATTCCCATCATCTATTAGTTTGTATTATTTTTTGTCTCCTCATATCTGTTTCCAAAACAAATAAAAAAAAAAAAAAAAAAAAAAAAAAACGAATGTCTGTAACTGTATTCATGCGTTATTATAATGTTTATTTTGCTTTTTTGACACCATGTCCCATGCCCCATTGTTCCACCGTCAACTAGATAATACAAAATGCCAGCACGAAGCACGAAGAAAAAGTCCCTTTACTCGCCAAGGTATTTGCCCAAGACGGACATGGTCAAAACCTTGTACATGTTCTCACCCTTCAAACTGACAATACCATCCTGTACATCGACTCCCATCAACATACCACAGGCGCCGCGATGCTCGCCCGACAGTACCTTGACCCCATCGTTCTTCAATGGTGCAACAGGCTTGAGATATTGCACTGGGATCTGGATCGTCTTGCCTTCATCCGATCCACTCAACAGGCGAACATCACACATCGCCATCGACGAGAGCGCGTTCCTTGGCGGCACCTTCATAGTGCGACCCGACAGCTCGTTGTACTTGCCGCCCTCGAACGAGGATCCGTCCTTGCCAGCTGTCACCTTGACCTCGATGTCCGTCGTCGCCCAGTCGTATGAGGGGCCAGTCGCAGCATTGCCGCCCGCACCAGATCCGTAGCCAGAGGCTTGACCTGCGTGGCCATGTGAGTCCATGCCAGAGTAATCGCCTCCTGTGGGCATGAAGGGCGTCTGTGGGAAGTGGCTCGCAGGGGTCATGGGTGCAGAGGGGCCGCCTGCAGGGGTCTGGGGCGTCTGGTTGGCGCCGGGAGTAGGGATTGACTGCAGTCTTGAATTGGAGGAACCAGGAGTTGCCACATTGGCTGCATGTGAACCTCCGTTGCTGTTGGCATGAGAACCACCACCAGATCCTAGTGATGAAGACGCAGCGGGTGTCTGAGGGTAATTATTGCTGCTAGGCGTTGGTGCAGAATCATAGTTGGATGAAGGACCAGGCGTGTATGGGTAGTTTGCGAACGGTGCTGGTGACGGGGCTCCAAAAGGTCCAGGGGTAGGCACACTTCGATTCATCCAATCGCCACTTGCAGCGGGCGTTTGAGGGAACCCGCCGGATCCAGAACCAGAGTCACTCTTGTCGTTCCATGCACTGTATCCGCTTCCAGAGCCGCTCAAATTGCCGTTGTGGTGATTATTTGAGCCCGAATCGGAATCGCCCCATGCAGATCCACGTGCAGGCGTCCTGCTGCCAGAGTCCCAGGCATGAGCTGGTGTACGACTGCCGCTATCCCAGGCAGAGGATCCACCATAATGAGGCGTCTTTGAACCAGCATCCCAGGCAGGCGTTCGAGATCCGTCGGCGTATGGATTAGGGGTCCTGGAACTGGCGCTCCAGGCAGGTGTTTTGGACCCAGCATTCCATGCAGGTGTCTTTGAGCCAGAGTTCCAGGCTGGCGTGCGCGATCCGGATGGGTGCATAGGTGTCATATCTCCTGATCTCATGGGTGTCATGCCACCATAGCCACCGTAGCCGCCATAGTTGCCAGCGCGAGGAGTAGAGGGAGGGTTCATGTCCGTCATGCTCGACACAGGAGTTGTTGTTCCGTTGGCACTAAAAATAATCGAATAAACAAACGTTAGCGTTTTGATTCCCATCTTCCGTAAACATAGCAGAACAAGGCAGCATCGCTTCGTACTTTGTAATAGCCAGCTTGGCTTTCTCAACAGTGATGATACGGCAGTTGGTATGGAGCTCCACACGAGCCGTCGTGTCTGTGGCATCCTTGACAATACCCAGGTAACCCTTGTGCGGCCCACGGATGATTGTCACGGTCTTGTCGATCAAGGGGTCGCGACCACCTCGGCCACGGCCCATCATCATGCCACCCCGTCCGCCACGTCCATTGAAACCACCGCGATTCATGTTCATGACGGCAGGGTTCATGGTATCAAGACGCATCCCAGGCTGGGATCGGCTCTTGGAGGCCATGCTGACCAGAAGGCGCGTTGATTGGACAAATACTCCGTTGTTCTCCATAAATTCCCTATTGTACAAGAACGCGAACGTCCTGAACAAGTGCAAAATCTTGCCCTCACGCATCTATTGTGAACACGCATAAAAATTGTTAGGTTCAGCGATCCTATCATGCAATAACAAAGGAAACGAAGAATCCTTCGGCCGACAACTTACAGCTCCTCCAATTTCCCGAACAGAGTCTCCATCCTGGATGCTGTTTCCTTCGCCATCTGTGGCAATAGCGCGTGAGGAGTCGCGCTTTTGCGTGATAAGGTGGGGCTCAACTTCTCTTGTAAGCCCACTCTGATCAAGTACACGGGCAAATCCACGTTCGACCTTATAAATAACACCCACAGTTGAGGCACTATTGATGAATAATGTTGCAAGGCAGATGAGAAAGTTGTGCATGACCCTTTTGGAGAGAAGTGGTTGCAGAGAAGATGCACCGAGGACTTACTCAAGTTGGACGAAATCGTGGGTTTCATATTGTCCGATGGTTCCTGTTCCACTCGACACATTGGCGGCCATTTGCAAATCTTTGGAGAAGACTTGGATATCCTTGACGTTCAGATCGGTAACAATGGTGACGACGCTGTCCTCGATCTTAATAATCAGACCAGTCTCATCCTTGAATTTTCCATTGACGACCTTGACGTGGTCACCCTCCTTGAAGAGCTTCCGCAGTTGAGTGGGCGGAAACTTCAGGATGTTGCCCTTAAGGTCATCAGCCAGAGGGCGAACCATAATCATATCGCTGCCCACAGAGTCGACCACACCATGGACGTGCTTTAATTCTCCTTCCATGACCTCGACCTTCTCTCCTGGCTGGAAATGGCTGGTGACTGATGCGCCCATGGCAGATAGAGCAACCGCCGATAAGTCGAGACCGCCGTCCTCGTCATCGAGACCGCCCTTGGCAAACTTTTGAATCTCATCCAATGTAGGGTTGATGTTTTCCGTGATCAAACTGGAAATCTTCATGTCCTTCTCCAAATAACCGTCGCGAAAAACCTCATTGTTCCACATAAAGACACCTCTGCCGCGAGAAGTCGGCTTGTTCAGTTTGTCAACCTTTTCTGCTTCACGGGCGTTGAACAGCTTTGGTGGGGGTCTTCCTGCTAATACACTGTTGACGGGCTTGCGTTTGTTTCCAGAGACATATGATGCATCTGAGCGAGGAGTCATGTCCAGGCGTGGAATCAGTTTTACTTTGGCAGTGTCTCCAGAGTCTGCAATATCCAAAATCTATTACAATAATATTCGATCCACATGAATATCAGTATTTCTTTGATCACTTCAGATCCTCCACACGCGCGAGAAATGGTGCTTGAATATGAACAGTGGATGGTATTACCTGCGCAAGATCCATGGCATATTTTCCACGCTTGACACGAACCCATGTTCCTGGTCGAAGTTCAGATTCTTTGTGTCTGACTTTAAGCACATCCGTCATTTCCTTGATGGGAACCAACGTTAATTTGGATGCAAAGACATTATTGAGACCATTCAGTGCCTATGTTTGCAGAACACATAAAGAAAGAGAAATAGAGAGGTTACGGACTGTATAAAATGCAACTCCACGCCCACAAAGAATAAGGAGGAGAAAGACTTACAGCTTGGACATTCGCTTGACGCAAGCACTCAATGTAGACATATCCCTTGAGCGATTCGCGTGAGAATGCGGCTGAAATCTCGAGTGGTTGAGCAGAATATTCAGTGTCGAAGAACTTCCGCATCAGTGAAAAGACCAGGTCCTTCTCTTTGCCGGGTTTGCAGCGGACCATCCAGAGATGTGGTGACTGTACATCGGGCATAAGCAACTGTTGAGGGATGTCCTCCTGCTGTCCCTGAAAGGCCCTCCGAGGTGCGTAGTCCCGTCGATAACGCTCCTTGAATCGGGCAGCCTGTTCTTCTAGATCGACATCGTCCTCCTCGCGCCGTCTACGGTCCAGATCCAGGTGTTTTGATGCCCTAGTTGCCTCGGCTGCCTCGTCCTGTTCGTCCGCGATGAATCCATCCCCGACACCGTATTCATCCTCGTCCTCCTCTTCATCCTCGTCTTCATCATCGACCTCGGCCTCCACATCGAGGAAAGGATTCACTGCACGCTTTTGCTTCTTGTGTCGTCTCTAAAATATAGAGTTGTTGTCAAAGTGTTAATTCATTGGCTGTGGTACACTTGCCTATTTTGGATCACACTCCATATGAATCAGGTCAGAGAGCGAGTGACTTACGGATACGTTATCGGCCTCGTCTTCGTCCTCCTCGTCCTCCTCGTCTTCGTCCTCGTCATCTTCGTCTTCATCGTCGTCATCGTCGCGCCTCTTGCTGCTACGGTGCTTGGAGGACGAGTGCTTGCTGCTGCCTCTTCTGGGCGAATCCTCCAGATCAGAGTCATCATCGTCGTGATTATCGTGGGACTTGCCCAGGCTCTCAAACTCCTCGTCCTCGTCGCGGTCGCTGTCGTGGCGGGACATGATTATTCGATTTTAGTGACGGGGTCTTGCGGGGAGCACGGTCGTTATTGTTTCGTGAAGAGCGCGGTGCGTATGTGTTCCTCGAGAGCTCTCGCTCTTTTGTTTCCCTTCAGAGTGATTCACAGATCAGATGGCGGGGAAATCGGTCGCAGTGGACGGCGTGCTTGTAGCTGGTGGAGATGCAGGTGTAAGTGCGGTAGGGAAGAGTGTAAGAAGAGGAGGAGGAGAGGAGAGGAAGAGGGACAAGGAACGGGGGAGCAAAAAAGAGGGTGTGAAGAAAAAGAAGAGAGATGAATTCCTTTTGCAGGTGAGTTCAGATTCCGTCCCTCTTTTATACTGGGACCACCATGCTGCCTGCGTTGCTCATGCGACCGCCGATATATCCTAATACGTCTTCAAATCAGGGTTTGCTGCACATTTTACGTTTCACGTTGTGGAAGGCCCTATTTTTGGATGGCAGGTTCATAAAACGTGCCCTGACGCCAACAGACTTTTTATAAAAAAAGAATATTGTCCTCCCCCTCTTCCCTTCTCCTCACACTTCACTTCACGCTCACCTTCCCCTTCACGCCTCCAAAACCACTTGAATTAAACCGCATCCACCTCCATCACCTCCATCACCTCCATCACCTCCATCACTCCAATAAGCAATGGCCTCATCCCGACCCCGGATCCCTCGATCCATCCTCTCCCTAGTCCTCCTCCTCTTCATCACCACCGCTCTCCTTCTCTCCTCTGTGCAGGCACAAGAGTCCCCCTCTGCATCTCCCTCTCCTTCAGAACAACCGACCGTGGCGTCAACCGAGCCACTGACCCCCACCCCCACCGTCGATCCTGTTACCCCTACCCCGGATCCTGCTGTCCCTACCACAGACCTCCCTACTCCCACAAGTGCTCTCCCAACAACCACTGCCGCCCCCATACCCTCTGCCACTCCCATCTTCTCGACCTCTGACGCCTGTGTCAGCTGCAAGAGCAATTACCTTGCTGTCTACAACTGTGCGTCAAGAATCCCAGTCAACGGCAACCTGACGACCATCAGTCAGGTCTTCCCCTTCTATCAGTGCATTTGTCCAAACGATGGCGAGCTGATCGATGCCCTTCAAGAATGCAGTGTCTGTTTGCGCCAGACTGGACAGCTCACGTATCTCAATCGCACCTTCTATAACGTTACAAACCAGGACGTCAAGGCCATGAAGCAGGCCTGTCTCGAGACCTCGGATGGACTCAAGGTCCCCAACAAGGCAGGAGGCAGGTGGGACATGCTTCTGTCCGCCGCTGCTTGGGGTACCATCTCAGCGATGGTCCTGGTGCTTGTACCTCTAGGGGGACTATAAACTGTTTTTCTATTTACTATTGTTAATCCATCGCAGCATAGTGTTTTACATTCAATTGCATCTGAGCCATACAGGCGGGAAATAAAAATAATAAGCGGATGCTGGCCATTCATCCAAGACAAAATACACTCGGCCATGCATATCATTGTCTGAACAGTCCGGGTACGATGGTGTTGCATTGGTCATCGTTGCAACATTGAAGAGTAGGGGTCAGCAAGGCGTCCATGCGTTCTGCCCCCTAAATTGTAGCCATGGTGTATATCACTCTGTTTTCAGGCACGACCTTTTTGTTTGTGACGAGATTCACGCTCGCGTCCATTGACGAACCAGAATGCGACCCCAGAATAAGACTTTCTGACGCTCGCTCACATACTACGCTTTCTTCTTCTTTCTTCCCAACTACACCGCCCCGTTAACGACCCTTCCGCCTGACAACTCTCGCTACACTTTACGGCGCCTCCACCATCTCAGCTGCATTCGACCCATTTTGTTAATTGACCTTTACCTCCCGTTCAAGTCACTAACCTCATCGCTGTGGACCCCAATCCACAATCCCCATGGACCACAACATGACAAAGTATGCATCCCTGCTGCAGACTGCCAAGGATGAACAGGACCGAGGCAACCTGAAGGTAGGAACTATGCCCACTATACACCTCTTTGACTCGCTGGTGGACATCTGTCGAAAAGCCCCTGTATGCCACCTTGGCTGACTTTAGCCTTGGGCAATTGCCTCGATCGATACATCAGAGTGCATATACATCCTATCTCAAGGCACACGCGGTCATCACAAACATCCTCGGGACGCAGGTCATCTTTAAGAATCAAGGTAACAAAGTCTGCAGTGTCTCTAATAGAGAGAGCATGTTGAAGCGCATTTTTCAAACAGTCGACCACCAAGGCAGCCTTAATAATCTTTTAAGCAACTCACCAGAAATACCTTGCTCTTCTCTATGTCGACATAGACTCGCTCGAAGCGGCGCCTGACAACTGTGGCCAGCTCATTGCTCATGCTCAAGAAATCATGCGTCGGATCAAGGATATCGTGGATCAGTGCAAAGCACAGGCCACGTCTTCGACCTCGATCATGTACAAGCAGCCTAAGTCCTCAACCTCGAGCTCGCTTTCACTCTCAACAACTGTCCGACCAGGATTGACTTCGTCACACCCCTCACAACGATCAATCGCTACGATATCACGGATCACCAAACGGACAAAGAAGAATATACCGATGATACCTATTTCACCCCTGACAAAGCAGGCGCTCTCACAATCGTATGCGCTCTCGCAGGTCAGCCAGAGGCTTGAGCAGGCAAAACAAGGATTGAGCCCACAGGGAAATCCCTCCCTTTCAGTAACCCGCGATCTCGCCAACCTGAGACGACTTATCGAAGATGTGCGTATTCAAAGGGCAAAATTGGACTCGATCAACCTTCAGGTTCACTCTGTCGCCACCTCAACCATCATCTCATGGGAACCGGATCTGATCGCCAGGCAACTGACCATTATCGATACGCAGCTCTTCAAGGACGTTATTGTACCAAAGGACCTCGTTCGGGCGGATCGCAAACTATACCCTGCTCAGCACTGTATCGATTTCGAGACCTATGTCGCCCACAGTGTCGCTCACCTTTTACTCGTGGAGTGGAACACTTGTCGTCAACCATCGCCAGTCAATACCCCCGCAGTATCCAAGGACCATCATACACATGCTCCAGTCAATGCAGTAGCACACATGATCAGAGTTGCAAATATCCTCTTGAACGTCTACAGGAACTTCAACAGCTTCATGGCGGTCATGAGGGCGCTCACTAGCCCTGAAATCAAGCGCATGCACAAACTGTGGTCCGGTGTCAGTTCCAAGGCAAAGGACAGCTTCAAGCGACTCATTTCGATCTACTGTGCGCACGACAACGTCCAATACTACAAGGAAGCACTTGTGCAAAAGCTGGACGCTTTTCAGGATGTGGGCAAGGACGCCGTCATTGCTATTCCCTGGATGAGATACCATGTGGATGAGGTCAAGGGGATCATTAATTCCTATCTGACAGGACACGAACCCTCAGGCGGATCGGCCGATATTGTCCTGTCCGCGCCGGGCGCTAGGAAGCTGTCTGCAGTTACTGCATTGTTGATGCAATGCCGCACAAACGGATCCAGCGCTTTCGATCGTCAGGACATGGATGACCGAGCCTCACAGTCCGGATCAACACATACCAAACATCGCGAACCAGTTCAGATCGATGGCCTAAAGGCGCCACTCACGCCTATCTGGGACTTGGTCTCTCTTGGCGCTGGCGATATTGCGCTCCATCACTGGCTTCTGTCGCGCCCATTCCTCAACAAACATCAGCTGATTGACGAGAGTCTGGAGATTGAACCACTGTTCAATGGCGAGGAGCTGCCATGCTACGAGGCGCCATTTGACAATGACAACAGCGAAGAATCCGAACCGATGTTGGGGGATGCAGCGCAGGACGATTCTTTTGAGCATGTCATCCCTCCAGAGCACGATCTTGAGCCTTTGCCCGAGCCGTCAGTACCGAAGCCCAAGGAGAGACCATCCTTGCCACGGACGCCAGTTTCGGAAACAGAGATCAATCAAATCATGAACGAACTGTTGGACGATGATGCTAGTGACAGCAAGGGACTCTTTGACGATATCAACACGGATTCGGATGATAATGTCGACCAAGCAGAGCAAAGGCCGGGTATTGGTCAACCACGAGCTTCGTCTGGGCGCTCTCGTGATGTTCTCAGCTTCTTGGGCATCGATGCAGAGGATTATTCGGACAGCGACAATGATGGTGATCAAGACAACAGGATGGTACGAAAGCCTTCCACTTCTGACAAGGGCAAAGGAAAGGCAGTTGAGATCGACGATGCCGAGGAAATCAACAAACTGCTCGCTCAGGTTAAAGGCCTGGTTCATGAGTCAAGGAGTCATACTGCAGATGTGGAGTCTACTCGTGCGTCCGAAGGTCTTGGCTTGGACTTTCAAGGTGACGTCCATGAGGGTCGGGATGACGATGAATATTTTAGCTCTAATAGGAAGACCTTTGAGTCTTTCGAGCAGGGTGACGAAGATGGGAGGGAGTATGTGAGCTCGGGCAGGGCATTCGAGCCCTTCCAGCAGGGTGACGAGGAAGATCAATTCGACTTTGACGGTGAACAGCAACCATCTGGAGAAAGCCCATCTGGCGTTGAAGGCCCATCTGGCGTTGCAGAGGTATCAACCTTACTGTCTCTGGAATCACTACGAAAACAGCTCAAGGATGTAGGCCGGCAATCGGATGCCATCATTTCAACGAGTGAGGCATCAAATAAGGGCGCCATCCATAAGCAGGAGGACAGGACGTCAGAGACAGTCATCAAGAGGACCAATTTCAGCTCTAGTCCGCCAATGTCACGAATCACTGCCTCAGCTTTGCAAGGATCTGAGGATAGTATCGATACAGCGAAGACATCTCTGACTAGCCATGGAAGGCTGAACTCATCAGAAGACGGTCGCCCAGCTGGTGTAGACGAGTCAACGGGAGCCAGCCCTTTGAAGGCAACTGAGAATGGAGCCGCTGAAGAAACACAGTCGAGCGAGGACAATGCGGCGTCGCCTCCTGTCGTGTCGATCCAGGAGCTGGACAAGGTACGAGATGATTTGGCTTTTATTTTGTGCAGTGCGGTATTTAATAATGTTGGACATTCGCCAACACGATGCGAAATCATTTGAACCAATCCGCTATAGAAACCATTGGATAGCTCTCTGCCCTCTTTCGAGAGATCAACGTCAAGTTCACCCTCCGAATCGACGACAGCGACGAATCTGATGACGACGACGATAGTGACCAGTTCTCATGCAAAAGTACCCGATTCAGAAGCCAGGCCCTCCCAGTTGGGAACAAGTCCTCTGACAAGCGATTTTGAGATAGGAAGCATGGCCTCCGCATTGGACGAAAAAGAACATGGCGCCGCTGGAGAGTCATCCCAGCCTGTAACTGTATCCAGCATGTCGAGCAGTCCGGAATACGACAGGAGCAAGAGCCCAAGGCCCTATAAGGACGATTCGGCGGAGTGGACCGACTCTGCAGAGTCGGAGAAATTTAAGGGGGCAGGAACAGATACAGGAGGGAAGACTGACGCAGAGAACAATAGTAGCAGTAGCGTCGGGCAAGGCGATAAAAGTTCAGCTGAATCGGCTGATGGCCGCGCAAAGACGAACAGGCAACGGCGACGGATTGCTGGAGGCGTGATTTCGTCAAAGTCCCTCATCCCGAAGGTGTCCAAGTCCTCTCTCTCCAGTGCTTTCCAAGAATCAGCGTCTGGCTCAGCAGTAGATCATCAAACAGATGAAGAGCATGGACAGGAACACGAGCAGGGACAAGGACAGGTACAGGACGAGACTCACAGCAACGTACAGGAGGAGGAGCATTCCTTGGGATTGGGTACGGAGCAGCATGAGGGCTCCCAAGATACAGGTGACGAGAACATAAAGAGAGCAGGAGGCGATACTACGACAGAGACCAGTAATGCTGATGTGAATGCTACTGCCAGATCGTTACCCGAAGAAACAGATGCGAACAAGCTGGATCATGATCAGTAGCATGAGCTGAAGATTCAACATTGCCACAAGTGATGAAAAAAAAGTATAAAATAAAGATGATGCTCTTCAAAATCGCAAGAGGCATTCAAGGAGGCATGAATAAACGAACGGAGAAGGGGGAGCAGCAGGAAAAAATGAGCGGGCATTATTGTCGACTGTCATGTACTGCCATTCACCCTACTCCACATCATTCAAGGTAAGCATTGACCAGAGGTTGTTCTTTAAAACTTTGTCCGTAGAGGGAGGCTGTATCTTTGGGAAGAGATGGAGCTGCGACGGAAGGCAATCAAGACGACAGGAGTCAAGTCAAGCCAAGTGCGCATGTATAGCAAGCAGCCTGTCTGTATCTTCACTCCCTCCCTTTTTATTTTACTCTTGGGCTCATGCATACTTGCTCTTTCTTTTTTTTTTTTTTTTCCTTTTACTGGGCATGCCCAACTTTTTCCAGGTTCTGCTTTTTCAGCCTAGGATGTGGAATGTGGTTGCGAATGAAGCAAATCGCAATTACTTTTTTCCGCTCCTCTCCGTCCTTTTCCTCCTCTGTTTCTTATTATTTTTTATTCTTACTCGCCCACGCACTCTCGTACGCTCAGTTGCTTTTCTTCACCTCTGATGTGTTCATTCCACTTTGCGAACTTCATTATAATTTATTTTACTTCACACAGCAGCGTCTGTGCGCATGGATAAAGTTGGTGATAAAAATAGTCTCCATTTGCTGTGCTACATTCTTTTTTTTTTTTTTTTTTTTTTTTTTTTTAGAAGAACCGATCTTTGTGCACACATCATTCCTAATTTCACATTCTATGCACAACCTCGCATACGCTTCCACTAAAGGCAACCAAACCGAGGTTACCCGTTCCCAGGGCCCTCTCCGCGAACGCCCCTCACCCTTACCCTCATCCTCATCCTTACCCTTATTCTCCTCCTCCTCCTCCTCCACATTCTCGTCCTTCTCTAGCGACAATCAGGATGACAAGGACTACAACGAAAAGGAACCCAATACCTCTTACACGACCGTTCATTCGACTCTCATGAGTGCACGTCCGCTCATCGACTCCAGCCGGCCCGGACTCGAAGAGCACATGGATGAGAAGAAGCCCCGCAAAAGTCGACAAACAACCTACTATATTGATGTCGATTCACAATCCTACAATACCAGCGGCATCAGCAGCGATGCGACAGGGCACGACCGGTTCAGGACAGTACGGCCACGACGACGTCCACCTTACTCCGCAGCAGGATCCTCGGTCAACGACCCACCAGCCTCTCTCTTGGCCGCGATGGAATCACCACTCCCATATCCGAAGCTCGAAAAGGCAGGGCCGTATCTGACGATTGCGGCCCTACAGGCGTATACGATCCTTACGGTCGTACGATGCCTTGCAGATTCAACGTGGATTGAATTAAAATTCAGTGGCGACAAGTCTGGGGGGAAGAAGGGTGAGGATATAATGCCTCATTGGGGGGCGATCGGGAGGAGGGAGAAATGGTTCCTGGGGTTTGCGATTGCGTTTACGTTGATGAGCTGTGTGGGTGTGACATTGAGGATCATGGATAGGATGACCTGGTTGAAACGGACACCGGTCGTCGGTGCTTATCTTCAAGGCAAGAACAGCGTAACCGGGAAAATCGCGTCGTCTATGGGGGAAACAAAAAAAAAAAAAAACGGCGGTACTTTTTTGTAAAATACTCATGCTTTTTGCTATCGTTTTTTTTTTTTTTTTTTTTTTTTTTTTTGGCTTTCCATTTACGATCGGCCGGTTCTATGTACAGCCGCATGCTGTATTGCTGCAATGTCGTCGTTCCTGAGCTCGCACCATCTATCTGCAGATTCCCAGTTCTCTCATGGGTTCCTGGCGTGTATGGTGACCGTGATTCTGTCGGTCATCGTCGCAATCATGTTGACGATCGATTGGTGGCGTGGGTTCCCGTCCGCAGGACTTTCGGCGACACTAAAAGCGTTGATCATCTCTTCATTTATGATGACTTTTGTCATTATCATCGGCGCACTCGCCTATACCTTGCTCGAGAACTGGACCTTTGATGATGCCATTAACTTCTGTATCGTCTCATTTTCTACTATCGGTAAATTACAGCTCAACGATACGCCTGATTTGTCAGACCTTAGCATACTTGATTTTTTAGTGATGATTATTAACGAAGACCGATTCCGTGGTGGGTGTTCTGACAGGATATGGGAACTTGAGCCCGACGTCGGTCGCAGGCCGGATATTCTTCTTCTTCTACGGTCTCTTGGGGATCTGTTCCATCGGTTTCTTCATCGTCTCGCTCCGTAACGCCGTGATCGAGCAGTTCCAGTGGCGTCTGGCCGAGCAGTTCTCTCGCCCTGCGCACATGACCCGTGTCCAGACACGGATGTCTGCGAAGGATCTGTCTTATCCGATGGCACGGCTTGAAGAGGAGCAACGTGTCAAGGTCATGGTCAAACGCAAGATGATCCTGAGGATGGTCTCGATCTGGATTGTGCTCTGGTTCGGAGGCGCGGGCGTGTTCTGCACGTTTGAGCAGTGGTCCTTTCTCGAGTCGCTGTATTTCTGTGTAAGGTTTTTACATCGCTCAACAAATTTTCGCTTTCATAACATTGCTGTGTTTCACTTTAGCGACGCGTTTGTGTAACTCTTTATTTTTTTTATTTTTATTTTTTTTTGATAATCTACAATAGTACGTGACACTCACAACGATCGGCTTTGGAGACTACGTGCCCATGGAACCGGGATCGATCGAGTTCTGGAACATTTACGTATTCGTTGGCCTCACCATCTTTGCTTATATCCTCTCACTCATCTCCGAATCCATGATTTCGCACATCCACCTCGTAGATGATGAGGAGGTCGACGAGGACAATGACCTCTTTGGATGGGAGCAGTCTGAAGATCATAATGTGCCGGTCATGATCAATGACCAGACCGGAAGCGGTAGCAGCGGTGAGGTTCTGGGGTTGGATGGGCTCAAATGGTTAACGCAGCCACTCAATTGCGTCTTGTTCCAGCAGGATGCTGTTTACCAACAGGGGCGAGCTCAAACTGTGTCAAAGAAGGCGCTAGATCGTCTGCGTAACAGATTTCATCTTGTGGTTCGAGCGAGCAATAACGCTGTCCACGCTATTGACACTGTAGCTGGATCAAGAGAAAGGAAGTGCTGTATGATGCATGGGCGAGAGAGAGATGCCGGGTTGCTGCAACATCAGAAGCATCAAGTAGGACCACAGGATCAACAGTTGAGGCATCAATTCAGGTGCATGAGTTCTGCAGGACGGATCTTGAAAGTTCCATCCAAGGGACGCAAACAGATGATGAATGCAGAGTACTATGCAACCTACGGAGGGCCACCGCCCATCAACACCCAAAGCGATCATGTCATCATCTCCGGCAATACCTTGCACGGCAGCACCGACAACATCAGCGCGGATATGGGCCACAAAGACCCGCCGATGGGCAATGCACCTGCATTTATCAAGTTTGCAGACAAGTACAGTCTACCGCACCAACGGATCATCTGTAGAATGAGCAACAAGGTTGCATCCATGAGCCGGCGAAAGTCCTTCCAGGGAAGCAGTCGATCTACCGCTGGATCGCCTGTCTCTGCTAGGAGCAGCTTCAGCAATAACGGTAGTGGACACTTTCAGCCTCAAGGACACGTCTACGGAACAGCAGGATATCACGACGTAATGGCGCGGCGCCGTCATGCCACTCTTATGGCCAGCGGTGAGACGAGTCCACGGGATAACAATAGCGACCGGGGCTCAAAGGGGCGTGCTTCTATCGGTCACATAACGTATGAGAATCACACCGACAGCTGGCATAACGATGTCGTAGAAGGAGTTAGGGATCGGGATCCACATACACATCACGATGAGCGAGTGCACCAGCACCATGGTTCTCCTCGAGAGCTGCAATACCTGCAGACAAACGCATTGCAGCACCAACCTCAAGTCAAGTTCGAGTCTCCCAGAGATGCCGTGCGAGACATGGTGAAGCCATGGGAGAGCATAACACCCCCAGGACAAAGGGTCTTGTTCGAGGAATGCCATTTTGAGTCTGTGCGACCATCGCAGCAGAATGTACAGCTCAGTGCGCCAGAGGCCGCAAACCTTCAAGGTTCAAGTCAGAAATACGAGCAGGCGACTTTGAGGAGTCTCAAAGCGCCGTGGCCAAGCAAAGACGAAGGCATTAGCATGGATGACAACGTGAAGGCCATGAAGGCGACTGGGGAGAGTATTAATGATCTTGAGACGATACAAGGCTCGGTAGAAGGAATCCATAGGCGGAAGCACCAGCTGAGCGTGGCCACCAAAGTTGGCACGCTTTCGAACGAAGATCCTCTGGACTCGACTAAACAGGATTCATTTTTCTCTTTTCATCCACGTCAGAAGAGATTTCCTTCTGATGATCCGCCGGATACCCAAGGATCACCAGCAGCTGTACTAGAGGATGAACCCCCGCCCTTAGCGCAGTACGACGATATCTTTGCTTCAGATGAGATGGTACCGCCACTCGATTCTCAGTCTCGCTCAGAGTCAGGGTCATTTTATCAACGGCAGCGATCTTTTATTAGGCCAGTTGTGCACTGGGGCTCATCCCGAAGCTGTTTTGACTCCTCCAGTACTGGAAAGCCTGATATAGAGACTGTTATGGAGCAGGAAGCAAGTTGCAGTACGCACTCGCCGTTCTTTGATACGACCCATGCAGAACCACCCCCAACGGATCCTACTTTCAGTCGAGGATCAAACAAATATTGCAGAACCCTCAGCAGAAATATACCGCTCTCGCGATCGTCTTCAATCGCGATAGAGATGAATGTCAGCTCCTTTGACAAAGAACCCAAAATCCAGGGACTCTCCGCGCGTTCAAAGACGACGTCGACTTGAACCATATCGCGCTGGAACTCCAGCAAGTGAACCGAGGTCGAGCGGAACAAGGCAGAGCTCAAGTACCGGCAAGCTGAGATCGAGACACAGATGAATCCTCTTTTTCAAGCAGTGATTATCCAGTACTTTCACTCCGGACGCAAAGCAATGAGGATATTAAAAAAACTTACTCCATTCTCATTTAGTATATCATATGCTGGTTTTTATACAAGTGTAAACTTATAATACTATACATGGGGGAAAAAATAATTAAGTTTCAACTGCTTCTGCTGCTGCTGCTACCACAGGTGTGCCCGCAGCCTTGCCCGCAGCCTTGCCCGCGTCAACATCAGGCTCCACCGCTTCCGCAGCGTTCAACTGATCCACGGATACAACCAAGGAGGAACCTTCCTCCTCTACCTCTTTGTTACACCACCACTGCACGACCTGACCCGCAGCCATATCGAGCTTCTGCTGCAACCGGCTCTTGAACTTCCGGCCCAACCAGGTGTTCCCAAACTTCCGTATCACTCTTTCAATGTTTGGATAACTCTTCAGAATGACTTCCACACGATGCATCTCCGACAGCTTTCTTTGCCCTGCATTCATCATCGGGCGCCTGTGGTGATGTTGTTGGTCAGGATCCAGACGACAGTCGACCCAGGTCTCTATCGACACCTCCTCACAATCTTCCTGTGTCCCCTGCATCAATTGCCTTTGCTGCTGTCGATCCTGAATGGCGTTCGAATGTGAAGATGCACCCAGACCCTCACACTCGGGACCATTCTCAATTCTCAAGAGCGTCATCCCCAACGACACACCCTCGATCAACTGATCAATCGTCGCCTCCAGGACATATTCGCACCAGTCCCGGAACTGTGCCTGTCCGGCGTGCACCGTCTGGTTCCACTGCTTCCACGCATCGAACGCGATCGCCAAGAACACCGTCCATGGCGAACTTGATGTTGACGGATACGCAATCTCTGCAGAAGACGACGACGACGACGACATATCCATAGCTCCAGGAGCCTTCCAACAGCATGCTACGGATGTCGATAATGCCGAAGGTGGAAGCGAACCCGGCATCCTAAGCATCACTTCGTCCGGTCGCGAAGAAGAAGAGCACGAGGAGGCCGTCGACAAGGTCGTCAAAGCCGAGATACCCAACTGTCTCGGCAAGCGCATGGCCTCATCCACCCCCATCTGTTTCGACTTGCTCTTCCATTCCTTACCACCCTGTTCTTGCCCACCATTTCCGGCATATTGACGAGACTCCCTGGTCGGGATAACAAGACCTGCAGCCATGGACGCTTGTTCGCGCTGTTCCTGTACCTCCTCCGCCGTAAGCGGGCGAACCACCAGCATAGGCTGGCCATTCGAATGAACACCTCTGATTTCAGTCCACATATACTTTTTATCATCATCCTGATGATCGACCATCAGGCCTGCGGCCCTGGACGTCAGCTTTGGATCGGGCACTGCACTCGGATCAACCCACTCCTCAAACGACTCCCCCTTGAATTCAATGATGCGCGACAAAGAGCCCTCCTTTCTCTCAAGGGGTAACTCCGGGTCCTCTGTATTGATCGGATGTCGCTGTTGGGATGCTGGAACGCGCCAGCGGATCCGAAATGGCGCAGCGAGGGATTTACAGACCCGATCTAATCCTCGGCAGAGTGTGCGGATATCATCTGGATGGGTGTAGGACATCACAGAGGTATTGGCCATGGCCCGGATCGAAGCGTCGTCCTGAAACATGAACCCGCTCGACATCATCGTGTTAGGTTGGATATGGGAAGGTTGTTGCTGTTGAGACGTAACATAGGCGTGGTCGATGGTACCGAAACGCGTAACATGAAGCATGAGCAGCCCAAGATCTTGGCCCTGCTGCTGTTGCTGTTGTTGTTGCTGTTGCTGTTGCTGTTGTTGTTGCTGTTGCTGTTGTTGTTGCTGTTGCTGTTGTTGTTGCTGTTGCTGTTGTTGTTGCTGTTGTTGTTGTTGTTGTTGTTGTTGTTGTTGTTGTTGGGAAGAGGTAGAGATGATCGCCTTGGAATCGTGTAACATGCTAGTCGACCAATCATCATTCGGATTTGCACAATAGAGTTTTCGGTGGGTCACGCTCCCGCCGAACCTCGTGGGCCTATCAGGGTCCGGCAACAACGACAAAGGTGATACAGACGACCGTGGGGGTGATAATAATGATGTTGTTGTGGGGGCGGGGGTCGAACCTTCTACCGTTCTGGCTGATGACGGCATGGATCGAGAAGTGGGTCGAGAGGATCGCTGTTGGAGTTGAAGAAGTCGGCGTCTCAGATCGTTTCTGGCCGTCAATCCAAGACGATGTATTTCGGTCACATCCTTGAGGACGTAGACTCGACAGGACGACCGTGTCACACACGAGGAGGAGGAGGAACCTTGATTCTGCGACAGATCTTGCCGATCTGTCGACGCACTGACCGACTCTGCTGACAAGGATTCCATTGGTGACGAGGGGCAGTGTTCGGTAACAGAGTGGATGCATCCATGGAGATGGCGCGTGTCCCTGTGTTTCCGTGAACGGCGTTTGAAGGTGACGCCGTCAGCCTTGGTGATATTACTGCATCCTGCGAGGGCGAGGGCGAGGGCGTGCTCGGAAATGACGAAGGGCTGGATCGTGGTTGTGTTACTGTTGTGAGATGCTGATGCTGGGTGGAAGTCTGGATCTGGCAGGAGGATCTCTGCGATGGGCTTGCCTCTCAGATACTGTGCTGCGATGGCTCGTTGGTGGGCAAGAGTCGAAGATGTTTCGTCAGGGTGGTCGAGGCTGTCTTCTGAGATGGAGTTGGTGGGGGGGGCGAGGAAGAGGTCGAGGGCGGCGGTGTCGAGGTGCAGGATATGAAAGGGGTGGTGATCTGTGGTGGTGATACAGCAAAAGGTGCGAAGAGGGCACTCTGTAAGCGAATGCATAATGAACAAGAAAGGTTAAGAATGAAAAGGCAGGATTGTGGAATGGCTGGAAAGGGGGGGAGGGGGGGAAAGTAAAAAGAAAGTGGGGAGGGAAAATGGTTCAAGGAAGAGCCTTTGGACGAGGATGTGGAGTGTGACAGAGAAGGAAGCGAAGGAAGTGAATACAAAGAAAGTGGCGTGGTTGAACTGGACTCGACAATCGAATGAGGGATGGAGTTGCGGTCGAGAGGAGGAATGGTCGAAGGAGCGATGTGGTGAAGGAGTGAGGAGTGACAACAGCAACAGCAACAACACACAACACACAAAAAAAAGAAAAAAAAAAAAGGAAAGGATCATGCAGAGTCTCCCCATGATCATGATCCCCCCCAACCCCTCCTTCCCCCCTCCCCCCCTCCCCCCCTGGAGTTCACGAGTAAAACCCCACGAAAAATAGGGTTTGGTCCTGTTGCACTCAGCCAATGGGAGGCAAGTCGACGAACTCGCGTCTACAGATAGACCAGGCGGGGAATGGTGTGGACACTTCGCCTTCTTGTCTGCCCAGGGCATGGGCTGCAGTAGTCTATCACTGTCCATCCCCATCGGAAGACAGCCTGTCTGTTGACTAACTATCGTGCAGAATAAACTTCCCACCATCCATCCACCTCAAAGATGATCTCGGAAACTAACTAGCCAGAGTCAATATACAGCCCACTTGATCAGAGAACTGTCGTGTTGCTGATGCTGAGTCATCGTGTGCAGCTGTGCAGCTGTGTTGTTGTTCACTTCGGACTGTCGCCGTGAAACCAGATTACTTGGAGATACGGTTCAATGTTTGGTAGAGCGGGAGCGCAGCAAGCCAAGCCAGCAGCGACCTGCAGGATTACTTCAGTCTCTGGAGATAACAGAACATCGCTGGGAGACAGCGACCATGGACTTCATTGTGCAATTACCCAAGACACCTCGTGGCCATGATTTTATTACCGTTTTTGTGGACAAGCTATCAAAGCAAGTTCATTTCGCCTCCAGCAGCACAAAGGACACAGCATCAGACGTGGCGCGCCAATTTTTTCACAACGTCTTCAGGCTCCATGGCATGCCTACCACTATCGTCTCCGACCGCGATTCCAAGTTCACAAGCCGCTTCTGGAAGGAGTTGCACCGCCTCATGGATGTCAAGCTAGCAATGTCGACTGCCTTCCACCCTCAGACCGATGGACAAACAGAGCGCGCCAATCGAACTTTGGAATATATTTTGCGCGCGTTCGTGGATCAACGACAAACGAATTGGGATTTACTTCTATCAGCCGCAGAGTTCACGCACAATAATTCGGTTAATGCCACCCGTGGTCACTCGCCATTTTTGAACAGTGGTTTCCATCCTCGCGTCCCGACCTCACTCCTCCGTCCCCAAAGCGGCCCCAACCCCAGCGTTACTGAGTTCGTGGGGTCACAGAGTACCCCATTGATTGTTGCACAGGAGGCAATTGCTGCAGCGCAGGAGCGCCAGGCACAGAATGCGGATACCCGTCGACGAGATCATGATTTTAAAATTGGAGACAAGGTGCTACTCAATGCAAAAGACCTCACTGTTGCAGCTGATCGCAATCGCCTGACCAAGAAGCTGCAGGATTGATTTATTGGCCCCTATACAATTCTGGAGCAGCACTCGCTAGTCTCTTTTCGCGTTGAGCTGCCACCTACTATGAAGATCCACGATGTCTTAGAGGCTATCTTGGACCATCGACAGCGAAACAATAGGATAGAATACCTAACCCAATGGCATGAATATCCCAGGGAGGATTCGACATGGGAACCGGAGAACAACCTTATGCACTGCACTCGACTCTTACGACAATACAAGCGCAGCCATGGAGTGTGAATGGGAAGGTACAACAGGATTACCACTCGGTTACCCAAGCTGCATGGTTGTGACACACGGAACCAGGATGGGGCCCGGCACTATGGCAACACTGTACAATAGGCCACAGACATGTATGTATAGACCCAACTTATGATCATTAAACAGCATATATTCCTACGCATTCTACTTGACCACTCCCCTTGACTCTGCTGCTATTGCAATTATGGAGTGGTCAGAAAGTCGCGCCCCAATATATCTTTAAACTAGCTTCTCAATTCAATTAATAAGGTTGAATTTTAATATATAATAATTAAGGAAAATAGGGTATTTATTAAAATATATTGGGCCGCGACTTTCTGACAGGGACTCTAGTTACATACATCTTTTAAGATCGCCTTTTACAAACAGAATCCTTTCTCTTCTGCTGTTTTGTCGGGGCTGTGGTGGTGGTAAATATCTGATGTAATGCATCGGACAGTTCATGCCGCTTGTCATATGAGGCAGGCATTGCATTGTGTCTTTTTTCGATTTCCATCTCTATACGAGCCGCCAGTTCCAAGCAAATTTGGATAGTCATCTTCATCCTGCGTCCGAACTCTTGTTTTTTCAATGGAATAAGAAACGTGTTGAACTGACACAGTCGAAACGTCCCTTGGAAATCAAGTTGCCAGAGTTTAGTCTCATCCTTGTAAGTGCATGAGCCGAATACAGCGAAGTCACGAGGAGGGACAGCCTCACGGCAAATAGATCCCATCTGGCTGATCCATGAATCCCTCATTGCACGCACCAGCTTGAATTCATCCTGACGCTGCTTGTCTGCATTGGGGTTATGGATCTGTGAGGCCTCTGCAAGATAGATTTGATCACTCCCGCTAAAAGCTAGTCCGTCGCTGTACTGGCCCGACTCCATGGTGTCCAAGAGGAGATCTTTGTCAAGATTCTTCCGCTCTTGGACCCCAGTTATTAGGGTCTCAAGATGACGGGATTCAATCCCTGTGAGGGTCAGTGCTCCTCGAATGAATGACCATGCGAGGTCCGTAAACCCTTCACGTTCATTGATGTTCTCGGGTATCTCGGAGTGGAAGGTGAAATAATGAGCGCTAATTGACATAAAAATGAAAAATAAAATCAGACCTTCTCAAGAAAGCAAATACAATTGCCGGAGACCAAGCGATGGGTAATGCTTACTAAGACATCATAATCGAGATCATATAAGCGGCGATTGGGTCTTCCATATCTTCCTTCTTAATTGCCCGAGCAACATCATCGTAGTTGTTCGATGTGAAAACACGTTCTGATATTGCCTGAAGAGTCGGCCATTTGGCATTCATATCGGGAATTATGGCCACCCTCTTTGCAGCTGATAAGACATCTGGAAGCAATTCTTTCGAGAACATAGAGCCAGAAGTCATATCAGCGATACCGTTTCGAATGAGGGAGAACGGCCCGAGGTATTTCGCTCGAAATCCACGAAGTGTTGCGATCAAATCAGTGCTATTACAACTCCACGAAGTTGCCTGAATCAGCGTTTCAAAGTGTGTGAGGTTCCTGGTTGGGTCTGTTAAACAAGTTAGAAACAAAGAATTATCTCAAATCAATACAGCGCTTCTCAAGTGCTATTCCATACCTGGAAACTCGGCATCATCGTTTTCGCCTTCGGTCGGCTCTTCAATGTCGTCAGTTGATATAGACGTGTGATGATTCGTAAATGGTCCATCTCCTACTCATTCCACCAAATTGGATATAAGTTAGAAGCACCATCCAAGTTTAGACTAACATTATCAGAATACTATCATAATAGTGTTATCATTACCGACAATAGTTTGGTTTCCAGTGCTGGTCAATGGTTCATGGGCGAGTGTAGGAAACGGTACCGGGCTAACAGGCTTCTCCTGGAAGTAAAAGAATGGTTCGTTCAGCGACATAGGCCTGACAATATTATCACAGTAAGCAACCCAACTTTGACTTTACATCTGAATCTGAGTTCCACGTTGGAGTCCGTAGCAGTGTTGATGGTGATAAAGCGTCCAGGCCCTCTAGTGATACTTTAGTCATCATGGCATTTCCTGCTAGCAGCAAATTCGCGCTCGACCGAATGGTGTCCCTTTGCACCTTCTGCGATAGATGTTGGACGAAGCCTTCCGTTGTACGGCTGCGTTGCCTCTTTCCTGGAATGAGATTTTGGTGTCGTTTTTCCTGCTGACGAAATGCAGGTACCTTTACAAAAAAAAAAAAAAAAAGGTAAGCCTAGGAGCAAAGCATAGTAGAAAAGGATTGCTATCTCAGTTTTTTCATACCTCCGCCTCCTCAAGGAAGTCTGCTGCCCACCTGTGACCCCCATGTTAATCGCGCGTAGGCTTGCCCGGAAAGCATCGGTTGCCGAACCAAGGTTCGGGAACTGAAATTGGTTGTAGAATGAACTGGCACAGGCCCAAAGCGAGTCATATGGATGACCATCAACGATGTATTTCTCTCGGATGAGGTGATTGTCGTCCTCAGAAGAGTTGCGTTCGCATTTCGACATGGTACGGGTGTTGTTGGGATGCACGTTGCATTTAGTTGATTATGATTATGCACTTTTTATTTAATGGCCCAAACGATACTGCCTACAAGCCACACCAAGTAAAATATAAAAAAAAAAAATATACTGAAACGCGTCTCTCTCTATCTCTCACAAGGTCAGTTTCTTTCTTGGACTAAATGATTTTGTTCAAAGTAGTGTGTGTTTGCATTGCCGATTCTTCTGTGTGCCTGTGGAGGTATATCCAGGTCAAGCGGCTCGCGTTCACAGTTGAATCAGTTCCAGCTTGGCTGGTAAAGGCGGCAAACACACACTGGTGGTTTGCAGTCTGTTTGAGTGAATGACCACTCATCAGCCTGCCTCTTCACTCTTGAATTCGAATCGAGTCAACCCGCTGGAGAAGTGAAGGGCCATCCAAAATCATTTGTGTCCTTATGTGCGAGTTGTTCAAATGGTGTGTGTTTGCATTGCCGATTCTTCTGTGTGCCTGTGGAGGTATATCCAGGTCAAGCGGCTCGCGTTCACAGTTGAATCAGTTCCGGCTTGGCTGGAAAGGGCGGCAAACACACATTGGTGGTTTGCAGTCTGTTTGGGTGAATGACCACTCATCAGCCTGCCTCTTCACGCTTGAATTCGAATCGAGTCAACCCGCTGGAGAAGTGAAGAGCCACACAACCCAACCTACCATTATGTTTAGAAAAATGGTAAAAAATGAGCATATCTTGCAGAGTTACTAATTTGACGCTGTTGCCACCACTATCACGCGAGTACCTTTGTCATCACTCTCTTCTACCGTCCAGTATCCTTTCATACTGTTCTGGAAGAACCTTAGTTCGTCAAGAGATTAAGGGCAACGGATTAAAAACAAATAAAAAACGCGTCTTTTCACTTTTTCTCGCTCGTCAACAAGCAACAACCTCCGTTCCAAGCGCTTTTAGCCTGTAAGTATAGTGATAACGATATAATTCATTTACTTTTCTTTTCCGCTTTTATCTAATGCGTTCTCGTTTTTTTTTCCTCTTCTTAGTTTTGATATGGACCAGAATAAACCTGATATGTTCAACATGCATGCCCTCAGCACTTTTCTTCCTTGTGGGATCGACGACATAACGGAGAAAGACCTTATGGGTTCTGGTTTGTTAAAGGAAGAGTTCGATCTACCAGAAGGCGATCCCGAAGACAAACCGGGGGCGGACGACTTGGAAGACCAAGTCACTGCAAAAGCCCATATTGAAATGCAAGAGTCGCGCTTCAACGATGTCTAACACCTTGTCAAGGAAGTTGATGGAACCCGCTCCATGGATTGGCGTCCCTTTAGTAACCGAGCCATCAGTGTTTGCTCACCGCTGCCCTAATGAAGATATAACGTACCAGCCAAAGGTATTCTTCATACAAGAGTAGATCTATAGAGGGTGGATCAACACAGGTGGGATGGATCATTGGTCCCATTGGCGCCTTAACAAATTAATTGAAACAGCTGCCAGCGGTAGAAACGACTACCTATGGCATGAGTCTTGGTTTTGTCATCGAGCAGGCAATCCAGATGTCCAGCGCCGTCGGATCCTCTCAAGATTTGTTGTAATGCCGCCTTGTATGTTCAAAATGTTCCACATCCAGCTCTCGCTGGTAGAGGTTCAAGTGGTTTGGTTCGGATCACGTACTATCAGCACAACCATGTCTTGGGATGTACCAGCGACTTTCATTACCAGCGTATCAATACGTAATTGAAGCAGAGCATTCGCTATTATGTGGGCATTGGGCTCCCCAACCGTCAAATTCGAGCCAAGCTCACGCTTCCAATATGGCAACTTCATAGTTGTCTTGCAAACGGGTCTTGCACCTTTGGTCCCAAAGTTCTGCTCGGAACCATATCGTAAGGAACCTTCTGTTCGTTCGTTGTAGTGCAGTTCGTCCCCTTTCTCTTGTTGTTGTTACAGTAGCTTCCTTTAGTTTACCCTTGATCGTCCCGAGTCCTCCTCTCTACCTGAGTCGAAACTCGTTTTTAGGCCGGGGTTTCTTAACAAAACGCGGCCAACAAACTAAATTTGACCTCTCTAAGTGCAAGTTAAGTTTATTGGCCGCTGCAACAGTAGTCATATACGTAGTAGTCTATATATATCCATGCACAGCAATATTATTAAAGGCAGTTCTTGTTTCCACTCCTCGTCTTATTACAGCCGCGTTTTGTTAAGAAACCCCGGCCTAAAAACGAGTTTCGACTGTAGACGTTACACGAGGGCGAGGGAGTAATTTGACTACAAACATGGCTCCGTTTGGCGAATGCTGCAACGATGGATGTGTGTCTTTGCACTCTTTTCCCCTCTTTTCACACTTTCCCACTTTCCCACTTTCCCTTCTTCCCACATTCACCCTCCTCCAATCCACCAGGAACTGTCTCTTATCTTTCTCATCTTTTCTCGCTTTTCTGTCTGTCTCTCGTACGTCTCTGCTCGATCTCAATAAGCACAGCCCAGCGGCTACTCATTGGTAACAAAGACACAGTTTATCTGCCAAAAGCCCCATCCCTGAATGTGCCTGAACAACCACAGTCGAGTCAAGAGTGCTACTGCTAGAGTGGCCGAGATCAGGGGAACAACCATTCATGCGCAATGGTTAATAATCTTTTCTTTCATGATGATAGAGATCTCTGCTAGAAGTGACGAGAGAGGCGAATATCACTCCGCTCGACCGCCTTATCCGTGGGCAGACCATCTTAAACAAAGAATTAGAGTAGAGAACCTTGCAAGGGACGGACCGTCTCCTCGACTGGTGAAAGACAAATTCCTGTTGAGGTGAGGCACTGTTTCTTGTCACTCGACAGTAGCATATAGGCATGTTTTAAGGTTATTAATCCTGCATGCTTCACAATGGGCAGTTGGTATCGCTGGTAGGAGGCACAAAGAGGACAAATCTTCAGGACTACCTCTGCATCCAATCAAAGGAAACAAGAGTCGAATAAACACTTTCGAGGTGGGGCTCCATCACTTGGCAGAGTAGCACATATGTCTAGTTCATGCATCTGCTATGGATATTAATGTCTTTATTTTACGAAGCTCATTCTGCGCATTACTCTGTAGTATAGCCATGCGATTAGTCATGGTACTGAATCTCTGTCAAGTATAAGTACGTATACTGGCTACTCGCACAGGTATATCAACCGACCACAAGGTCACTAATATCGCCGCCACTGCTCTATGATAACAGGAGAAATCCCCTCAGAGAAGCAACATGTTTGTAAAACTTTTTCGTCACCGCGAAAGGCTCTCTCGCCGCAAAAGGAACTGAAGCTCGCCAAGGTTTACGTGGAGAATGCGCGCAAAATCAAGGATCGGAAATTGCTTTAGTTTGTGCGACGATGCGAGGCTGCGTTATCCCGGTGAAAAGAGCTGGAAAAAGACTCTTACAATTCCCCTATCCGTCGAGGATCAAGCCCTGCGCGATGGATTCGCTGGGCCTGTCTCGAGCACGCCAACCTATTGGAGAGCTTAGGATATAGCGAAATGGCGCAGGTCAGCTACAAGAGGGCAGAAAAGTGGGGGTAAGTGGCAGGTACCTGCTCTCTACTTGTTCGCATTGGCCGGTTACTTCGAACGTCGTACCTAACGCACCTCTCACTTTGTTGACTGTCCTCTGACTTCAACAGCCATGTGCGTCCTACAAAAGATCCAGGTCCTGTAATTTCCTCTGCCACCGACAGTGCCTGCCGCGACATGGCACGGTCCCTGAGGATATCTTTCCTGATGACATGCGTCAGCCCACCGTCAAGATCGCTTACCAGAGGCAGATGAGCGACTCAGCGAACTTCCCAGCTCGCCTACTGCCTTGGCCTTCTGCAAGTGACGCCGTCGCCCGAAGGGTCTTTGAACCAGCTGCAGGAAATTGGGTGGAATCCACAGAAAGAATGCAGAGGAGAAGGAGAGACTCAGGACACTGGCGACAGATGTGATCCGAGCATTCACTCGCGATGAACTCAAGGATGCCAAGGCCGTCGCAGAAGTCGTATGCCTGGGCCCGGTTCTCGAGAAGGATGACTTTCAACATTTGCTCATGCTCTTTGTCAATGGCATCGAACAGCCAGCCTGCTGGATGTGCAGTCCCTCGAAGGGCTGGCGCAACTGATCCAAGGCGCTTCCCCAGGTTACCTCGACGCTGATGACCTAGTCACGATCTTGCGTATCCTCAACACCCGCCTACAAGACACTCACAATCAGTCTCCGGCTCACATCTATCATCTGACACTCGCCGTGTCCAATGTCCTGGATGCCATGGCCGATACCAAGGTCTCAGGCTTAAAGCGTGTAGAGCTGCACGAGCCACTCTCTGCCTATTTGAATGGACTGCAAGGCAGCAGCGACCCTTACTTGGTGTACCAGGCTGCCTACGCCTTCCAAGCGCTGCAGTGCGTCCCAGACAACGAATCACCCTGGCAAGCAACGATGCGGCGCACTGGAATTGTTTTGAGAGGCGTCTCGGGCTAGTTAGCGCGTAAAAGGCCTGGACGTCAACGGCTTCATCACAGGACTCGGACATCTTCAGGAGGGACTGGGAGAGGTGATCCAGGTAGCGAAAATCGGTATGAAGGTGTGAGCGCACTGGTCGAGAGTGGACAAGGACTTTGGAATCTCTCAAGGTCGGTCTCAGTTTCAGCCAGAAACGTGCCTGGTATACAGCACTGCGCGGGACAGACACGCTGCTTCGGGACGGTCAACTCGCCAAGTTCAAGACCCTGGTCTGTGAAGCACCTTGCCGGCGTGATCTAGCCTTTCAACTAGGAGTATGCAGCGGCTGAGGGACCTTGCCGCCAATCCACTGTGGGACATCGAGTCTCGCCAAGGTGCTGTTGCGTTCCTGGGTGAGATGTACCGAAACGATGCAGTGTGGGGCCAGCAAGCCTCGTCAAGCAATGGATCCTCCACATCCTTATGCAGCTGGCTTCGACATTTGGCTCAGCTATGCCATGTATGTATGATGAATGGATATGTGAGAGGCTGTCGGTTTATTATGAAGTGTGGAGTTCACGGCCTAGCAGGTACTAATAGCGTACTATATTCTATCGTGATCTACGCGATACATGGTGTAGGTGTCGAATCTTTGTTGCAAGAGCTGGAATCGAATGGCGATGAGACGAAAAGGATTCTTTATCAGGATTGCCGAAAGGAAAATCGAGCTTACATCCGCTGCAGGTCAACCTACCAACCGTCGCGTCTCCATCATTGCTTGATCTTGCCAAACAAGCCTGACGTTGAAGCCGACCTGAGACGACTAAGAAAGCAACGATTGAAGGAACGAGGCGAAGTCGTTTACATCCCCCTCAAGCCAAGGCTACCTGCAAGCGTCCGATGACAACTGTTCGACTTGACAAAAGAAGTCGAAGGCTCCTGAGCAGTGACCATAAGGTGATGCTCCTGCTGGGCGGTTCAGGTGGAGGCAATCGACCTTTAACCGGCAGCTCGAGTGCGACTTATGGGATGCCTATAAGAAAAAGGAAGGCAGAATTCCGCTACTTATCAGCTTGCCCGCAATCGACAAGCCAGAGCAGGATCTGATCGCCAAACATCTACGGAGGGTAGAGTTTACCGAGCCCCAGATCCGAGAGCTGAAAGACCACCGCAAATCCATCTTGATCTGTGACGGGTATGATGAGAGCCAGCAGACACACAACCTGTACACGAGCAACCGACTGAGTCAGGTGGGAGGATGGAGCGCTCAGATGGTCATTAGCTGCCGCAGCGAGTACCTTGGGCTCGATTATCGGGATCGGTTCCAGCCAGCAGATGGCAATCACCAAGCAGAGCCAGCGTTTCAAGAGGCGGTCATTGCGCCATTCTCTATGGATCAAATTCAGGAACACATAAGGAAATATGTGTCCGCGACGAGGCCGCTCTGGCAAGTGACGGACTACTTGAAGGCCTTAATCTGGTTCCCAGCCTGCAAGACCTGGTCAAGAACCCCTTTATGTTGACGCTGTCCTTGGAAGTACTGCCGCGTATGGTGGATATAGGACAAGACCTCTCGACCGTCCGGGTGACGAGAGTTGCGTTGTATGACCAGTTTGTGGAGCAACGGTTGGAGCGAGGCAAGAAGCGGCTCGTTGAAAAGAAAGACTTGAGCTATCAAGAGAAGAAGATGTTCGAGAACTTGTCCGATGATGGTTTTGCGCAGAACGGAGTTGCCTTTCTGAAAGCGTTAGCGGTAGCGATGTACAAAGAGCAAGCGGGCAACCCAGTGGTCGAGTACTCTCCCCTCCGCGATCAAGGGACATGGAAAGAAAGTTTCTTTAGCCGGGAGAACGAGAAGCAGCAGTTCTTGCGTGAGGCATGTCCTCTAACGTGCAGTGGCAATCAGTACCGGTTTATCCATAAATCACTGCTGGAATACTGCTTGGCCCGTGCGGTGTTTGAGCCGCGAGATGGAGAGAGCGTGAGTCGCGCAGCCTTACCTCAAGCCCTGCCACGTCGAGGGAGCGTCCATTCGGTCATGAGCTTCGAAGATCAGGCTACTGTAGAGGAACCCGTGGCAGCCATTGCACAGGCCGTACTCGATTCACCCTTGTCACGGAGAAGCTTTGTGGGTGAGCTGTCGATTCTGCAATTTTTAGCAGAGCGTGTCCAACAGGAACCTCTTTTCAAGCAGCAGCAGCTCGCAACGATCGAATGCTCCAAAATCAACAAAGAGGCACGCAAGGCGGCGGCCAATGCGATCACGATATTGGTCAGAGCCGGGGTGCTGTTTAACGGCGCAGATCTGAAAGGCATCCAGATTCCAGGAGCGGACCTGAGTAGGGGCCAATTCGATTCTGCACAGCTGCAAGGGGCAGATTTGAGAAATGTCAATCTTCGCAATATTTGGCTGCGCCAGGCCAATTTGAGCAACGCACAGATGGGGGGCGTGCAGTTTGGCGAATGGCTGTATCTGTTAGAAGATAGCGATGTGAGTTCCTGCGCGTATTCGCCAGATGGGAAGTTCTGTGCGGTAGGTCTCAACGACGGCACGATCAGTGCGTATCACACTTCGACTTGGGCAAAAGCCCACATCTTGCGTGGTCATACTGGCTCAGTTATGAGCGCGGTGTATTCGCCCTGCGGCCAGCAGATCGCCTCGGGAGGTTGGGACAACACGGTGCGACTGTGGGACGCGCAAACCGGTGCACCCAGTCCCATCTTAAGCGGCCATACCTTCATTGTTTGGAGCGTGGTATATTCGCCCAGCGGCCAGCAGATCGCCTCGGGCAGTCGGGACAACACGGTGCGGCTGTGGGATGTGAGTTCGGGTCAGTGTTTGGCAGTTGTTCAAGGCTTTTATGGATCAATCACAAGCATAGCCTGGAACTCTACTCCAAACGGCACCTATTTCGCAACCGGCTGTTGGGATAAGTCTGTTCGCATGTGGCAGGCTATAGAAGAGGAGGACCGCTATCAGGTCCGCCTGCATTGGAGTTCGATGCATGACAGACTTACCGTATCAAATACCTCTATCCAGAACGTACAAGGCTTAAGCAAGATAAATATGTGGCTATTAGAGCAACGTGGCGCTGTGGGCAAGCCGATTCCGCCTTTGGGCTATCGCGAGGCAAGCAAAAAGCTAATGGCCATGGCGTCCGTGGCGTATAAACTCAAGGCGTCGTCAAATCACAGTATGGTGGATACCGCTGCCACGGCCGATTCTCCCGCTGTACAGTCAGCAAATCCAGTCGATTCGACGAATGTCTTTTCGCTTGCTTGAAAGGTGGAGGTGATGCAAATAGGAATTAGCAACGGTACCTCGATTTTTTGCTCATTGCCAATCTTTTAGCGCATGGATTGTGCTTTCTGAAGACAATATACAGAACAGTAGATAGATATAAACAAAAAAAAGGCTAAAAGGGCAATATTATCAAAAGATTGAACTGGAGCGGCAGGCCAACCAAACAGCAACGATTATGGAAAAAAGGCAGCTTCCCCAAAACGAGGATCCATTAGTAGGCTAATACGATTAATGCAATTGTGGGGTAGGGGATGTGGCGACTCATTGGTCGTTCTCTCGTTTTCACAAAGAAAAAAAAAGCGCCAAACGCATGTTTGGTCCGCCTAGTGTACTTGCTACCTGTAGATGCATCTTGAAATCTTTGCATTGTGCGATGCATGAAAAAAAGGCAAGGAGTTGGGGTTTAGCCATGGGCCAAGAGCAAGTTCGCCAATAATGAGCACTGAAAAATGTGAGATCGAAAAAGGAGACGAGATTGGCTGTATGAGAGACAACGCGTTTTTGGTGGCAAATTCAATAAGGTGTGTTAATAGTGGGTGCGTTGTCTGGCTATCATTCCCACACACGCGCCCCTGGCGACTGCAACGACCAATTGCATCCATCCTAGATATTTCCAACGCGCTGTTTTCTGTGTCTGATGCAGACATCCCTGCTGCACTGGATCCTCTGTTTGTATACTTTCGTACGACATGCCACCAGTTATTGATTTGCTAATGGTATGCATAGACTACCGCGCGCATCGCTTTTTTTTTTTGTGTTGGGGAAAAAAATTAAGGGCGTGTGCCCTTCCCGCTGAACATTTGCATTTACTCATTTTACTCGTTTATTCCTGGGGCAGAAACAAAATCATCTGAGCGAGATGCGAGTTTGCTTTGTTTATGCACGAAGGCGCTATGATTTTACATTCAGGTATCCAGCGTGGCCCAGGGCTGTGCTGGAAATACAGGACTTATACATTGGCTACTGTCAGTACAATAGATGCGAATACCGAGGGAAGGGCTCAAACGACAGAGCATACGGATCTACTCTGGACTAGCACGCACCTTATAGATCTACCTTTTCAGTGAGCATCAGAACAGAGCACCGCTCTGACTACGCCCATCGGAAAACAGAAGAGAAGAGCAACATGGCCATTATCGATTGTGGCTCCTCCGGCTCCCGCGCAACTTTTTTTTTTTTTTTTTTTTTTTTTTTTCCCTCAGCTTCCCTTTTTCCTTTCTCCCTTCCTTTCCCCTCTTTCCTCATCTTTCGAATCTGTCTCTGCCAGCGTCATGTTTTGTAATCCCTTTCATTCGGAAAAGATGATAGTGAGACATATTGGCGCCCATAATACAGAGCCTGGGGGCATTTTTTTTTCCGCTCTTTTAGAGCATTTTACCTATTCTACCCCTGCAGCTTTAATAGCTAATTGCGCATCGAGCCACGCGGGTCCTAGCGTCGACAGGTCGAACATACTCCGCCGAGTCCCTTTCGAATCGCCGCAATCTTATCCGCCGATTTCCGCTGCTCAGAATTACACAAAATCGAAATTCTGCGGTCATCTGTGAAGAGCGTTCTTTGATTCCCTCCTGCTGAAGGGGGAAAAGGCACCCGGCCCCTGGTTAGACTATCAGATACAATCCAATACAGTTGAGAGCAATAAAGATGCCCTGAATAAAAAGCGAGAAACGAAAAAAAAAAGGTCAGAGAGACATAGTTATCGTTGCTGCGTACAGTCTTTGCATCTCTTTGCGGGCTATTTCAAAGAAAAGTCCTTTGTAATGGGCTCTAGGACAATCGTGAGTAGATGATCAAACAACGGTGGGATTAAACGGATATGAGCGTGCTATGAGTGTCGCGATCTCTTGAAGGGCTTAAGGATAAGGGCAATCAAAGTCAGGGAACGGAAACTGAAAATACGGAAATCACGGAAAAAAAACAATTAAGTAACTACATACCCTATTGGATAACGGGGCCTCACTATATACCATGAATCTGACCTTGTCCTTCTACCATTGGAGCGAAGATCTGGACCTGAAGTTACCATTTCCTATCAATGTTCATTGCCGTGGCTCGATCATCGTTCTAATTTCAGAGCAATATATTTGTATCCACGAGATCGAGAATAGAACCTTGTACGCCAGAGAGGGGATGAAGAAGCATCAGGAGCAGGCCAAATGCCGCGGCGACATGGAACGTACTGCGGCTATAATTATACTACCGGCAAGGATTATTAATCGTGCAACAGTAGCAGCATATCTTTACTATACCAATATCGCCGAGTAATGTATAAAGCATCGGATATCCCAGGTGGTTGTATTGCAGCACCATTTTTGTTGATTTCATTTAATGACATTAAACGAGTATATGCGGGCGACGGTGAGCGGACATGACATCGATTCTTCACAGAACATGGCCGGTCGCTCTCTCGGTGGTTAATCGTATTTTAGAACGAGATTGTTCTTGAGAGCCAATTACGCAAGATCAAACGTGAGAGAGTGCACAGTTGTGCGTGCTGCCAATGTCCCCAGTCCAAAAGAGCAGAAGGGGCGGATACAGTACATCCGGCCCTGTACCAACATCACCACTGACTAGTAGTCTACGGATGACTACCGGCAGGGCTAATATATTGGTGAGCGATGGCCAGCACCAGGAACTCCGTCTGCTCATTGGAGAGGCAAAAAAAGGGGGGAAGAGGGAGGTGTGTGTGTTTTGTTCGAGGTACGGCGGCCGAGGAGCAGCGGTCCCCCAGTCCAAACTGTTGGAGATTGAGCACGCTCTCTGTGCAACATGAATCCCAAATTCATTCACCCGCGTTTGTTTGTTTTTGTTGCGATGAACCTGCTTCAGCTCAGCAACCACGCTCCCCTCCTGTTATTGTAATCAATTGAACTGGCGCGAAGAAGAGTACATACATCATCGTCATCGCCACCCATCCAGTGTTGTGTACACATTCAGATTCATATGTGTCTGCGTGTCTATTGAGTTTGCCACACTGCTCTCTTCCCTGTGACAACATCTGCTGTATACAGATCAAGGGCTGTCCCAGTCCCGCTAATGTAGTCCATATGTGTCTCTCCCCTTTCAGATGCGGCTTTGGTTGTTACACCGTTGTAGAGGATGAACTGAAAACGGGTATCAACAAGCCTTGATGCCGAAGTCGAGGTTGAGGTTGAGGCAACAATGACCAAAGATATCGTGTTGTGTTGCGGGTTAAATTGCTGTTTGTTCCATGTATTTACATACTCCAGCTCGTCTAGTCCGCAATTGTGCCTGATTCCCGTCTCGCATTTTTTTTCTTTTTTTTCTTGTCCGCTTGTTGGGGTCCGTTCGTCGTTTCTTGGGCTTTGCATTTGCAGACAGTAGAAGAAACCGATTCTATCGAGTACCACTTTTGCTACTCTTTCCTTTTTCTTCCTCTCTTTATTTCTTTCTTCCTTCCTTTTCCATCGCTTGTCATTCACTCATCCTGCACACATCCCGCACTTGTATATGCCTCCGCATCCCTTGCATCCAAAGACACCCCGTTCACGCACTATCGCCTTGATATCCTAGCAAGGCATTGCCCCGCTGCATTAATTAGTCTGTTGCGCAATCGGGAATCTCTCTTCGTCCAACCAACTACTGTTGCACATCCTCGAACAGCGCACTCCCACCCTCTCTTGCACCCACACACACACACAAAAAAGCCAACTTCTCTCTCTCTCTCTCTCTCTCTCTCTCTCTCTCTCTCTCTCTCTCTCTCTCTCTCTCTCTCTCTCTCTCTCTCTCTCTCTCTCTCTCTCTCTCTCTCTCTCTCTCTCTCTCTCTCTCTCTCTCTATATACCTCATAATTCATATCACAGCAACCACTTCCTTATTCTTTCTCGTGGCTCTTCGTCGGCTACCTTCTCTTACATTCCGTTTTTGTGAATCTCATTCACGTCTGCGAATCGACACATCTTTGTACTTGGAATCATTTCCTGAATTTCCTTGAACACAAAAAAATTAAAGTGCCAGGGTCCAGTTTTACAGCATAACGCATACAGCCCCGCTATCCTGTCGACTACTGCCATTCTTAAATTCCATTCAATTGCCAGCCTTGAAGCGCTACAACTTCGGCCGACAATCGATCAAGACCACCAAGACATAGGCAATTTGATACACCTGTCTACCAGCATGAATAGGGGACATTCATCCAGGTACGAATCTTAAACTAGAACACTTTACAAATTGAGCTAATGAGATAAATTGGGACCGAGGAGGGGGATGAACCAATCGTTGCCAACGGAGATCGCTGAGGATCGTTTGGAATCGGCGAGATTTCCGTTTTCTTTACTCGGATTTGCCCCGCGCTTGGGCATGATTGCTGTGGCACTGCCTTGACCAGTGCCACGTTTTTTTTCCTTCTTTTGGTATACAAAAATCGAACTGAGACAAAAAGAGTCAGGAACCGCATTCGTTTAGAAGCTCTTAATCATTGCACAAATGTATCATTGGGGTCGTATAACCCCATGCATTGCAAAACAGTCTTTGTGTATCCAACCATGTCCTTTGCTCCTCCAATATCCCATCAACTCAATGTCGCACATTATTGTATCCACTGTTGATACATCCACCCTTGTCTATCCCAGGAAACAGCATATAATCCATGCCGCACCATACCGTGCAGAGCATATCATCCGCCATTCCATCTCATGCAATGCAATCTATTTTTTTCTTCGTCCGTCACACACGCGTCGCGGTGGAATGGATGAAAGAGATGTTTTGAGACATTGCAATTGACCAGTACCATACCAACGGCAT